TTCAATAAAAATATAAATGTATTATTCAATATTAATCACATGGAGTATAGAGTATCAATACACGAAGTATATACAGGTAAATTCACAATGGATATATATAATATATATATGCTGTATATACTGTATATATATATATATATATATATATATATTGTATTTAAGAGCATACATATTCTACATATTACCTAAAAACAAAGATAAAGCTGAAGAAACAACTCTTTCTTTTTTTTTTAAAAAAAAAATTAATATTACAAAAGTTATAAAAAAAAATCTCGCTGTTGGGTGTATAAATCTCGTAAATTTATAAAAGAAATTTACTAAAAAAGGCAAGAAAAGACATATAAAAATATTCGTTACTTCCACTTCAAATCCTCCACTATTCATATATATTTTCTTATTACTTTTCTTTGGAAGATTTTCCGTTTTTGTTTCAGTATTGTCTGGACTCTTAACTGTTGATTCTCTTTTATTGTAAACACGGTCTTGTTTATTTACTGCTACAGAAGGACTAATCACAACCAGAGATCCTCTGGCCGACATCTTTCCCGCTGTGTTTTTTCGCTGTGCAAGTGTAAAGTCCGGCATCCTCTGTAGATACATTGAAGATTCTTAAAAAGCCATCAGTAGTTACTCTAAATCTTGCGTTTTCCGAAATTATCACGTTTCCCTTCATCCAATAGACATTAGGTTTCGGATGACGATTATTTTCCAAGCCAACACTGCAGTTGCTCCCTCAACGACATCCTGAAGAGCTTTTACTTGTATTCTCGGCTTTATATTCACGTTCAAATATGCATTTGCGAAAATGTATCCATGGTGTGAAGAAATGTTACATTGTATCACTTGGATATCTTCGGCTGTAACATTACTTATGATCAAAGAATATTTATTCACAACCCAGCTTGGATCTAGATCAAGTTTAGAGATAGATTCACCATTTATAAACCAAGATGTATGGGCATTGTCTTTATCTTTAGGACTGCATCGAAATTCAACATTGTCTTGTTCATTAGCATCTACAGATAGTGGCATTTTGTCCCACTCAGGCCTTAATCTTTCTGATTTAACCGTTAACTCAATATGATGCTCGGTTCCCCGACAAAAGCAAAAATAAGTTCCGGAGTCTGTCGAGTCAACTTGACGTAAAGTCAACCGCCTACCGAATTTCTCTATTTCGTGACTATTTTTTAATGCCTGTCCATCAGTTCGCCCCCATTGAATATTAAGATTAGCATCCCCTATAAAAGCAATAATAATTGGTTCATTTCGATATTTAATTGAATACTATTTCTAAAATTTATTATAGTTATATTTGTTACCTCCAAATATGCAAATGAGTTGAATAGTCTCGCCTTGTAGCGCCACCTGGTGCTTTGCACTGCCGAGTAGTAATTTATGATGTTGAGACTGGGGTACGTTCGGTTGAGGCTGAATTACACTGTAAAAGCCAATCTCCGTTCTATGTAGAAATTTATTTCTCACTGCGCAAGCCCATACTTTTCCATCAATGAAATCTTCCTCAGCAACTGCCAAAACATATAAATTTCCATCCGGATCCATGGCAATTCGTCTATTCAAAATCACCGGCACAACTGAATTATTTTTATGCCATTTATGAACCCAGAAAATTTCCGGTGCAGGATAAGATCTGGGTGCAATGCATAATAACTTCACTTCTGCACCTATCTTTCCTTGATAGGTTTTTATTTTTTTACTTGTAAAACTTTCCAAAACTGCCATTCTCAAAGATATCTTCTCTGATACAGACGTTCCTCCAGAATTAGTGGCAAAGCATTGATAATAACCTTCGTCAGATTTCATAGCATCTTTTATTATAGTTTTTCCATTATTAATTGCTATTCTTTCATTTTGCACAATTCGTTTTCCATCTTTCTTCCAACTATATTTCGGCAACGGAGTTCCTTCTGATTCACAGTTTAATGTAACCGTTTCATCCTGAAGAAAAACCTTCTCTTCAGGAGAAATAAAAGAAAACATTCGAGGAGGAATAATAATTTCCCTATCAGCTTTGATTCTCATAAAAAGATAACCTCCAATTAGTAGAAATTTGAAGAAAGTAACAATCCACATCTTCTCATAAATTGATTTAATATTTTTCCTCCTTCAAATATCTAAATAGATAAAGAAAAAAGATGTTTATAAAAGAATACGAAAAATCTCCTTCGATATCTTGGACGCAAATAAAAAATACATTTGTAACAATAGGAGATGAGAGTTTTGTTAGCCAAATAATTATAAAAACATGTAAACGGAAATTTTCAATTATCGTTTGTCCTATCATTATTGTTTTTTTTTTACGCTGTTACAATAGAGCTTTAAGTAATTCTGTATAACTTTAAATGATGATAAACTAATACACTTAAGAAAAAAACAATAAGAATAACTAATTTAAAAAATATAGGACTACTTAAAAGAACACGCTAAAAGACATCTTTTCTATCTAAAGTTTGTTACCTCGTGGTTTGTGAGCGATGAGAATCAAAAATGAAACTTTTTATATACTTACTCTAGATAAGTAGGCTACGTTAAACATGCGATTTACATAACCTACATAAAATAGCATGGTTAGGTTAGCACATTTCACGGAGAGTGCAAAAGAAATTGGAGCCCTTCATTCACTCTTACAGAGTTTAGTGACCATATTGTTAACTTGAAAATAATTAAGAAGTATAAAAGAGCCATATATGGTTTTTTCCTGGATTAATATCAAAAGACAAACTATAAATAGGATAAATTGATTTTTATATAGGATTTATGTTTAAAAAATATATAAAAAGCTGTATTACTTAAAGACAGATAAACAAAAGCTTTTTTAATATGATTAAAAGTTCTATTGTACTGAAAAAATTACGGTACAAAGATGTTTTACTTTCTTCCTTTTTTTTTCTCTCTCTCTCTCTCTTTCTTTATTTCTTTCAATATTGTTCTTCAAAAACTTAATTAGATATACGCGTAGCATATATCTTTTCTTTCTGTAAACTCTTCTGTTCACGTACAGATGTAAGGCGTGCACAAGTTCTAACATTACATATATTTTCTACGAAATTATGATGTACACTACAACGTGGCGCAAATAAAAACCTACAATTGTAAATATTATAATGAAAAAAGATGCTTATATTAAGGCTTTATTTTCTATCGATATTTATTTATAATGTACAATTTCAAATAAATACTAAGCAGGTGGCGTTAGTATCCACAATTTATGGCTACTGTTGAAAATGTTTTCTTTTTTGCTATTTGAATAACAGTCAGTCATTAAACAATATAGTGGGAAAAAACTGTAAAAGAACTTAATATCTTGTATTGGAATTGGCATAATAAAGTGTATTTTATTCAAAAGAAATGAATTTTCATACAGTACTACAGAAAATATTCAAAATTTTATCATTAAACTTTAATACTTCGGCTATTCTGCAATTTTTTGTTTTAATAATATTAACTATCGGTAAACAACTTGATAGTTTGCTGCATAGAATCCTTTTTACACTATTTTTTTCGTGTATCTCATCCCTATGATTATAATGCCGACTTACGCAGTACACCAAGCTGTTAGGGTCAGAAATTGGATCTAAATTAGGTGTTGCTAAAATGGGAAGGAAAAGATTTAAAAACGGTTTTCTTTCAATATGGTTAAATTGTCTTTTAGTGATGCAGAAATTTAAATAATCGGCATATATACACTTGTTATTATTCTTGCCTGGTTCTAAGAAAAATATATCTAGAAATGGCCAAGAATAATCGTAGGATTTAATGTTAGCATTATGCTTATTATAAAATTTCCATTTTTTTGTTTTATCTCTCTTAGAAATCCTGTAATCCGTAGAGTTTTTCAAGAAAAAATCAAATTTTTCCTTATCTTCCTCCAAGAGAACGAGATCTATATCGTCGTCATAAGGTATAGGACCATGATGCCTATTAGTGCCAAGTCTAGTTCCAGATGCTGCAAAATATCGTATGCTTCTTTTTTTACAGAATTCATCAAATGTTCGCAACATATTCTCTATATCTATTAAATTTTCAATGGTTAATACAGGTGTGAACGAATCATACTTCGAATAGAGAGTTTTGCATTCTGGAAATACTGAAGTAACATTTGAGGACCAATAGACGTAATGAAATTTTGAAATTCCATTTTTTTCATCAGAAATCCCAACTAATCCAAATCTCCATTTATGCATAGATGAAGTTTTATGTATAAAGAGAAGAATTATGAACAAAATACATGCAATACCCAGATAGTATAAAACTCTCATATTCAACTGTCCGGCATAGTATGTAATATATGTTACATGCAATGTGGCTTAAAATTCAATTTTATAAATTTATTTTTGCATAGAGAGAAAGTTGTAGTGCACTTCACAGTGCACAACTGGTGCATAGGAATATAACTGACTTCTCTACAGGAAAAGGGATAGGAATTATGTCTGCTGATAATTATGAAATTATTTCTATTAGCCCTCATAGGACAAACTAATTCATATGCTATTTTTTCTCGTACGCTTATAACCTCGCCCTAATGGAACTTGTACTAGAAAGCACTTTATTTTTGATATAGGCTTTCTTGCCGATGACTCCCCTCTAGTAAATTTCAATTAGTCCTATACTGAAGGTTGATCCTTTTAAGAATAAAATCAACATATCAATATTCAATATTGAACTATTGTAGTGCTGCCCCCATAAGCCTTCGCCGCCCATAGCCTCGCCCTTCTCGCTGAGAAAATATGGTTCAAGAGAATACTGGAGGAAAAGTCGAGCATATCCCCCTGGCAAAATGCCGGGTTCTCTATTTAGGATCCGCTGTACCAACGGAAACTTCCGAAGGTCTCGATGCCATTCAACAACCTTTAAGAGAAAGATATCCAATTGAGAAAGAAGGAGATGTACCTGGCATCGATGCTTGGTTAACAGTGTTTTCAACGGGACTTCAACTTCAATACGTCGATGAAAGATCCAGAGTAGTTTGGTTTCCAATCCAAACTTTACATTTATGTGCTGCAGTTAAAGCTTTGGTTATTGTAAATGGAGCTACAGGAGAAAAACAAGCCAAATTTGTGTCTCTGGACGCTCCGGTTTGTAAATTTAACAAAAAAAGAAATTCGTAAATCATAAATTTTTGATATATAGCTAACATTTTAACTATTCAAGTTAAATGTATAAATTGAAATAATATCAACGTATCCCTTCTGAACTTTAAGTTTATATATAATCAGGAAAGTAAATTTACTAATATTATAGAGTATTAATATTTTCCCTAGGGGGTAGCAAGTAGAACACACCCTCCCATCTTTTGCGCTGTTATGAGAAGGAATCTCGGAAGAAAAGTTTTGGAGTGTCACGTATTTGTCACAAAATCCGAATCAGGTGCCGTGGCCCTTGTTCAATCATGTACAAGGGGATACTCCCAAAAAGAAGGTTGGTCGAATGAGCCTCCGCCCGCTGATGTTGTAGCCAGTGAGCTGACCGCACCCATGCAGACTGTCAGCTTAGTTCCGGCTGAGCCTGTTAAGGAACTAGCTCCACCTGAGTTTTACGCAAGACCTCCTCTTCAAGGATACTTTTACGCTACTTCGGAACACCTTGTTAAAAAGTACAATCTTTTTGACATGCAACCACTACGAATGAATTATCCAGGTCCTCCCATGTCTTTGCCACCAACCAGGCCAAGACCTGTTATAGGTGGTCCTCGACCAATGCCTCCTGCTTCTATTGGTCCTCATGGCCATCATTATGGTCCCCCTGGGCCTAATTTTGGTCCTCCTGGGCCCCCTTTTGGCCCACGTGGTCCAATGGGACCACTAAGACCAGGATTTGGCCGTCCGCCTCCACCAAATTCTTATAGGCCCACTTTTAAGAAGGAAGACATCAAGAGAAAGTCAAGAGGCCGCTCCCGTAAGGAGAAGCATTATAAGCATGGCTTTAAAAAACATCGTAGCGCCTCAAGATCACCGGAAAAGGCTAGAAGTCCACCACCGAAAAAAGATGGCAGAATGAAAAGTCCTCCGCCAGCATATAATAGAAGACCACCATACCATCACGATGAGCGCAGATTTTCAGATGATTCCGATGAATACGAAGATGACTACTATTCAGATTATGACAACTATGAAAGTAATCAGCGAAGATATTCGCCGAGAAGAGGAGGACAATACAATTCACCATCAAGGAGTCCCTCTCCCAGAAGAAGTCCGTCACCAAGGAATAGACAAAGGACAAAGAGTCCGCCAGGAAGAAGACCTATGCCACTTCCAAGTAAGTCGTTTTTTTTTTTAAATTCAACTTCAAAGTACAACTTTCTATACTTAATTTGTAAATTACTAGGAGACAACGACAGAGCACAACGTAACCCACCGAGACGCCAACCTAGTCCAAGGCGCCCTGCACCTAATACACAAGGAGATTCTGAATTTTTACGAGGTGGACCAAAATCATTTGATGACATAGGTATAATAAATACTGGTGAAGTTCAATTTAAAAAAAATGAGAGACAAAGACCGCCATATTTGGATGACATTGAGCCTGATTATCCTACTAGACAGAAATTTCCTAACAGCAGGAAATACTTTATGGATTCTATAAGAGCTCAAAATAAAGTTGGAGCTTTCCCGAACGTTGATCCTTACGAGATGAACCTAGAAAATATTATTTCAGTTGATGCAAATCAATTTGAGGATCAAAATGGACATATGAGAAATTCAGGACAAGGAGGAGCCTTTGACGGGGGGCTCGACTATTAATATTTTAAGTTTTTTGCGAGTGTAGATAAGTTATCGTCTTACTTATCGTCTTAAACAAGAGGGTTTTTCAATATGTATACGTTTTATAAAGAAAAGATATCTATATCTATATATATATATATATATATATAAATTTATATATACATACATATATATTTTTATAAAATTATGATAAGTATCGTTTGTCTTTAAAAATACTTTTTAACTAAAAGATTCGAGTCCTAATTTGGTGGTTGGTATTTTATTTAAACGGGGATTCTATAAGATGCAGAAATGACAGGCTAACAATAAAAAAAAAGGCAAAAAAAAAGACAACTATAAAAATGTAAGGATTTCATATACTAACACTCATTTAGTAATATGATATGTCACTTATTTAATAATATATTCTACCTCTTTCTCATTTTTCTTTGTTACTTAACAGATTGTAACCTTGGTGTAGTCTATCTATATTTCCATATACAAATAATAATAATCTATAAAATACATAAGAGCACCTAGAACTGTATGATAATGTTTATGGATACGTGGCATAGTTATATATCCGTCAAATATGATATTATATGATACTATATATGATATTATTGTATCTTCTGACAAACGATAATTTAAGAAAAAGGAAAAAAATTTTCATTTACAAAAGTAGTTATTTAATTGGAAGTAATCAATCTCTTTGATTGTACAATTTTTATATCTATTCCTGTGACCTTTGACCTTTTTGCCATACTTTTTATATTTTTCAAATAAAAAAATCAAATAATCCATTTTTACATTGATTCTTATTTTCTTTGAACATTGAATATTACAGTTGCTATAATTATGATACTAATTACATTATAGTAAGATATATAGTCTTTTATTTATTTGGAAATACTATAGTTGAAGCTATGAACGTTTATTGATATTTCACACTTTCACTTCAACGATTTTATTGAATGAGTCAATACGATATCTTTTTTCTGACTTCGTTTACAAAGATGACATTCCCACTTTCTAATGTAGAATTGTTTTGACGCCGTTTATAAATATTATAGGATAGCATCGAATCAATCATCATTGAAGCAGAGAAAAGAAAAGAGATAGAAGTAAGGTTCATTGAATCAAAAAGAAAGCTGATACATCATTTATTGAATGTAACCATTTCAAAACAGTTATAATGAATAGATTTTTTTAAATATATATAAATGAGAATTTACTTTTTTTATAATTTTAAAATTAAGAATAAGTCAAATAAAGAAGAGAAAAAAAAACCCCACCCAGAAGAAAATAGCTCATGATTAACATTTCAAGAAGTTTGCGCCTAATTTTTCTACACGTGTGATTGTGATTCATTTGATCTAGTAATATTAGTACAAAAGTCTATTTATTGCTATTTTATTAATAAAAATATCGATTATTTAGACAAATACTATATACAATATATATATATTATAATATTGCGAAGATACGAAAATGTTTGGTATTTTTCATAGTATTCAATAAGATTTATTGTGTATTTAATTATGGTAAACACCTATGTACAATTTTCATGAATAAGGTAGGATAATCGACAAACTTTTAACAAATGAAAATATTTTTTATTTCATTCTCTGTCTACGTTAAAGGAGGAAAAGACCGAAAACTATACCCTTTTCTTTTTCTCTCAAAACAGGGATTGTTGTTATAAAATAGTTTTTACCCATATTTAATCTATTCTTCTACTGTAATTTTAAAAACAAACAACTTTTTCTACCTATTTATATGTAAGTCTAAATATACAAGCAATATCTGCAAATATACATTCAATCGCAATAGATATATACCTCATATAACCATTGATATTCTCTTCAATTCTAATAAATCATTATTAAAATATTCTCAAATGAAAAACCAATTAATTGTTCATTTTCACTTTTATATAATTTTAAACAGAAAGTCATTTTTCTGTCTACTAAGGTAATGTTATAGATTTTGTTTGTATAAATTATGTCATTTAACTTCCATTCAATCTAAATTCTTTATCTTTAATATAAAGACGAGTAATAAAATGGATCTTATGAATTTAATGATTTCAATACGTTTTTCTTTTTTCTCACTTTAGAATGGAATTAGTTCAAAAAATGTATTTCTTTTTCTTACAATTGTTAGATCTATCACAGCTCAATCTTCTTGATATTAGTTGATAATATAATAAGAAAATGAGATTAATACAAATACACAAATAAAAGAAAAAAAATAATAAAATTAATAATGTTTTTCCTCTTGTTTTGTTATTAATTTTGCTATTTTTTGTTATCAGATAAAAATTTTAAAAGCATAAATAAAATATACACACGAAGTAATATATATATATATATATATATAATATATATAACCATATAATATATATGGTTTTTCCCAATCAGTATATATATATACATATACATATATATATATTTTTCATCCGGATTTTGTTTAGTTTATATGTTTTTTGAATAGAATGGAAAAAAAAAGAAAACTAAATATAATTTTCACTTTCTTTGTTATTAAAATATACTTTTTTTTTGCTAGTTGTTTGTTTCTTTCCGTTTCTTGCCTTTTGTTTTTTTTTTTGTTTAGTTGGTTGGTTGTCTTCCTCTGACATAAATGTTTAAAATATATCTAATTTAAAAAATATTTTCTTTTTTTCAGTAATTAAATACTGTTTTGTTAAAATTCCTGATCTTTTCTTTTTTAATATCCTGGATTTGTAAAAGAAAATCCTTCGAAAGCATCTTTTTTCATTGTTCCTAAAAGTGTTTTGTCAGGAGGTGTTAAGAATACACGCTCTCTGGTAAATTCTTGATCGAAATTGCTAGTATCTTGTGGATTCTTAAATTTTGGTACAAAAGGTGGCTTAAGTTCTAATCTTTGAAGTTTTTCCCAATCAATGCCAGCGTAGAAACGATGTCCTCGGATCGGTGATTCAAGGCCACGCATTCCCAAACGATTTTGCGGGTTCTTGCAAAGTAGCTTTAACAAATAGGATAAAAATTAATTATTTATTTTTATAGCATTAGAAATAATCTCAACGATCCTAAAAATTGCGTTAGAAGAGCTAAACATCAACTAGTCTACAAAGTAAACTATAACAAGGCCAAGCAAACTTTATAGTCTGGAATTATTTTAGTATTATCTAAGGAAAACCATTAGATGGAAAACAAACATATCAAAGTAAATTATGTAATGGGGTAATAAATTAAATTAGGCTGTTGTAAAGCTTAAATATAAAGCTACAATTGTTCTCTAAAAGCTTTTAAAATCATCAATAGTCTACTTTTGTAATTTTTCAAAGGATAGCAAAATTTGTACATACCCCTTTAATACAACTTGCAGCATCAGCTTGAATATATCTTGGAATAATAGGTTCGTCGTGACAAATACTAGAGAATAAAGCGTCCTCGTCCTCACCGTGGAATGGTGATTGTCCTAATAACATCTCATATAAAAGTACACCAAAACTCCACCAATCCACGGACTCATTATATTGGTAGCCTTTTAATATTTCAGGAGCAATGTAATCGGGAGTACCGCAAAAGGTAGTAGCCTTGGAATCTCCCCTAACTTCTTCTTTACACATACCAAAATCTGCTATTTTTATGTGACCATTCTTATCGATTAAAACATTATCCAACTTTAAATCTCTATAAATGATGCACTTGGAATGCAAAAACTGGAGACCGCAAAGAATTTCAGCTGAATAGAAACGGGAACGTTCAATATCGAACTTTTGGTTTTTTTGAATATGGAACATCAAATCGCCCCCATATACGTATTCCATTACGAAAAATAGATGACTATCGGATTGAAAGGTACAATAAAGATGAGTGAGAAAAGGATTTTTACAAGCCAAAGCCAAAACTCTTCTCTCTATCATAGTACATTCCACGTCGTTATCTTCCAAGACGATATCCTTTCTTAGTGCCTTTATAGCGTAGAATTCAGCAATTGATGAGCTTTTTCTTTCGGCTAAAAATACTTTACCAAAACTTCCCTTTCCCAAAACTGCTATTAAGTTAAAATCAGAAAGTTGGAATTTCCTTTCTCCGTTTCCCATCTCATTTTTTAATTTATCCGTTTGTACAGTCCACATACGGACATAATCTAGTGATTCCTCTGATTCTGTGGATCTTGAAGATAAGTCACTAACAGGTGACTTGACTGGTTTATTTTTTTTGATGTTATTAAGTTCTTCATTTAGAAGTTTTTGATTGACTCCACATAAGTTTGCCACTTTATTCTGACACTTATGATGCACATTTACATTGCAAGCGGGGCTTTGACACTTAACACCTTGCTTAAATAAACCGTAGAGCAAAGATCCACAATGATCGCAGAACGTCGGTGACATATAGTTGTGGGTCTGAAATTGGTGAGGGACATCAATCCGAAATCTTTGCAATATCTTTTTCGTTTCTTGGGTATCTCTAGCGTTGCCTGGGCAGGTTCCTAATATATTCTTGTGACATTTTTTATGCACGGAGCATCCGCATCCCTGACATCTATACCCCTGACGATTTAAACCCCAAATAAATTCAGAGCAGAAACTGCAAAAAGTTGGCTGTCGGAAAAATACAGCAATAAAACGATGTCCTTGAACTTCGTGCACTTTTGCTTTTTTGACAGCATTACGACGTTTTTCAAAGCCAGGCCTTTGGGGTATTATTTCTGTTAAGTGGAAAGAGTTGAAAGTTAGTAATGAATACCAAGCTTATCAAAATCTACACAAGACCAAAAATTTTAGTAACTGTGATAAGAATTGACTAGTCAGTAGTCAGTGCTTTACTTTCGGTATAAATCGCATTTTCAAATATGAGAAACGCACTCAACGCGTAATATAGCAACCAGGCAACAAACAAGACAAAAAAGTCTATATTCTTAATCAAACACTTGTATTTATATGCTGTTGGCCTGGACGTCAAGGGTCTCTTATTATATAACGTTGAATATTACTTTATAGAGAAACACAATTGGATTTCAGGCAATTCGTAAATCAGTAGAAATCTTCGAATTAATTGTCTAACAGAAAAAGAAGTACAAAAAACAGCCTATGATGATAAAAATATGCTAATATTGAAGCTAAATTATCCATTGTAAGAATTAAAAGGCTAAAGAAAGCAGAGAAATAGCTCTATAAATCCGTTTAAGCCTACACTCACTTCCGCCACTTAATCTATCAACAATTCTTCCCAAAACTGAATTGTCTGAAATAATAGTTAGCATATATACCACAGAAATGTTAATGGAAAATAGAAGCTAAAAGCTTGATTTTATAAAAGCTCTATATTTTTACCATAACGTGTTGAGGAAGCATTCGAGGCTGTTACAGGATGGAAAAGGTATTTTAAGTAGACGGAGAAAAAATACGAAATCTCGATCTTGATCAAATCAAGAGGTAAAAGTGAAAAATAATTAGATGAGAAGGGCGGTGACCTTCTCGATTTTTTTTTGCTCATTACTTTCGAATACATCGAGAAAAGAAAATAGACCGCTTACCTTCGTCCGGAGTAAAATATCTAATTTGAATAACCAATTTCCCTCCTGGAGTTGTTGGTAACTGCAAAATATATTCGTATTCTTATTACATTAAAAAATAACACGTTAAAAAAATAATAATAATACATCAAGACGGGCCACGCTTGTTCCATTACACTGGCTCGCTAATCTAGCAGCTGGTACAGATATATCGGCGTAATCCACGCCAGCGTCATTATCGGCTTTCCCCTTTTGAACGATAAACTCAATCAGTCGTCCATCGTACAAATGAGCATCAAACGTTGAATCCCAATCCTGCCGAATAGTTTTCTTCCTCTGTATATATTTAAATTCTCCATCTATTCAAAAAACATAAACGGAAATTTATATCATGATATCAGGTAAATTTCTTTTTATTTTGACATTTAGTACGTTAATAATTATTTCAGAGATAGCCTTTACATTCACAGATAATTTACTATAAAACAATGAAACTCTACTAAGAAACTGTAATGTAAATAGATGAAGTAAGGCGTGTATTATAAAGGTTTTATTGTTGAATAACGAGAGAGAGAGAGAGAGAGAGTAGAAAGAAAGTTTTTTTAAATATTTATAATACATACAGGATATTATCAGTACTTTTATCAAAAATATTCCAGTTTTTAACCCCAAAACATAAAATTAAATAAGGTATTAATTAATTATTTGCTACAACCGAATACAATATTTATATTCTTTTATATTAATATCAATATATAAGCTTATTAAGTTTAGTTAATTGAATAGTTTTATTTATAGGTAATCAATAAATATCCGTGTATATATATTTATGTAGTAATGTATACAGGTAATCATAGAACGTACATGTATACGTATTTTTATGTTTTTTTACTTCCTGTCTGACTATAAAAATTGAGTATTTTTCACCTTCCCTTAGTACACGCACGAGCTCCTTACGACTCCAAGCGTACCGCCTTACCTACCCTATTACCCTTTCTAGTCTCGTCACTTGCTTTTGCTCTCGCTCTCTCTCTCTCTCTCCTTACTCTCCTTCCGTTGCCTTCCCTAACTCCCTTCCTCTTACCCTACTTGTCCTGCCTTTTCTCATACCACTTATCTTAAAATTTTTCTACTTGAAATATACCATTTTGTCGCAAAAGCATTTAAACACGCAGCTTAATTTAAAAACAATCACGAAGAGATTATGTTATTCATGTAACTTACTGTTCGAAGTGACTTTTTCCTTTACGTTGATTGCAACACACGAATTATCTGGCTGGTAACTGCCTTTGGTGTTAAAATCAGTCTTATAAGCCACCAATTTCACTCTTATAAAACCAACATTTGCCGGGCCCGACATCTTTTTTCCTACTCGTAATGTATCTGAAACATGAATAAGCAATTCGTATGAGTAAAACTATTTCGACTTAAATACCATTTATTAGTCATAATTTACAATTTTTCTTTATTAATTTGTAAGGTCAAGGTTAAAAATCACACATTTCTCTGTCCATAAGAGAGATACACTGAAGTTATCACAAAATCGACAAACACTATCTGGTTACAATACTGGGGTATAATTGATTAGAGTGCAGGTATTTCCCGAAGAATAAAGAAGCAACTGAATAATACTAAAGGTATAATACCGTTTCTATATACCGCCAAAAATAACTGCTTCGATACGAATGAATTATCTTACATAAAGTAGCAATTTACTTACACTCAACTCTGAGGGAATATGGTCTTTTGTCTTCGACGTCGATCGCTCTTTTGAGCGCACATATGCTCCTACAAGGTAGTTTATTTCTCTTGTATCGCGGGCTTTACAGAAATGTAGGAATACAGCCAATCTATTGGTACTATATTTTTATTTTTTTGCCGGAATGGGACTACTTTCAATATTAGGCCTATAAATACTACGTCAACTCGCCTTTTAGTTTCGTAGTAAAAAAAATGAGAGAAAGAGATGAAAAAAAAAACTAGGATTTAGAAAGCAAGTGTAAAATTTAGTAAAGACAAGTTGATCAATTTTCGCTTTAGGGAAACTTATAACAGACAAAAAAAGACCAAACTAAACTAAATCTCAAGGGAAATTTGCTATTTTCCCCGAATTCTTTAAAATAAATAATGCCAAAGTTGACATCCTCTAATAAAACGTAACAAAATAGTTCAAATGTTATGCAATATTTGTGCAATTAAGAAAAAGAAAACAGCTTTAAGTGTCAACTATTGAATATTCACTACAATTACTAAATAAATTCTCATCACGCTCTATATTAACACGATTTTCACTTTACTAATTAGGTAAAGCATTATTGTTAAAAGACATTGAACTGATGATAGAGCATTTATTTATAAGATGTAAAATGTGATTATAACTCTTGTCACGCGTTGACGAATGCAGCAACCTATGTTTTGTATTATTTGAAACGTTATTGCCTAGTCGTTTTTATACGGGACATAGGATAAAATCATTTGAACTCTTAAACCTATTCAAATTCTATGACTAATATGGTTGTGATTTTGAGGAGCAAGCACATTTGTATATATCTATATGCTATCCGAAATAGACTAATAGCTATTTTCACCGGATGTTACATTCTGAAAAGAGACGATGCAGCATTAATTAACTGTTTCTACTAAGCCTATATGTTTTTACAAAAAAAATAATAACATCATATAGGCCTATGCGTTGAATTTAATAGGTATATAGGCTTTATATATACACATATACAGTATATATTTATATGTGCGTGGATGCGTCTGTGTATCTGTTTGTGTTTGTTTATATTTATGTTTATGCATACACTATTTATAATGTACATATATGCTTACACAGTACATTATGTAAACAGAACGTATACTATTCCTGTTCAATAATTGATTCTGTTCATTGGATATTACTGCATTTCCTGCTTTCTTGTATTAATTATAGAGAATATTGACAATTCATATAAGATATATTAGACATCATCTCTTTTCCGATACTGTCTACTTGAATTTACAATTAGGTTTATTTTTAATAATTCCTTTATAAGATTACTTTACTTTAAAACATATTACTTTCATTATTATTGTTGGTGTTATTTATTTATCAAGACGTACTTCTAAAATTAGATAAATTAGTAATAACGAACCGGATGAGGGTCAAGCCATTGTAAACTTAAGCATGCGCGTGTAAATCTTGGATTGGGGGCGGACTAAACATGTTTATTTTATTGTCTAATCAGCATATTCAAAGGTATCAATGTCTACAATTAACTTCTACCCCTAATTTTTGGTTGGTTGTCACGAACTCTGTTTTTGTAGCAACCGGTACCACCGACAGCATGACAAACTCCATCCGAAATTGGGCAACAGTCATGAAAGTCTCCGATTGCAGAAGGGCAACACATTTCACCCTGAGCACAACATCCACTTATATTAGGTTGAATATGCCAACAGCAGACTTCTCCATTTACGTCACAGATATTATTCGCCGTGCAATTACCTAGTACAGGACGCTGAGTGGTTTCCAAAACTGGTGGTTTTGTTGTGGTTGTTTGTTCCACTATTGGAGTTTGTGTTACAGGTTCAGGGGTGACTACAGGAGGTAACGTACCGCAAGGAGGGGGAACTAAATGTGCCCAATTGCATAGCTCTAGGTAAACATCCCATCGTAAATCTACAATAAAAGAAAATTTAAAAAAATCAATAACAGAATCAATACTATAGCTGTAATTAGTGATAAAGTATTATGAAAAAATGACACGATACTTTGTACAATGGCGCCATCTATCTAAACAATTGTTATTACACGTATTAAAAAGGGTATAAATAGTAAAGACCTTACTCGAAGGACAACATTGGGTTCCAACATTTATATTGTTCATACATGTAAAGTAGCATTTGCAATCAAGGTTTACTAGTGGATAGCGTCCATCTGGTATTCCATTACAATTGACCTGATTTCCACAAGGAGGAGGACTGACCGATTCTCTGAAAAGTTTTATAAATATTAGTTATTGCTTATTTTAATAATCTCAATAATTTTTGAAATATAAAACAAAATTTTAAACAAAGAAAGATATGTCTTTTCATCTAAAAGAGAAAAAAGATAATAATATGAAAGAATTGAAAAAATGTTTGATAATTACAAATCACATTTTCTTTTCACATGGTTATAAACGTATGGTTTGGTGCAAAATACTGGAAATTCTTGTTGATTTCTACACTCAACGTAGTAGTTACATGCCCGATGAATATGTTCACCATCTGGTTTACCTATACAGTCGTTGCAAATAGCGAACTGCAAAAGAGTAAATCCCAATAATAAAGTTATCAAACGATGGATCATCTTGCGCGTAATAAATTAATCTGTGATTTAAATTCTTTACTTATAAATATCAGTCTTAATCGGTTAAGAGAGTACTTTATCAAATCTTATACGTAGGTGTTTAATTTAGAATTTCGATTGCTGCACTTAACGCGTATTTTCTAAAACGTACTGCATATTCATGAAGAAAACTATGGTCAACAGTTCGCCCAAGTGCGAATCTTCGTTTCCTATTGTGATTGAAAATTCCGTACCATAATTACTCTGTCTTTCATCTAGGGAGACATATTTTATAATTTGTTGTCAGCCCTTTTTACACCCCTTTATTTTTTAGTACAATTTCGCTCCTCTCAAATGCACTTGAGTTTGAACTTTATCCACTGATTTCTTTTCATTTCAGAAGATTTGTCACTAACCCAAAATTTACAAAATTATAAATTTATTAAATTTATCAGTTATTATCTCTCCACAAATGATAAGTGGATTGTGATATAACTGTAATTTAAAAGTCCTATCTTCAGAAGAGGTACTAGCAAGAATGTTAATCGAAATAATATATTAAATAATATCACATGTTACTTACACTAAAACAATAAACAATAATTAGAGAATTAATGATAACTTAGTATTTTATAGATTTTATCTTTGAACACTCCAAACAAAGATACGAGTGCACCAAATAATTAAACTAATCAAAAAGACCATGCCTTACAAAAAGAAAATAACCAATTTTTTTCTCTACAGCTCAATAGAAAATCTAGTTAGACAAAATCTTTCTATTTATCATCGGAATATTATATCTAATCTAAAACTATCAATCGTTCTTAACTGGATAATTTTTTATTGAATATGTATGATAACAAAACTGAAGTATACTTTGCATGTAGAGCTTACAGTAGAGTATATAACATATAACTATGTGGGAGTAAACCAACATTTTACACGAGATTCAAGCGTTTTTATACATCTAGATTATCTTTAATAAAGTTTCCGATACTTGTCATTCGCTGGAGAGCATTTAATGATTTTCGATTTGTAGGAGATGATGGTATATCTTTTCTAATAGCTTTCCGCCTGAAATCTGATTTTGATCTGGGTCCCCAAGAATTTCTATTCGGATCTAATTCTGAAGGAATTACGAATAGAATATCGATGTCTTTCTCCGGACCTTCATCCATTTCAATTTTAAATTGATCGCTTTGTTTATCAAAGGAAAATGATACTGCTTTCTTAAAATCATTTCTCATTTGCTTGAGACGACTACTACATCCATCCGGTTGATCTGATCCACCTTCGTTTTCAGAGTCTTTGTCTTTTTCATCTTCTTCCTCTGGATATGGCTCTAGGGGTAGGTCAAACATTGGCCACAATTGGTGATAATTCTTTATGATTTCGTCCATCTTTGACTTGAAAGTTAAACTTTTAAGTTCAGGCTCGGGTGCAATGGGCTGTAAAACTTTTCGAAGCATAAGGGGCAAAAAGCCGCCGGCAAATGTTGCCAACATTTGATTAGTTGAGGATACTTGATAAATTTCACCAAACGACATTACGACAATTAATACAAATAATAGGAAGATTACGATAATTAGAAACCTCTTTGTAGCTGCTAATAGGGATAAATAAACAGGACCAGGACTTCCAGATACTCTAATTTCGCAAAGTTCCTCAAATAATTTTCTAGGCACTCTGGGTACATCGTCTGAGTCGATAAATAAAATTAAATCATTCAAATCCCAAAAAATATTTTGCGGGAGGAGAGCTTCTCCATCCTCTCCACTTGCTATGTCATCAGGATTTTCGTGTTCAGCTTGATCACTAGCCTCTTGGGCTTTAAATCCCATATTTTCTTGCAGATAAGAGGGAAGGGATGTAACTTCAGAGATACCATGTATTCTATCCTTTACTTCTGCAAACATGGCTTGATTTAGCTTTAGATATTGCTTGGCAACATTATTATAGCAATCGTAAGAGTATAGAATTACAAGTAAGGATAGAGTAACATATCGAAGAACCGCTCCTGCATTGACAATTATACCCATTAAAGTAAACACGAACATTTCAACCATGTAGCCAACACATTCTGCCATGAGCATCATTACGGCTGCCATTGCAATGATACACATTAAACCTACTAAATTTTGCCATGCCCTCAGTACAATAAATTTAATTTTATCTCTGTTTGTTTTTTTAGCACTTGATTCCATCTCACTCTGTTGTTGCTTAAGCATCTGATCTGTTTCTTCCGATTCAAATGAAGAAAATGTTCCTATACTATCTTGTTGAATAAGGCGATCTTTAGTTACCTCTTTATCAGTTTCTTTCTCTTTGTCTACATCCTTTTCTTTATCGTTGTCCTTCTCTGTTTCTTTATCTTTGCATTTCTCTTCATCTTTATCCTTCACTTTTTTCTTATCTCCGAGATTCTCAGAGCTAATTTTGTGAAGGTTAATTTTTGAGTCAGCTTTTGATTTTCTTCTTTGTTTAAACTCTCGAAGGAGGCTACCTGTTTTAAGCTTTTCCATTTCCTCTTCTAATTTCTTATTTATTCTTTGCTTATCCGCCATGAATAAAATTTCATCATCATCATCTTCTTTTAAGGTAGAAGCATCTCTAGCATATCTCAGCATTCTAAATATGAGATAGAATAAGGGCAGACAATAGATTACGCAAACTAACAAAGAAAATGGTATAGCAAATGGCCAATAAATTAATCCTACGATAATTCCAAGAAGTCCAAATTTCCTCATAGGATACAAAATATTGAAAGTTAAAAACTTTAAAGAAGAGAGCCAAACTGAATTCCTTAATTCCCTAAAAGATTTTATCATAACTCTTTGGAAATGAGAATCTTTCCCCCTTTGATGTGAGTATGCTAAAAAGCAAGCTGTGAAAATGTAAACTATATATATTCCAATGAAAAGTCCATGGGTCGGACCGAGAGAGTGCATAAACCTAAAATTGAAACGGATTGTCTTTCCAAGTTTATCGGTGGCTTTAAATCGGGCATCAATTTCCTCGCTTTCATACATATAGAACAGGGTTATTCTTATGTAATATGGAAGTGGAAGAAGTAGGATTAGCATTATTCTTGTTAACAATTTGCAAAAATGAATCCATTTTATATCCTTTATCTGCTTCACAGGTAATATAGGAGAGTCACAACAGTCATTAAAAGGTGAAATTTCCTTTAATTTGCACAGACAAATAGCTCTTTTCAAAACTTTAAACAAGCCTACAGGAACCTTGTTCTCCAATAACAGTTTTCCGTAGTTAATCAATAATCGATAGGACGATATCTATAAGGTAATAAAAAATTTGTAGAAGTATCGACAAAATTCTTATTTCTTTTCAAAGAACGTAATTACCATATAATACAAAAATTATAAGTGCAATAAAATGAGAGAACATAAAAAAACAGAACATATAAATAATATAGTAACTTCTAAAAGATTAAGGACTAAGGAAGATCTATTAAACAGTTCTTTTATGACAATTCCTTTTTTGCTGTACTTCATACATTTTTCTTTTTACCTTTTGTAAAATAGACTCAGATAAAACTGTTTCGAGTTTATGACACATAAATGGCACGCTCTATATGGCATGAAATAGTTGAATAAATATAGGACATAAAAAGTTTCACAAACAGACATAAAAGGTCATTAGAATCTATTCTTTCTTAACAATAAAGAAAGTATAAAATTTGAAAGAGGGGGAAAATATTAATAATTGAAAATTTTACGTTTCGTTATTACCTTTACTCTTATTCTGTCTCCTGGTGTAAAATTTTTCAACTCCAACTTACATGTCGGAAATCCCCTCTCGACGCTTGTTAAATCAATAATCTTTTTCGATCTGGCCACGTATCTTTCTACATTCCCAGGATTAGCAACTGTTATAAACTTGACTAGTGGCTCCTTTAATTTTACTAAATATCTAACTCTATGAGGCTGCGAAGTATACAACCAACGGGGTATCATTAATGGCCCAAATACAAATACCAAAACTTTAAGAATGAGAAGAAGAACGTTTAATAATTTTACCCAAAAGTTATAGATATCCTTCGAGCACGTAATTTTTTTTTTTTGAGCGTCCCAATGACAACATCTATCTTCGAAATCCGCGTATATACTTGATGTCATGATTATTTCATGACAAACTCTTTCAAAAGGTTCAATTTGGATATGAGCATTTTCACCTTTTTCAAAACCGTGGAAGATGGCATCTAAAAGAATATCCATTTTTTTAGGACCCGAAATTTCAGCGAAGCAACCTGAAGGAACGTCTCTCAGCTCTATTCGTTCAGTGATGACACCCAATTCTAAGGTAAAAACCGATAATATTCCATAATTAAAAGCTAAAGCCAACAAAGTTTGGCCATGCTTTTGAAATGCCCTATAAAATTTATTGGGTTTAAAATAATGATCTGATGTTCTAAACGGGTCAGCAGAGGCATTAGGAAAGGAAAAGTCATAGACAAGCAATTTTATCCTCATGGCGACCAATTCCTTTATCCTCCCGTAAACGTTAGCATCGATAACCTCAACTCCGCATTCGCCGGTATACTCCCGATAAGTTGTATTTCTTTGAGAAGCATCTTGAGTTGAGTTCAAAAAAGCCACGTTTATTTGAAGAATAATTACAAGTAAAATGAGAGTTTTCATTGTTTCTTTCGCATTCTCCTAGGTCACTTATCACTGTCACAATTCAAATATTAGAGATTGGCCAAAATCAAAATGGCGATCTATATATATATACCTGCAATGAAAACGCCCTTGTACTTTAAAGGAAGCACTTGAGCGATGTTTCTTACGTATATTAATTAGCACTTGAGCCTACACAGCAATAGAGAAGCCAGAATGCTGAATCTATGGGTGTAGTTATCTATTGTCATTCAAATTATCTCAAGATCTTCTTTGCAATATTACTAATATTTACACACACCTGATAGTTTGAATATTACTTTTGAAGATTGAATTTTCAAAGGACGTATAAACTTTCAGGACAGTCGTATCTTGGAGACTTTACCATTACAAATACTATTGATCTGAAAATCACGTTTCTTTAATATAATACCCAACTAAGTTAGGCGGCACCTATCGATCAATCGCAAATTCAACCTATGTGGTGAAAAGAATATGATTTTTTTTAAAGATATACCGCCACCTATTGTTAGAGAAAAAGAAAATAAACACGTTTAAGACCAAAAAAATAACCAACTTTTACAACTAAATTCTGCCTGGAAAACCTTCAAATATTTGTATTTGATTTGCGAACAAAATAAGTATATTTGGTATAATTTCAATATAAATTAAATATCGAGTAGCTGATCAAATCAGGGCTGAATTAGTAGATAATAAACAAAACTTTAAACCGGTATAGTTACATGTAAATAGACAAAAAAAAAGACAAATTTAGCACGCACGAAAAACATTTACATATAATTGTTGCGCAAAAGTTGATAAATTCATTCTATATATAACCTCTTATTACAATTTTAAAAGTATATTTTAATGTTTGTTTATCAGTTATCTACCTTTCATATTTGCTCTATTGACAAGAAAATATAGTTTTTTGACATTTTTCAGTCATAAAAAGATAAAAATAAAATATAATACTAAAAAACTAAAAAGAAAATACAAGGAAAGTAACACAAATAAAAATTGAACATATTTTATTCTGACAGAAATGTATTAAAAACTCTTTTGAACGAACAAACATAGGAAATTTTCTTATGTTTGGTATAATAAATATACATTAATAACTTATCACGCAGTTCTTAATTAAATTAATTAGGAATTGGTATCCTAATCTAAAAGTGATGGATATAATTAACAAAGAGAAAATCTGCAATTTATATATATATATATATACATAGATTAGAATGTGCATTGCATTGCTTGATTTGATTGTTAAAAAAAAAAATATGTCACTAAAAAAAAATTGAGACCAGATGCAGTTGATAAAATATTTCTGAGATTATTATTATTTTCTTTTCTCTTTATAAAAGATATCAGTTCGATGACGAAATTGCAAAAAGTGAACTTTTTTCTTGTTTCCAATTATGTGGAAACAGATTAAAAATCAAAAATCATCATCTGCTCGAGACGTGCATAGACTACAACATTTCTTGTTAGACTTTTCAACTTTTTCAACACCGTTGGCAAAGACATTTATTGCTTTCCTCTCCATTTTAACATGAAGAGATCTTTCACGTACGACTTCCCCATCGCAATTCCAATTTGGCGTGTCCATTGACGCAGCTAACACTTCAACTTTTACATCAGTTGTTCTAAAGGATTCAACATATGGCAACTTTAATGCGTTCGTGCTATCTTTTGCTAGAGCTATTAGAAATCTCAAGAATTGAAATCTGGAGCACTCATTAACGATTAAGATAACTGCACAACCATCTCCCAAATGACTGTAAGGACTTCCTCCAGTCGTAGACATGGGACACCTGCATGAAATTGTAAAAATACTGAAAACGGCAACATTTCTTTCAATGCGACGTTCTTCTAAACTTGAATTATCATCTTCCCGACTGCAACGAAGACAGTTTTCGTGGCACACAGAATCCACCACATCAGGTATCTTTTTATAGGTAATTCGAACACGGGTACTTCTCATAGATAACAATGTTCTAAATCCAGCTGCGTCGTAGCGACGTTTTCCTAGAATTCTTCTCCAAGGCTCAGCTCTTGCCAAAAGATCCCCAAAGTATCCAACAGAAAGCATACAAGTATGATGAGCTATTAGTCGATCTTCTGCATATATATTTGATACGTCTAATGATATTTGGCAGCCTCTTACAACCTGAAGAGCGGCACTTATTGCATCGACTTTAGGTCCACAAATAGAGCAGGCTACAGCATTTGTACTACCACACGGAATAATTGAGATAGGAAGTGATGAATCTGGTAGTAAACCATGTATGGCTTCAGAATAGAGACCATCTCCACCGACTAAACAAATTCCATCATAGAGAGACAGATTTTGGTTCTTTAAGATATCTCTATTTATTAATGAAAGAAAAAATAAACAAAACCTTTAGGGAATTTTTTAATATCAAACCTGCAATGATTTTTGTGTTTGGTTCTTACAACAACTGTTTCGATATTGGCCATCCTAAAAACTGGTTCAACACATTTTCTGAATTTTCTTACTCCAGACTTACTACCGCTAATCGGATTAATAAAAATTAATAATCTCTTTGGGCGTTTAATAACATGCTTTCTTAAAATTTCTTGTCCAAAATGTAACCATTTTGAAACGATTGTATCATGTGGAGATGTAATAACAAGACGCTTTAGTCGCCATCTATCAGCCTTTTTCTTATGCATGTACCAAATTTCAGCCGATAAGCAGGGTACGACTGTTTGACTCTGTAAGGAAATTTTAACATTTGCTGTCTAATTCATTGACTGATTTTGAACTGTATACTCCAAAAACATGAATGAAAAACCAATCATATTATATTTAAGTTGGAAAATAGCTCTATAATAGTAACATTGAGATAATAATAATAAAATATGAAAAATAATAATAGTATAGGGGGCATTACAATCGAAATTGTTCAAACTAGGACAGTTCAAATTTTAGAAATAATAGAGTATACAAATAAAACAAGATAAATTAACTTTATTATAATACTCTTAAAATGAAGTCTGGTACATGAAAATATTTTGAAAAGCTGTGGAATTTTTTAAAATATCTCAAAATCAATGTTCTTAAAACGATTTTCTTTTTTCTCTTTTAACTCTTTAAGAAAGATTTCTACAAGAAATGAAAATAAAATACTAAAGAACAGCTAGTTATTTAATTTTTAATATATGTTACAAATGTAAAGAAAGAGAGCTAAGGTACTGAGAGTAAGGGTTTTATAGAAATTTATAAATGATTTGTTTTAGATTAAGCTTGAATTACCAGTGAATGATAGCCAGACAGCAACTGTTATAGGTTTGCGAATGAAAATTTCTACTTATGTTAACATTCAACAACTATCAACTTACGTAGGATCTAGAATGCAAACCAGAAAAACAATTTCTTTCGCTGCCTTTACATTCTTCCCTTATGCAGAGAATTTGTTCTATTGGAACAGATTTTTTCGAATGATGCAGATCTACGAAAGAGATATTATAATCGACATAAAAGCATTATAAAATAAAATAGTGACCTCCGTTTTCGAATATTCCTTCATTTGTTTCAAACCATTCTAAATGTGTTTCGCCAAGGCACACATTATAACAGATCCGATTAATAGTAAAAATATTTTCTAAAACGACTTCGTTGTTTACAGCCAGCGCCATTACTACCTGGTCCCACTAAATTCAGAGTGGAAATTGAAATAACTTATTAAGTACAGCTAACTTGAATCAATACATTATATTGAATAACACGATTAAAGTGGTAGTTTCATCGTGTTATACTAAGAGCTTAAATATATAAATATAATAGGAAAAATTTGATCAGACTGCTATTCAGATATCTATCTGTATATTAGTGCTTTACATGTCCATTGAGTGTCAAAGTTTGCTAACAACTGTAATATCAAACTTTAGACAGCAGTTCAAAAATCTAGCATTCAATCCTAGAGTTCTTTAAATATACAAAGTAATAATTACTTGGGTAATTTCTATAAAAAAAATTTCTGCATATCATTAATAATTTTTTTCTATTATTTCAAAATCTAACTTTACTAATTAATATACTTAATTAGCATATTCAAAAAGAGAACAAGATATTCAACAATGAAAAAGAACGTTATATAGTAGGAATTTAGCTCCTATTATAATATATACATTAATATATATTTAAAGAATAATGATAAAGATAAAAGGAATTACTGATAAGCTTATTGATGTTTTTTAAACTTAAATATGGATTTAATATTTAACATTTAGGGTAAATTTAATTTTTTTTTAAATATTGATTTTTTGACTTTTGTGTAATAATTTTCCGAAACGTTTGCGGTTAGTAGTCTTACTGCCAACATGTCGCTTTTTTTGTAACTTGATCGAAAATCGCTTTAAATAATCATTGTTGGAAATTGAAAAGGACTTGTTAAGGTTTTTAAAGGAAAAATCGTACAATCTCATATTTGCTTATAAACTAACAATTGCGTGACAGACTCCTTCTAATCATTCGGATTTCACTTCCTATTATCGCTCATTTGCGAGAATGTTATGATTTTCCCGTCGTGTTGCAGTAAGTCGTCTCTGCGTGTTATGCGATAAATGCTATTATTTTTCTTATTTAGATCTTCGGAATATAATTTCAAGACTTAATAGAACTACGTCAATGTCGGAACGTCACAAGAAAGATGACGAAAATGTTGATGAATCTCCGATTGAAGAGATTCGGGAAGGCTTATGCCATCCTCGACCTATGCTATTCCTGATTCTGTGGTATTTCTTCTCAGCTTGCACTCTGTTTCTAAACAAGTACATTCTAACAACACTAAAAGGGGAACCATATCTTCTAGGAACAGTTCAAATGATAATGACAACCAGTTTAGGATTTATTCAAATGTATTTGCCATTGGGGATGTATAAGCCAATAAAACGACAGGGAAAACCTCCAAACTTTTGGAGGAATATGATAATTGTCGGATCAACTAGGTTCATAACCGTATTATTAGGTTTAGTTGCTCTTAAATATGTTGCCGTCAGTTTCACTGAAACTGTAAAGAGCTCAGCTCCCATTTTTACCGTTATGATATCAAGATGTATATTGGGTGAAAGAACTGGAGTCTTTGTGCAACTATCTCTCATTCCTATAATGGGGGGATTGGCTTTGTGCTCTGCATATGAGTTATCATTCAACATTCAGGGCTTTTTTGCGGCTCTCGCAACCAATCTGACAGAATGCCTACAAAACGTTTATTCAAAAATGTTGATTAGTGGTGAAAAATTTAAATATACGTAAGTTTTTACCTGTCCCTAATATTCTCTTTCTTTTACATAACATAATTCACTCAAAGTTAAATATCATTCATTTAACGTTATTTGAAAGTCATATAGTTGTCTGTTAATGGACTTTTCTTTGGCGATAAAGTCTATATTGAATATTTCTGGCAAATATTTATTAAATGAAATGTTCAATTCTGATAAATTTGCCCTTCCATCATCAAGAAATGTGAATTACACAGATAATCTTTAGCACCTTCACATATTTTAATTTCTCAAAGAACTAAGTAATAGTTTATCTTTTTTATTGAACAGACCTGCAGAACTTCAATTCTACACTTCTCTAGCATCGATAGTAGTACAAATTCCCACATGTGCTTTAATCATGGATTGGGGTAGAGCAGAAGATAGTCTAACCTACAAAATGATAATTAGTTTAGTTTTAAACGGCATTTTTTTTCATTTCCAATCTATAACTGCTTATGTTTTAATGAGCTACATATCTCCCGTGACTCATTCTGTTGCTAATACCGTGAAACGAGCTTTTTTAATCTGGCTCTCTATTTTAATTTTTGGAAATTCTGTAACTTTCTTGTCGGGCTTGGGAACTGTCGTCGTTACTGTTGGTGTTCTTTTGTACAACAAAGCAAGAGACTATGATGCAAGAAGAATGTCAGCCCTTCAACCGAGATCTATTTCTATAGCAAGAAAAGATGGTGACGTTATACAAGCCTAAATTATTTCGCAAATTATCCTTTTTTTCAATTTTCTTCTTTAAAAGATAAACTTCAGAAGTTTAACTTATTGTTTTAGGATTTTAACAAATTTATTATGACAAAATAATTACGTTTGTATACACGTCATGCAGAAATAAGTCACTTTTCTTTGCGTCATAGGATTGCTAAAGAACCCAAAATTTGAAAAGGATCGTTGTGCTTTTCTCATTGCTTCTATTAAAACAATAGTAATTATTTTATCTTCTCTCACAAACCATAATACGCTTAGCAATTGGTGACTTGAAAATGAAAGCGATAATTTAACAGCTCGTGATCAAGTTCATTAACTAAGTGCCTTTAAATAATTAATTTCACTTTTAAATATATAATGGAATTCATAATAATGCTTAAAATTTTCATCTAACATTTATATAGTTGCATTTGTTATTGTTAATGTCATTATGGGATTAAATAAGGTAAAATCACCCAAAATTCTGCTGTTTCAGTGAAGTTTTTTCTTTAGTATGTTATTCTTCTTGAAATGTAAAAAAACTATATATACTTCTATATTATTTACATTTTTCATCATATTTATTAATTGATCTATTTATAAAAATATATATTAATTATATATATATATATATTATCTATTCGTAATGTTTAAATGCTTAACGTTTTGGCCAATTTTGCAAAAAACTGTGATATTGATACTTAAAATTCTAGTAACATCTGTTTTGTTTTCAAAATTCAATAAATACAACTGAATTTCTCTTATTGGTTTTATTCATACAAATATAACAAACATTGGAATAAAGTTTGATAGTTTTAATCTTTATAAGTCTTCCTCTTTGGCACAAATTCACTAAAGGCGGCTTCCCAGTTATTATTATTCTGCTTTATCCTAAGTAAGATGCCTACAACTTGATCAATAGTTAAACTCTTGCTACCACGTGTCCAATCCAAATATCTCTCTAGAGGAAACCTTACGGACCTGATCTTTTCCTTTTTGGCTTTGGCAAACGTTAAAGGTACTTCTTCACTTCTATCGACAATTCCTCCGATAATGTATATAGCATTATGATCGTATTCTTTCATTGTTCTTGCTCCGTTAGGCGACAGGTAAATAAGATTTTCCTTATCATATATGTCCTGGAAGTCGTTATTACTAACTGTCCATGGTATATTACTCAAGTCTTTTCCAAAGAAGTGCATTTGATTAAAGAATCTACCTTCGCTTAAAACGTTATAAAATGAAAAATGAAATGGTTCTTGATTCATCTTGTTGATTGAATGAGAATATTGGAGCTGAGTGACAAAGTTTTTGACTTCTCTGTCAGTCATCTTATTTTCAAATGACATATCAAAGAGTAAAGGAGGTCCAAATCTCATGGCATGGCATAAATTGTTGTAATAATGTTGATTCATAGTCGTCTCCCTAACAAAAAAATATATGTTATTATAGAAGTTAAAACTCTTTTCAGGTTTTGGCTGCAGAGCTTTTTTTTGTTTTCTCTTCTTCTCATTTTCAATTTTCTTTTCAGTCTTAAACCAAAAGTTATACATCCTTCTTCGTGAAGCTACTGATGGTTTCTTAAGTATTGTGCACCACATTTCTGAGGTCATTTCATTAGGAACTCGAACTCCAGTTGAAAAGAATACATCATATTCTAATTTCAGAATTTTTAATTGCTTCTCTTCTTCTGGTGTTAAATTGGTAAGGATTTTCTTTGCATCTTCCACAGTAATTTTGTCAAATGGTATTTTTGGGGATGGTATTGTCGTTTTATAACATAGATCATCTGGCTTACGCTTTTCTAGTGTTTTTGGATTAGTTAAGTAAGTGCGTGTTGTTGGTATTAATTTAAGCACGTGTGAACATCGTCGAAGGGCTTGCATTATCGCCCACTTTCAATTCTGTTTTAAAAGTGAAATTCGATTATTAAGATAGTTATTAAGTAAAAACTATTTAAGAAACAATATAAATCTTACTTATAACAGCAAACAAAATTATATACAAATTAAGCTATAATCTTCTGTAAAGATATTTCTTGCAGATGAAACCTTCCAATGCTCCTCTTTGGGTTGCAAAACTTCTAGCAGAGATTTATACAGATTCTTATTTAAATAATCTTGATTTATTATTCATTGCCCACAAGTCATATTTATTAAATACACTATTCATAACTAACTAATTTTGATCAGCCTTTCAATCAAAGGAGAAGAACATTTTTAGGATCTCTGGGTTGCACAAATGTATGTAATTTGTTTCTTACGTTCAAAAGATGTTAATATAGTTAATTAAATGTAAAAAATCTACGAAATAAATCCAGCTTATGTCCTCTATTATATTTTTTAGTATTGCGTAGAAATTGTTACTTTTAGAAAACACGTTATCATATTTTATATAGCTAAGTTTATCCTGAATAAACTCTGCAATATATAAAACCTGTCCTCTTTGTCATTTAAGTCTGCTAGCTGATTTGAATTTCATATATTTTATTTTAAAAATTTCCTGGAGGAAAGAATTATTTAATCATTTTTTAAAGGAAAACAGCTTTTTCAAAAGGGACCGCTACATAATGCCAAGGACGTTCATTCGTATTTTCGTAAAAAAACAACTTTATTTCCTTTTCAGGAAGGATATCTTCATGATATATTTTAGAATTATTTAAACTAAATCGGAAATTAGTTTATTAATTTTGTACGAAATTTACTATTGCGTAAGATGGCTGCGGCCACGGAATGTTGTTAACAGACGACACAGAAAGCAAACTATACATTATCAGAGAGTTTTGATTAATTATGATAAAAGGTAATCCAGCCGTTCATTCTAATCTGATGAGAATAGAAGTTAGGCTCATTATTTTTAAATACATCATACTTTTTCATTTGTTTTTTCTTGTTTGATATTGGCGTCCCTAGTTACCAATTTTATTTTACTAGATTTAAATATGAGCGAAAAAAGTGAAGAATTTAATCCTGATTCAGATGAAGATGACTACAATGATATTTATTCGACAGAAAGGCCTGTTGAAAATTGCACTGATACAAATGTAAGAAATAGTATTTTTGAAACGTTAAAGTTAATTATTAACTATCACAAACTCCAGGATAATGCTATATTGCTGTCAATGAATGATTACTTTACGAGAATCCAAGATCAATCAGATTCCTTATTAAAAGATTTGGAAGAATGTGACATATTGATGGAGGAAGCAAATTGCAAAAGTATTTTTTAATAGTATTAATAATAAAATTTCTATGAAATATTCACCAATTATTTTTCTTAATCTAGTGATACATAGGGATGAAGAAGATGATGAGGAAGTCAAACGTCGTAAGGATGTAAGATTAAAAATAAAAAATTACCTTTACACCAGTTTAATTCCATACATAATTTCCAATCAGATTATCAAGCAACTTGAAGAAGAAGACGAAAAGGAACTTGCAGAACTTAGAAGAGATGAAAATAATGGCGAAGAACAATTTTTTGCCACTGAAGTTTCAGCTATCGAGGAAACTAAGGACGATAAAGGTTTATTATTTAAAGTATATCTATTTCAAGATTAATGATCCAAAAAATGTTTTGCAGAAGAGAATGAAATTAATGAAAACAATGGAGAAATTATTTTAGCAACAGATATTGAAAAAATGGAGAGAGACTTACGAGAAAAAATCATTCAATTTAATAAACAAGCAATAGAAAAGGAAAAGGAAAGGAAACAAGTAAGCTCACTTTGACAACAAACTTTTTACTATTTGTATTCTTATCATCGTCTTTTTGACAGGTCGAAGAAAATATTTTAAAGCCGTTAAAAGAAATTGAAGAGAGAAAAGCTGTGCTGAGGGAAGAGAAACGAGCATGGATAGAAGACGAAAAGCATAATCTAGTTGAAATTAATAAAGTACTTTTATATTTAGTATAATAGAGTTATTATTTAATTCTTAACATCCACTATTTCATACAGAAATTAGAAGAAGATAATGAAAGGGAGAATGAATCTCTGCTTGAACGTTTGATGAAATCCCAAAAAAAATATGAGGTATTTAATAAACTTTCAATACCTCTTGCTTTTAGTACAGTTACATTATAATTTAGGAAAGAATAGAACAACTTGGCAGAGTTCAAGCAAGTGAATATGAAGAATTTAACAAACAAGCTGAATTTGAAAAGCAGAAGAAAGAGAATCAACAAATTAAGGCCGCCATAAGCATTCAAACGACCTTCAGACGATACTGGTAAGTAAAATTCACTCCTCAATTGTAATATACATGAATCTGACTGTTTTTAGCGCTCGTAAACTTTATGGAGAAGCTATTGACGAAAGAAGATATAATGCTCGCATTCATTATGAACAGAAGCGAATAGCGGAAATTGAAGAACGAAAGAGAGAAGCAGAGATAATGAAAAAAGAAAAGCAAGCTGAAGAAGAACGTATTCGTTTGGAGAAAGTACAACTCGAAGAAGCAGAAAAATTACGAAAAGAAGAAGAACGGTTGGAAAAAATACGACAAGCAGAGAAGAAAAAGCAAGAGGAGGAAAATTTGCGATTGGAGAAACTAAAGCAAGAAGAAATGAAAAAAAAGGAGGAAGAAAGGAAAAGGCAAGAAGAGGAAAAGAAGAGGCAAGAAGAAGAAAAGAAGAGGCAAGAAGAGGAAAAGAAGAGGCAAGAAGAGGAAAAGAAGAGGCAAGAAGAGGAAAAGAAGAAGCAAGAAGAGGAAAAGAAGAAGCAAGAAGAGGAAAAGAAGAGGCAAGAAGAGGAAAAGAAGAGACAAGAAGAGGTAAAGCAGAGGCAAGAAGAGGAAAAGAGAAAGCAAGAAGAGGAAAAGAAAAGGCAAGAGGAAGAAAAGAGAAGAGAAGAGAAGAGAATACAAGAACAAGAGCGATTACATCTAAAAAAGATCCAAGACGAAGAAGAAAAAAAAAGACAAGAGACAGAAAGAGTTCTGAAGTTGAAGCTCTCAGAAGAAGAGGAAAGAGGAGGAAAAGTTGAACGTTATACAGACAAAGACAAAAAGAATATTATAGAAGAATTACCAACGGACAAGGAGAAAATGCGTTTGGAGAAAATAAATAGAGAATTGGACGAAATACGAAAAAGAAACTCTAAAGCTACAACACTTGACGAAAATCAAGAAAAACAAAAAAGCGGTTTAAGCGACACGGACTTGGCTGAGTTAGAAGAAATAGATAATAGATATAATAAAATTGCAAAAGTTCTCTCTCAAATAAGAGAAGATAGAACAGAAAAAACTGTTTATGATAAAAATTTGGAGAGTAAAGTTATGACCACTTATGGAAAAAATAAATTCGAAGAATCTCTTCAACAATTTTCCGCTGTACCGAAACCTCCATCAGATTCGCCATCCAATGGTCGATCAAATCTTAATCAAAGACTAAATGAGAAACAAATGTGTGTATTTAATAATCTTTATTTGACTTCTTGACTTGGTAGCTAATATATTTGTTTGTAGGGAAAAGAAGAATGCTGCAGCCACAAAAATTCAAGCCCTGTGGAGAGGCTATAAAGCTCGACAAGATTTTGATACATATATTAAAAGGTGCTTAGCTGCTATAACTATACAACAAGCATGGAGATCATACAAATATAATAATGAATATGATCTTTACAAACACAATGCAGCAATTCTTATTCAGGTTTGCTGATCTCTTAGGTCTTATATATCTTCCATTGATATCTTATTTTATTCAGAAAACATGGCGAGGTTATAGAGTGAGAAAGAAACTTGATAGTGTAAAACAGCTATTCCTCAAGTCTGATGTAGTAAGAGAAACAGCTGAAAGTGAAAAGAGTGACGAAGAGGAGGAAATTGATTTTAATTTCAACGAGGATTCAATTGATATTGTGATAAGACCATCTGATGTTCCTGATTTGTAAGTAATTTAGTTATCATATCAATATACTATTCAATACTTGTTGTTATAGACAAAACGATATAGTTCTTCCACCTTTGTCTACTACTGACAATCAAAGTTCAAATCAACCCCCAAATATACCAGTGGAAGCTTGGAGAGCCTCACCCCTAAATAATTCAAGAATGAAGCCTCCACTTCCCCCACTTCTATCGAGAGCTTCATCACGCATAGCAGATCCTGATATAACGTCACAAAGAACTTTTGCGTCTAAAAAGGAGGAAGAACTACAACAAGAATGGTATGTACTTTGCAAAATAGGAAAAAACGCAGATCAATTGATAATTTTTAATAAAATGATATTTCAGGGGTTTCAAAAATTCTCAAACAGCCGCTCTCATGTTAGAAAGGGCGAAAAAAATGAAATATAATTCTGAAAGACGCAAGAAAATCAGTAAGTTGGACGCCAAACAGCGCCTGGCACTATTTAAAAAATTTGAGGGAGAGAAGCCGTCGGTTCAAGCTGTAAAGAAGGGTGTTGAACGAACTGAATATTTTCAAGGGGTGCAAAAGAATAGTGAAAAAGAACAGAAAACAAAAGTATTGGAAAATTCTTCTAAAGAAAATAGGACTTACGAATGGATACATACACAAATTTCGAATTTTGATGTTCCATTGTCTAGCTCTAGAATTAATCAGAGCGAAAATCTCCCTAAGCTTGATAACAGAGTCCTTTCTGGTGGACGATCAAATTTAACAGTATGTAAATAAGAATTTATAACTATAAATTCATTATATTCATTATTTTTATAGGAAAGTCCTATTTCCATGGAACTACAATCTATAGGCGATTCAACTATAAGTGGAACAAGAAGATTTTCCGCAACAGATTTTAGTAAGTAAACTCTGTTGGTAATTTACAGCTACGTTATAATCGTTAAATTGTTACTCGTAGAACCAAGAAAAGGATCTTTACCATCAATAAAGACAACAAATTCGGCACCTCATCAGAAAGCTCATGAAAAAATGTCTTGGAGAAACAAGCAAGTTAAATTAAGCGGTGGTTGGGGAGGTGGCAAGAAACGCGGGAAATAATCGCCGATAAAAAGGTTTATCCTATAAAAAATAAAGATGGCGCAAGATATAGCAGATAACTTTCTTCAATGCACTGTCTGTTCACTGCTTATTCTTAAATGTTTCTAGTCAAACGAATTTTCAATTTTATACAAACTAGTTCCTTATTGTTACAACAATTCAAGCTTTATTGATCGATTATTATATTTACCTTGAAAGAAGTTTGTTCCTCTCAATGGAAACATAACAATGGGACTTTTGAAAGACAAGTTTTTTTTGTTTTTTCATACTTGACAAATAATTGAATTACAAGAGAGATTTTCAATCATAGATAACATTCTATCAGACTTACTCCTTTGAAAGTCTATGATAGAATCTCAGTCTTATTAACACTTTTACTCAATACTTTAATAATAGTAAACAAGCAAAAACGAAATTACATAGTCAGTGTTAATTTAAAATTTACGTCTATAAAGGTATAAATATGCACTCGATTTTGGGGGATTTTGAGAAACTGCTACTTTTTCATCGTTAAATATATACCAAGAATCGTCTTTACGAACATGCCAAACATAATGACCAACCGATGTGGATGATCCCATGTGGCTTACAAAACCTACGAGTTCGTATATTCCTGGTCCATCCCTTACTTTAACTTGCTGTTGGTTGCTTGAAGATGGCTCTTCAGCTCTGTCTAACTCTTCAGAGTGAGAGAAAGCATATTCGGCAGCCCGTTCAACGTTGTTATCCTAAAGCAATAAAACTTAAAGCAACTCTTAAAGTTGTAATTTAGAAATTCTTACCGTCGCTTTTAGTGCGGCACGAGCTTGATTTTCAGTGAAGCCCAGACTGACAATCAAAGCCAATGATTCAGGGTTTGCTTGAAAGCCTTGTTTCTGGCTTCCATCCGGTATGGTAAAGGGATCAGAAAAGTCTGGGTCGCCGACGTGTTGCATTGCCCATTCAGCTGCGGCTTCAGCGCCACCACTGTTCATAGTATTGTATACCGCTCGTCTGCACGCTTCACGAGGAAAGCCCATATCCATCAATTGTCCTATAATGTTTTCATCCAAAGTTATCTGCCGATAAGGAGCTATATTACTATTGAATGGAAACGATTTTAATATAATACCTTGGATGGACCACTCTCATTGGGTAGTTCCTCCTCACCGGGTTCTAAACCTTCAGACTTTTTAAATGCGCTTAGGTCAAGAATTGTTGGAACATCAACAAGAACATCAAGCTTCTTAGCTGTCCAATCTGCTGCCACTGTGAAGCGTTTCAATTGGCAGACAAAAAAATCTGGGAAGCTAATAAGGGATGAAGATTTTAAAGCATTTGTCTTCGTTTTTGCTGCGGACGAATAAAAGTCAGTAACTATTTCAGGAGCAGCCCAAGCTTCGACACAAGATTGTAAACTTGTTGTACCGCTTTCAACAGGGACGGGTAAACTAAAAACGTATTCATCTCTTGATGTATATCGTACCTTTGGGAAAGTAAGAGTTTTTTCAACTTTCTTTCTTTCTTATAAATAATACAATAAGATTCTTGCCCTACCTTTTTGGTTAACGTGCACTCCACTCTTTCTTGGACTCTAAATTTCATTGCATCACTTGGGTTATTCGCTCCAATAACTCGAACAGATCTTTCAACCAAACTAAGTATATGAAGTAGGAATTCATGAGCATCTTGCTGTCTCTTTGTCGAAAATTCAATATGTCCTCGTCCGACAATTGATCTCAGAAGTCTTGGTTTTATACCAAAATCCAACAATTCTGCGTCTTCTTCGGGTTGAGGTTTCTTTGAATATTCTCCATTTAAAAGAGCCCTTCCCAACTTAGAAAATTGGATTGTGAAATCATCCGCAGCATTTGAATCAATTGAATTCAAAAACATTTCAAAATTGTTTGCAAAAATCGAGCAAAAATCAGGTATATTAAATAGCATCTGAAGTATCACGTTCATATAGCATGAATTCCCCAAGTTGTGGATTCCCGTAAATCCTGGTCCATAAACTGGCTCTAATTGAGATCCAGTTTCCTGCATTGAAGCCCATTCTGCACTTCGTTCATTTAACTCAATTTCCAGTTCTGACATTGATTTTTCCGTTTTTTCCGATGTCATCATGTTAATACCGAAATGAGCAAGATGCTCCTTGAGCTTCGGGTCAATTACCTGAAATAAATTAAATATATGTTTAATTATGTTATTTATTGAGAGTTAATAGGACTAACCATTTCATCTTCTGCGTAAGAGTAAACATCAGCTCCACTAGGAGTTATAGTTCCTAATTTAACGCACAGAGGATATCCAGTCTCTCGAAAGTATTCAATAGCATGATCATTTCCTCCAGTACCATCCCAATGCTTTCTTCCACACAAAACAGATCCATCAGTTAAATTCAACCATAAATTATTCGTCAAATCACACTTCTCACATTTCCAGCCAGTAGGAGGGATTTTCTTGTTATTGTCCAATTGAACGAGATCATTAGCATGTCTGGAAAGTTTTCGCTCACCTTCTTCCCAAGCTGCAAATTGTTCAACTCTAGAACCTAAAACACACAATTAAAATTAATCATTAATTTGGTACCTCGCTTAATTTATAAAAAAAATACTAACCAGAATCTGCGCTTAAAATACCAACGGCCGATCGTTGAATAATATTTGGCAAGTTTTCATCAGGGTATTCTAGAACAGTCCACGAGGGTAATATAACAATAGTCTGTTTTTCCTCATATTCAAATTGGGCAGTATTAGCGTCAAAACCACCTTCAACACCTATGGCCATTCGAGTAACTTTTTTCTTCTCTGGCTCATCTGACTCCGTACGAACATTCTTCTTCTTCTTTTTGGTTTTTAGATGTAAAAACACACAGTTGCCAGTTCTTTCAGCATGTCTTGAAACGTAGGTCTTTCCCAAGCCTATAAATGTGTTCATACAAACGTATAGTCCTCCAGGTGATTCCTAAAATAAGTAAAGTAAGACATCTTAGAAGAAAAAAAATCCAAGCAGCTGAAATATTTTATAGCTCAGGATAGCGTGCTTTTGAAAGAATTAATTCTAACCCTTAAAATAACAATTGTAAACTCATAGTTCTAGTTCATAAATTTGCTAAACAGCAAGTAATAATATTTTTAATTAATATTATAGACTTGTAATAAGCAATGTTTTGACTAGTCAGCTTCTCAGAACCGGTAAGTAATTCCAGTGCAAGACGAATTTATAACATGAATGGAACTCAATTTTTAACACTTACTGGGGAATCGAATGAATAAACACATTCATCCTTGTAGACTTTATCACCCCCTTTAGGGACGCGTACTTTAGAAAGATGAGGTTGCAGAATTTCCGCCATTGCTGATAATTTTAGGAAATAAACGGGTGAAGGAAAATTTTACTTTTAACCAAACCGGGTATTGCTATGAACCAGCAGGTGACGAGAAGTTAGCTTTTTTGAAGAATTTAAAGGTTTTAAAAATATTTTATTTATAAAATCTTTTTTTTTAATTATAAGTATCGGTATACAGATTACATTTGATCTTTTTTTTACTTAAACGATATTTTGAATCGATTATCGCTCATGAGCGTTATTTCAAATTTCATTTGAAGTTTTAACTTTGTTATCGTTTATAATTCCATTTGCTTTCCTTACTATCATTTTATAAAAGGTAAGCAATATTCGATGGTGTATCATATGTTGTCTATTGGAATAATTTATAATATAAGGATTAGAAAGCCTATCAATCTTAAATGTACTATGGAATATATTTGCGTTTTTTTATTTAAATTTTGTTTTGAATTACATAATGACTTCCCTCGCGAAATTGTGTTTAGTGTTCACTTTCAACAGTAAGCAATAGTGTATTTACTATTCAGAACAGTTCACTTTCAAAACAATTTAGACAACCAGAGTTATCGCTGATTGGTCGGCGCCATATTTTGAACAACAACTTTAAACATATTTAAATATTTTAGAATTTATTCATTTTCAGGACTTCTAGAGAGTAATTAATCGACTAAGAAGGATCTATAGCTGATATTAAAACAATTGCAATTATGGGGAATCAGAGTGTTAAGGAATTTACAGAATCTCTCCCGAACGAAGTATATTCGACGCCACGAAATTATCGGTCGGTTAATCCAGCTTTCGACCCACGTTCTCCTTCTTTGGAAATACAAAGAACACCAATTGAAGTTCAGAAAACTCCAGAAATGATCTCAGATCCAAGATCACCGTGTGCTAGCTTTGCAAGAACCCCGATCTATGAAATCCACAAGTCTCGATCTAATCCCGAGCTTAATAGGTTAGTACCTTACTAAAAGCGGTTATATTACCACACTTAGTATTATTTCAAAGTATAAGCAAATATATTTCTCAATAATAACAACGAATAAATGTAAATACTCTATAAAAACCATAATCCAATCTAAGTGGAAAGTTGGAACAAGTAACCGTTACTATCATTTTCCAAATAGATCGTTCACTCTTGAGAAGAAAATGAGCTCAGCTTCAAATTCACCGACGCCAAAACGAAAATTTAAAAGGAAGAAGATATCTAGCCGTTCTCCATTTAAGGTTGTTCAAGGATCAATGACGCCAAGAGAAATGGTGCATAAGAAATTGATGAGAGATGTCGATGAAGCTATGCAGGATCAAGAAAATGTCTGTATATGATGGATCTTTTTATTAAATCCCTTTTGTTTTATATAAGATACGATTACGAGATAAAAAAATCATTAGTGTTATTGTAGTTAACTAGTTTATAGACACGTATACTTTTTGGAATATTTTACCATTTTTCGTAAAATAGCCAATTCTCAATATCAGGTTGTCTATCAATTTTCAGCTAATGTTATTATTCATTTTTTATTTTTTATTAACTTGATTTGTGTTTGAAGCCATTATAAATTGATGATTAAAATTGTGTGAGTGATGAATTTTGGATGGTCCTAACGCCTTAAGTTGTATTAAAATAAATTAGAAGAGAGATGAGCAGTTATCTTGATAGAAAGTAAATATTCTAAAATGGGGTGGTTTTTTCGAAATCTCGCAAAAACACCCACTCATAAAAAGTTGTTCAAGGCACCCAAGAATGTTAGTAATTTTATAATTCCTAACTTCATAGAATAAAGTCTTACATCAGTCTATGCCATCTAAGGTCGGGGTACGCTTGGTAGCTTATTAATTTTAAATAGTCGCCTCACGAAGAAAACTTGTAGAGCGGATGTACATATTAGTACAATTAAAAATATTGTAGACCAAAAGTTAATTGACCAAGATGTATCAATCATCAAATACATATGGTACATGTCAATTTTTCTTTTTTCAAATAATTCAGCTTTGGTTTTTTGTAAAGCCTCTTGTACACTTCGTGCACTTCTCTGTCAAATATAAACATAAACTATTTAATGTTATCTCAAACTTTTATTACTGAAAATTGATTGAAGAATCCCTTGACAAAAAATACTTGAATGACTGCTGAACTTATAAGAACAAAGACAAACATAGAGGAATAGAAGTCAACCATTTCAGCACTCAGAGATAATAATCTTGTGTCGGATTCTGAACTTTTACTAAAAGAATGAAGATAGATGTGCATTTTTCTTAAACTAGTAGAAAGAAAGTTGAAAGTTTTCTGTTTTTTTTATAGATAATGAACCATTTTTAGAATGAGAGTATTAAATTATTAACAATCAATTTTGATACATACAGTAATTGATTTAGCAAGCAATAGATAAGATGCCTTTGAATGTAAATACTTAAGTTTGGTATGCTAAATTTCGCACAGTTTAATAAATTCTAGGATGGTTAATCACGCTATGGTCAATCAAATGAAGCAAATTATTTTTTGTTTATCATTCTTCAATCAATCGCAATTAAATGAAAAAGCAATATACCAGACGGCTGGCGTTAAAAAGCACCAATAACTTACCGTAAAATTATTAACTGATATTTGAAAACTTTTTAACTCTTCCGTATATTTTTGCCATTCATCAGTAACATAAGCAACAAAATAGATGTATACTACTTTGCTTGAGAATCTTGCGAAGGAATTGTCGATACATAAACTATAAACACCTCTCTCAGTGATGTCAATGTCAGAACTACCCTCAAAAGTCCACATATGACTTTCGATAACTCTGTTATCCTTCTTTAGAGTGACATCGACGTTTCTGTCTGCTCCTCTCAACACTTCAAATGATAAATGCATTTGGGCTTGCTCCTTTACATATTGATAGAAACATTCTTTTTTACCAGCTCCAACTTCAACTTTGAATTCATATTGAAAGCCTGGATAACCACCTTCGCCATCAGCAGTTTTAGCGTTAATTATTGATAACAAATAACTAGCAAATAGAAAGAAGAATACACCTCTATACATTTCTTTAGTCTAATTCAGTCGACGTGGCGATACATGACGGGAAATGAACACTTGTTCAATCAATTTTTACGAAAGAATAACCACTAGATGGCTATTTGTAAAATCCCTGAAAAGTTAGAAAAACATAATAAATATGTTACTTTTAGATATTCTTGTATTACTATTTACTATCTTCTATCAATGATTTAACATCAAATAAATTGGTTACAGATTTTTAACACTTTTTGAGACTTCACAATAAGTCTATAGATGTATATTGCATGAACTATTGATCCTGCATCAAGTCATTAGAAAGTATCAACAGAAAATAAATAAGGATACAGTTTATCGACGTCTCTTAACTGTTGCGGTCGTAAACGCAATTTTTAATCATAAATCTTCTTACATGACCAAGTATTAATCGATACTTTCCCTGACGGACAAATGATTAACTACAGTGTTTCAGAAAAAAACGTACTCAAAGATGGCGACACCTGCATTTACTATATCAGTTACGTCCAAATAGGGAATTATATTAGCATCTTGCCGAAATTTTCTTCACTTACCAACGACATCGCAATTTATCAACGATTGTAAGAAAACTTAGTAAAGTAGTGTCTCTGTCATATAAGGACTAGGCAGGAACCGTTGACTTTGGATAGTATTGCAGAGGGCGATAATACAGATTTACATTGGCAAGAAGCAAATGGAAAATCTAGAGTGATCGTCGAGAAATAGATGGTTTCTATAACAGAATATCCATGAAGTATCCAATGCAAGATAAGATTATTAAGTATGAGCCTAAGGAGCACCAATGTTTTGAGTACACTTACGAAAGAGCCCTAATTCGCTCTAACTCTGCCAACGATTGCTCTTTTCGAACATGTGCATTGTTCACGGTTGCAATACTCAGTGTTGAAGTTTTGGTTGTTATTCTAGTCGTTTTATTTAGCGATGACAGTGTTAAAGTTCCTCTTAACCAAAGATATTTTGACAACAACTTTCAAAAATACATCGATGAATATCCTGATAAGTAAGATAATTTTATATTAGATATATCAGCATAGCTATATAAAAGCGTAGTATAAATATATAGGGGTGCATAGGGTATGTAGAGAACGTGTATAGAAGTATATATAAATTTTCAGTATTTAATATACATATATGCAGTATATATACTGTATATGTTATCTATGCAGTTTATTGGTTGATATCTTTTTTTTATGAATTATTCATTGTTGCCTGCACAGTAACTCATTTATCAATTTAATACATTGTGTTGCAGTATGACGATGCAAGAATTCTTATTGCAGTACGATAGTATTTGTGAAATAAAAGACCATGCAAATACCTGCCCCTGTGTATCACCATATTTAAGTAAGTGCAATTTAAATGAAATAAAAATTTCTTTTTTTAACAATATGCCGAAATTTAAATACATAATTTATTTAAATGATATCGTAACTTTACAATTTAATTTATACGATGTTTCAATTTTTACAGAAGGGCCAATAAATCTAACGAATCCAGATCCGGGTAAACCTGTAAAAGCCGGTGGAACGTGGCAGCCAAGCATTTGTAAACCCCGGCAAAAATTAGCTGTGATTGTTCCATTTCTCGATAGAGATGCCCATTTGAAGATCTTTTTATCAATACTGCATCCGATGCTGCAAAGACAATTATTGGATTACACTATATTTGTTGTTGAACAATCTAGTCCTGAGAGATTCAACAAAGCCGCGATAATGAATGCTGGTTTCTTGGAGGTGAATAAATTGGGAAATTTTGATTGCATAATATTTCACGACGTTGATATGTTACCTGAGGATGACAGAAATTTTTATGCTTGTAGTAAAAGCTTTAGACATGTTGGTAGCCATTTGAGCAAATGGAATTATACGTAAGTTTATTATTCTTTTAATGATAGATTCTTTTTCTATTATCCTGTCGATTTACGACCTTCTTTGGTAAAGCATACATTTCTCCTTCCTTTCTTTTCACCTGTTTTCCAATGCATTTCTTATAGTTTCGTATAAGGGCCTATTGTACTAAGAAAGTGAAAAGCTGTTTACTTGGTCTTTTATTGATTAATCGAACGTTAATTAATGTTTTAATAATATAAGTTGGTGGCAAACTTACTTTCTATATTTATTTTGCTGATCAATATTCTTTAGGTCGTACATCTGTAGAAACGTGGCATCACGTAGCATTTTACGCAGGTAACAACCGCAGCTACAGTATCAAAATCTTTGACACTTAACGTCACGACTAATTAAGGGAAAATAATGAGTTTTTTCGCTTTTAACTGATAAAGTCCAGATCAGTTTATTTTATTTGCTCGTGTTGATTAAAGAAATTAAAATATACAAAGATTAAAGTACGCCGTCTCCTGCAGTTGTTTTTCTGGCATACGATAGAATGCGAAAGTTATAGCTAACCATTTATCGAAAAAGTGAAACCTTTTAGTAACTTGGATGTTGAAAGTCCGAGACCTTTCATACACACTAGGTATTCAATAAAAATTCGTTCTTTAGTTATATAGATCTCAAAACGCTTTACTGCATTTTTTCACATTAACCTATTTAAGGTATACTGAAGTAAATAAAATTCTAGACCACACAGTTTTTGTCTAGCATGAAGTTTATATCAAAGTTCTTTGTACTTTGTGACACTGTCAGGTAGTTTCTATTTAAGTTATTTTTATAACGCTTCTAAACATGTTTTGCAGGGAAGTATTGGTTAACTAGGAAATAATACAAACAAATTTAACCCCATCCTTCTCTTTTGTTTTCAAATAGCTTAAGGCAATTGGGAGTCTATACGAATTAGACTTTATTATTGTTACAATACCAAGAACGAAGGAGACTAACTCTAAACCTTGAAATATATAAATAATTCGAAGCATCGATTTTTTACAGCTGTGGCAAATTCCTAAGCTTTTACGATTTATTACTTGCTTTGTCATAGTAACGTCCTTTCTAGTAAGTTATATAGGACAATATTACTTGGTATTATTAGATTTGACGATGTATACAAACGTCCAAATCTACTAGTTATAACCTGTATAGTAAAACTGAAGAAACTATTTCTCGTTTTGTAATTTTTAGTACAAAGCAAAAAAATGTGGAAAAATTTATCAAAAAAAACATTAAAGGTACTATTCCATTTATATTGCAGGGTTCCCTATAGAGCAATATTTGGAGGAGCTATATCAATGCCACCGAAATTATTTCGACAGTGCAATGGATATTCAAATGACTTTTGGGGATGGGGAGGTGAAGATGATGATATGTTCAAAAGAGTGATTGCACAACAACTTAGAATTTTACGATTTCCCAAAACTGCCTCTTCATATCAGATGATAAAGCATGATAGAGATAGAAGAAATCCTCCTTTTCAATTTGCTTATTTAGCAAATAGGTGGCGACCTATTAGATATAAGCAAGAAGGGCTAAATTCAGTGAAATATGAAGTTGATAAAATTGAATATCGACCTCTGTATACATGGATTATGATGAAGATCTTAAATGCACAGATTGGTGTATACCCCCAAAATTAGGTCATTAAATGATATCAAATCATAGCTTGGATGCCTTTATTTTTCAAATTAGTAAGCGCATATGCATATTTTAAAAGTCAAGTTTATGAAAATTGTTGTTGTACAGTTTAAAGTGAAAACATAGGTAACTGAATGATATTTATTGGTTTGTTTATCAAAATTTTTCCTTTTACTTTACTCATAACTTCGAGTCATTATTAACATTTTAGATTATTATTAGCCTTGATATTAAACTATTTATCTTGTAGTATATAATTTATTCCCTAAAAACACACTAGAAAAGTGTTTGTTTGTTATTTTATGTGTTCCCCGCTCAAGTATTTACGTTTTCTCAGTAATATCCAAATCTACAATGACTTATACTTTTAATAGCAACTGAAAATAAAGGGGCTGACAGAAATTGTTTCTAATTGTATATAATCTTGGAAATAAAGAATAAGTAGCAGAGCTAAATTGTTGTTTTCAAATATCAAAAAATATGTCTCTATCCATAGCTCCTTTATCTTCCTGTGACATTTATACATTAGTATTCTCTTGTTATGTGTTTATACAACATACACTTAATAAAAATTATATATAGTGAAAATTAATGAATTGCATATTTTTAGATTCAAATTATGAATTTATATGCAGTCTATGTTTTTTGTAACATTATTTTGACTAGAAATGTTATCTGATTTTTGCTCCGCTCCAATCATTAAAAAATTGCCAAAGACCAATTTGTCTATTGTAAACTGTTTTTGTCAATTTTTGTGTTCTTTTATGACCTCGCTATAGGTTGTGTCAGTTAAATTTCAATATGAGAAGTCATTTTTGTGCAGGTTTCGGTTTCGTCATTTAACGATCGTTATAGAAAAATATAGTACTTATGATAATTATTAACAATTATTGTTGAGCCAAGAAAAAACACGAAGAATTTATTTTATATTTGTGACTAATTGTTTAGTAACAAAGAAATAAACTGCACCTTTTCGAATTAGACATTAAAGAAACTGTTTTTTTTTCTTTAAAAAATGTAATGTTTTCATTAAATATGAACTAAAAACCATCCACCCATCTTTTAAACATATACCTGATGGTGTAAAGTTTAAATTATACTTCTTGCATCGCCATCTAAGGGAAACGAATATTTAGAGAATTAAACGAAAGATGGTTAGCGATTGCGTAATAAACAAAGGGAAAAGATAATTTGTGTATTCCTGGTTGTAGATTCTATGCTATTAAGAAATTAGATTCTTAAATCTCTGGCCACATAATAAAATGACAAATAAATGAAGAACCATTAGCGTTGAGATTGAGCGTTTCATATTTCATTTGTCAAACACCTGAAAACTAGTAAACTAATGAAAGAAAGGCTTTTGACAAATATTATTCTTGTAAATCTAGTGCAAAAGACTATTAGTTTAAGGACGACATCAAGTTGAGAATTTATAGGAGAAGAGACTAAGTATAGTGGGGAATGCAGCAATGAGTGATAATACAATTATTTTTTTAATAGTGGCGTTTCTTTTGCAGCACATCATATGCATAGCGGTTGTTAATTATTGTATACAATATATAGCTATAAAATTGTGTTTAACACTCGCTATTCGACAGATCAATACGAACTTTTTTGAAACAGATCTAGGTTTTTTAAGGTCAAAAAAAAACAGTAGTAGAGAGGCAGTAGGCCAAAAAATTACTGATTTCGTCTGTACCTTATCAATAATTATCTGTGAATAAATTTAAAAAGGACATCATTTTCTCTAACCTACTTCTCGTTTACTAGAAGATAGAGGATAGACTTTAATATTTGACTATACAGCAGAAATTAGAATGAGAAAACTACTCCTCTTTGGTGCAATATGCATTGGTATATATGTTGCCTACGAAGTTCAACGAATTGATGTACCAGCAGGTTTTTCAAAACCTGGATCCTTAAGGATCGTTAAATTCATTTACGGCGGCATCAATGACCTCCAAAATTTGTGTGTTTCTCTCGGATTAGTCTCTTTTTCTGACGGAAAACGCTTTATCTTCAATGCGCTTGCATCTACATCCGACATATTCAGCAGAGATCGTGATTGGACGGATGCAACTTGGGATAATACAAAGGTTCGAATCTATACTAATGATAAAGTAGAAGAAAATGGTCCAGCTTTCGTGTTCATCCATGGCGGAGGTTGGGTTAGCGGCTCACCGAAATCACATCATCCTGTTGTTCAGAAATTATTCAACGAATTGCAAATATTTACGGTTTCCTTAGATTATAAAATGGCTCCTGAGCATAAAGTTTGTTTAAATTATTGATTTGTAACTATCATCTCAGAAATACTCTATACGAAATGCTTGTCTAGCTTTATATAATCAAATCTAATTATTTTCATAGTATCCTGGTCCAGAGGATGATTGCGAAGCGGCAATTGTTTATTTGATGAAAAATGCAAAAATATTCAAAATTGACCCAAAGAAAATTATGGTTGGAGGAGACAGTGCCGGGGGGCACCTTAGTATTCAGATGGCACATAGATTTGTTAACAGACCAGATCACCTTCCCTCATTAAGATCAATTATTTCCATCTATCCAGTTACTCAGCCGTATAGTCTTTCGGGACCTAGTTATAAAGTCAATGAAAATCACCATCTATTGCCAACTGAAAACATGGCGAAATATTGGTCGCTCTATATGACTGGTACGTTTGAGTGGGAGGAGATATTTAGAAAGAACCTTCAAACTAAGTGTTCCTATTTGAAAGAATTGCATCAATCCAAAATACTAGATTTTCATTTTCCTAATAAATATGATTATGGAAAAGAACTATCAGAAAACGAAGAATGCGAATATAGCAAAGAATTTTGGGATCAATACGGATATCTATTCCAAGACGATAAATTCTCGATCCTTTTAAAAAATTTCACAAACTTTCCACCAACTTTTCTCGCAACAATGCAGTACGACGTTCTCCGGGACGATGGTCTCCTCGTTTTAAGGAGACTTCAGAAATATGGAGTTAAAGTGGAACATTATCACGATCCCAAAGGATTTCATGTTCTTCTCAATCTGGTTGACTTCTGCCTCGAAAACAAACAGTTGATAGGATCCATAGTTCAATTCATTAAACAACATAGTTGATTTAAAGAGCTATTTAGATATTTACATCTTGGTCTTTGGATATTGAACTAATACACAAGAAAAAAAATGCTTATAACAGTACATATTTACAAATAGATAATGATAATAACAATGTCACTTCTCAAATAATTATTTGCAAATAGATGAAAATGAGAAAATATCCACTAAAAATTACTTTCTTTTTGGTAACGTTTTTTTGAGCTATAGAAAAGATAGGACAGTTTTTTTCGATCCTTTGATAAACATACGTTTTTCATTAGGAATATAGGTCTGGTATAATCTTTAACACAATTTAGCGCGATTTTCTATAGCTTTCTTTTTGCCAGTGCAGTTGTGTACACATTTTTACCATCAAACGGTTTCAATTTACCACAATGAGGTTTGTAACTTAGAGGCTTTTTTAATGATTCCGTCAAATTAAACTTTTTTCGAGATGACTGTGATCCTGTAGATGGCGTAGCGGTAAACTTGAAAATTTTAGTACTGTTAGTTGAATTAGCTGGTGTTGTTTTTCCAAAATCAAATGTTGCTTCTTTTAAACTCGTTACAGAAGGTTTGAAAATCTTTTTCTCTACTGATTTACCTAATGCGAGTCTCTTCCTCTGCTCTTCACGTCTTTTCACGACATCGTCAATTGACTGCATTTTATCAAAATTCTTTCTGTGAATAGATGCAAAATCTGGTCTAGCTTTTATTTTTTTCGCGCTTTTCGCTACTTTGTCTTGATCACAGGGTGGTCTCTTCTTCGTAATCGAAGATTCTATAATGAGAGACAGAATAGTTTTTATTAGATTAAAAATATTTCTTGTTTATTTGTAAACATGCCTGTTCCTTGTTCATTTGCAGATTCAGTTTCATTTTTCTCTGTTGGATCAACAAAAAAGGAGAATAGGATTGATCAAAGTATAATTATCGAGTAGTAAACATTTTCACCACTGACTAACCTTTTAGTGGAGTAGCTGAAGATGGTCCAGGTTCTGAGTTGACTATTTTACTTTCCTCTTGCAAGTCTAAATTTAAAGAAATATTTGGAAATTTGTATTGAAAAAGACATAAATTGTCTTTTCTTAAATTTTACCTTTTATATCATTTTCTCTATCCATATCTTTCGATTTATCTATTGATACATCTGGATGTATATCGACTTTCTCTTCTTTTTGATATTACATAATACAAATAACTATAAAATTGGCTTTTATTGAAGCAGGTATATGCTTACCTGTAGCAGTGCTGGTATCCATATCCTCATCATCAGTAATATCAAATGTCTTATTGAGTAATTCATTTTTGTCTTCATCCTCAATTGACTCTAATTTCTTCTTCAAGACTGCTTTTAGTTTGACAGCCTAAAAAAGATATATATTTTTCGTTTTTAAAGGATGGAAAACAAATACAAACTTACTTACTTTTTGATTGGCTTTTATACCAAATTGCTTGGCCAAAGTTTGCAAATCATTATAACGTAATGAGTCTAAATCTAACATCTTTTTAGCTATAATAGCTACAAATATAGAAATTACGAATTTAAAGAGTGCAACGGTTTTTTTTAAATTTACCAGAACTTCGGGATTGGTCAAAAATATTTTCGGGTTAACTAAACTACGGTTTGGAAGAGACTTGTTACCGCGTCTTGTTTAGAAAGTTTTTTTTGTATATATAAAAGATACAAAAATTACTAAAATATGTGATTACAATCTGAAGTAATGAACAAATTTAAATTTAAAGTGATTTATTTGTATTTAAATGATTCAATTATTTTTATCATGCTAAAAAAAGTCCCAAGATAAAAGTCTAGGAAAATTTAAGATGAAAATTCAATTTTAATTAATCAAATAATTAGGTAGAGATACCTATTGTTGGTCATTATTTGGTACAAGGCTAACAGAAGATTGCTTAAGCTGAGTATCTTAGAAAAATTATTGCTTCAATATTATCAATAATAAAGCTGTAATTGAGTATATTTATATGTCTCTGCGAATCTATGGACAGAAGCAGATCATTTTACCCTTTGCCCTCTCGTGTCTAAACGCTCGCGAACATTCCCTCTACGCACGATTACTTCTATACAATACCTGAACTTGCTGTGACACAGCAGCTCATCATATCATTATTTATTTAATGCCATGACCGACAATGATTCAGATGAGATGAGAGCAAGAAATGAAAATTACTTTCACTCGAAACATTTGTAAGACTATGCTTAAGAATAGCATGCCAATTTCAGTCACAAAGGAAGAAAAGCAACAATGTAACAATTCCACAAAAGAGACGGTCGTTATGAACATCCTTCTGTTTACGCTTCGCTTAACTTCTATTATTAAGCGTCATGCTTTTTGTAGATTATTTTGCCATATATTTAATCGACTGCTCTTAAAACACATTTTTACCATATATGAGATAACATTACATAAGCTCAACTCTACCATATCTACGTAATTTAGCAAACTATCTTCTTTCAGATAAAGGGAATTAGTAGGGATTAGCTTTACTATCTTGATAAAAAAAATTGGGACTATATACGCGTCTAGTTGACTCCGCGAAAGTCAAACAGCAGGGTTTCAACCTGAAACAGGTTTAAGGGGTCACTGATGGGTCAATGAGTGATTCAAATTTATTTTCTCAAATTCTGTCTCTTTCCTAACTTTATTCTAACTACAATTTATTAATTAAAGAAGATGGTTAAATTTCTTTTGAAGTAGTCTCCTTGAAGTGGGAGAAGGGAGGGAAAAGAGCTCGTAAAGAAGATTTCTTGCAGCTTTCACATCTGGCCTAAAAGAACTCGCCATCAATTGTAAAATCACATTCGCGAATTCTTATAGTGCCATTGGCAAAAGCGCAAAGACAATGAGATAATAAAGTTGTTTGAAAGCCATCGATAGCCTGATGCAAGAGGAGAGTTGGTAGAGAGACGGCTGTTCCTCATCCAATGCTGCCCAAACAGCTTCTAACCAGGTAAACACTCAGAGCGCCCCCCAAAAATGTCACCAGTTGATTATGCAATAATTCTTATGTAATCAGATTCTTAGCCAATCGAATTCGAGAAAAAAGTTTGATTCGAAGAATCTTTAAAAAAAAGTCGGTCAAGGTTAAAAGTTGAAGTGGGCAAGCAGAGTGTATACACTAATATGTTTTTTGGGAAGCGTGGCGACCTCTTCAGTAAACCAAAAAAATTGAAAAAGACCCATATAATCTTGATATAGATACTTCCAACTTACTTTAACATAATAACTAGAGAAGTTTCCATACAATAAACAAAGTCTATAGTGTCTTTTACTTTAGAAACATTGAATAAATAAGATATTTAATAGCTAACTTATTTTTTAAAACCATGATACTTAAACTCACTAGCTCAATCTATTAATTTACTTTAAGTTAGTAGTACATTTCGCCAAATCCCTTTGAAAATTTTCCGTCAAATTTACTTATTCATATATTCAACGAGCAAAATATCTAAATGTAACAATGTAACATTTTAAAAGTAAAGTACTTTCTCTTTTTTTCTGAGTACAATAAAGATATTGTGAGGAATATATACTCTCACTTTAAGTTAATTTTACTTCTTTACAATTGTATATGCTGTTAAATTCATTTGTAAGAAATTCTAAGCTTGGATTGCAGGTGATTGATTTTGCCTTGTTTTACATAGTTCGAAAAGTTTGAAATGAAAGTGAAAAGTCATCAAAAGTTTAAAGTATTGTATTCTTTGATTTATTTGTTCATAGGTAAAACATAGTAATCAGTTTCTTCAGGTAAAAAGCGCCATCTAGAACGAGTTCTCAAGGATTTTAATAATATGAGAACACCTGCGGAAAATGTTCACATCAAACAACTGTATTATCTTTTTGATTATTAAATTATAAGTATTCAATGAAAAACACGAGCGTCTCCTTGAATTTCCTTTATAAACTACCCAAAGAAACTAATACAGTTTAAAATAGAAAATTTTCAATTTAACAATATGATAAAACCATAAAAGTTTTAAATGTTAGAAAGTGCTCAAGTACAGATTTCTTTTAATTGCCTTAGATTAGTTGTTTATATAATTTCAATAATACAATCCTTATTCTATCAAAAGTTGTATTTGTGGCGTGAAAGTAAGTGCAATACAAAAAAATATCTGTTGGAATGTGTTATGCTTATGAAAAAAATTCAATATAATCAATTATTACTAAATCGATTATTTATATTAACAGCAATATTGTCCCCATTCGATGATTCATTTTAAATAGCAATTCGTGAACGGTCTGCGTCTATAATGAGTTATTTTTTTTACAGTCTAACATTTAATCGTTACTTAAGATCTAGTTTGCTCTATAAGTAGATTATATGTAAAATCAATATTATTCAATTATTTTTATACTCGAATTTTTTTTATAATATTTTCGTTCGTAAGTGTATTTTAACAATTTAACAATTCTCGAAAACTATAGTCAGATGACTAAATATTTCCATTAGATATTGGTTATAGGAATTACTACGTAAGGCTTCTGTGAGTGTTTTAATGATGGATTCATATATATGTATATTTAATACTTAGATATTGAAAACAATTAATTTCGGATTTAGCAACTTTTATTTGATCCAAGATTCACAAATTTTATTGGACAGCGAAATTAAAAAATAAAATGGCCTACTCCGATATTCTGCCGTTAATCAGCTAAGGCGCCGTATTTATTACCTACTTCCAGAGTCGGTACAGTCGATTTACTTGTGTCCATATATCGACCACCTCGTTGTACATTTTCAAAATTTCCTCCTGAAATGTCTGATGGAACGATGGCTCCAAGAGTTGGAAAATCTTCCTCTGACTTTATATTAGGAGCCGATTTTTTCCATTTTCCAAGAACCACTGGTGCTAATGGTCTATTGTCAGAGGTTGAACGCTTTTGCGGTGGAACGTACTTTTGCTCAGTCTCCTCTTGTTTTGGAGTGGGCTCAACTAAGGGATGTAACAAAATCTTTAGCAAAATGCAGTGTAAACTATACCTAAAAATCAACTAATTTAATATCAAATTAAATTGTGTATCAGACAACCGATATAATGAATAAAATTACCCTCGGGTACAACAGGTTCAGGCGTGGGGGGTTTAGCTGTCTGTGTTACAGGCTTCCAAGGACCTTCTTCCTTATCCTTTTCCGCTCTTTCCTCTTCAGTTTCAATATCTTTACTTTCTTCTTCTACTTGTTGCCTAAATTAAAACAGAAGACCATACGGTATGAAGAATGGATACGATATTTTTTTGTTATTTTCGAATTGAAGAACATAATGATATAAATTTAAATTCAACATGAGTATGCGAAGTAATTGGGAAAATATAAATTGTGAAGTATGGTGATGAAATTTGGGGAATATTCGGTATTCCGATTAAGACGATTCTGAAATTTTTCTGTTCTTACGTTAGCTGGGTATTTATTCGTAATCCGCTCAAATCAACTTCAGCTGGAGTTTCAAAATCGATCCATTCTTCTTCATCGTCCTTTTTTTCAGATTTACTTTCCGTTTCCGGAGCCTTTTCTTTTTCTTTTTTCTTGGCTTTTTTCACTTTGGATTTACCGCTGTTGTCAACTGGACTATCAACAGATTCTTTTCCAGTTTTTGTCTTTGCCTTTTTTTTGATCTTAGTTTTATCTTTTTTAGCGAAAAAATCTTGAAGTTCCTCGTCCGAGGACATTGTTCCACGCGTGTATCTGGTTGAAGAAATCGACGTAGTCACATGCGTGATGAAGATACCAACTGAATCATACAGCGCATGATGTCCGCAAAGTAATTATAAAGTTTCGCCATTTTGAAAATTTTACACGGAGAAACCTCTACTATTCAGGGGGCTGGTTCATAGTTCCACCGCAAAACGAGCTATTCAAATCATGGTAGGAATACAAAACACAAATATACCTCATGAATTTTTGTGATTATGCATATGCATTAGCAGATTTCTAGCTATAGCTTATATAAGAGCCACTCGCTTTAAGAGAAGGAAATTTTCCTATCTTTTTGTGTGCTTTTTTCGAGCCGTTAAAAGAGTGTTCAGCTATATCTGACATCGTGGAATTATCAAACTACAGCTAACTTTTAAGAAGACATTGAAACTTTAAAAGCTAATTTAGACATGAGACTATTTCTCAGTTTATGTTCCAAGGCAAAGCCTGTTGGAGCTAACGTAATTAATGAGTTAGTTGATCGTTATGCTATATTTCACCCGTCTCCTCTATCTTTAGAAAGATTCATCAATTTTGGTAAGTTATGACGTATCATTTGGTATTTTTCCATTGTATACACATATTAAGATTGGGGCTCATCCGCTCTCGACCAATCAGCATCGTGCTCTTGTGAATATATTCTAAAAGGCGAAGGTCGAATGAAAGACAGTTTATACACCAAATTTGTATTTCCCTGAAAAATGCGGCAAAGTCAAACGCTTCTCCGAAAATTATCGGACACAATAGAAGCTTTCTCCCGCTATCATCCTACTGTGCTTACGATCAGACAATTTCTTGATTTCGGTAAAGGAAATTTTTTTTCTAAGATGCTCTATGCGCATGCGTTGGAATTTAGCTATTGTTATCAAACAGTGTTTATAACTGTTTTGATGAGGTCAATTATGCAAGGCCAAAGTCCAAACATAGAATTATATCTCTATTTATTTATTTACTGTCATAGTCAGTTATCACCTGAAATTCAAAATGCGTTTATCTAAATTCCTTAGAGACGCATGTAAAAACTTCTCGATTGATTCTTTGAAGTTAAACGAATATTCCGTTTACAATCCAAGCTGTTTATCATTAAAAAGATTAATCGATTTTGGTATTATATTTCTGTAACTCTTATTTTTTGAATGAAGTAAACAGTCCTTCTATTATTATGCAGGGATCAACAGCGGATGTGAGAAAACATCTTTCTTCTTTTTAAGGAAAGAACTACCAGTGAGATTGGCTAATATTATGAAGGAAATAAACTTACTACCAGATCAGTTGCTTTTAACTCCCTCAGTTCAAATAGTGGAAGGATGGTATGAACAGAGTTTTCAAGTAAGTTGCATCTTTCTCTTAATAATTAAGTAGTATAGCCTCCCTCCTTGGATTTGTTATTTTAAACCGAAATACGAAATACATGATGAAATATCTAAACATAGAACTTAGATAAGATTTTGTATTATTCTCATCACGACGTGTTGACTGATAAAAATTTACAACAGTTCACTTGTTTCTATATCTATATATATATATATAAAGTATATATATTAGTATATATATATATATTATGAATCGTTATTTGTTTATTGTTGTTTTGTTTATAAAAGTGGAAATGATTTTTGAATCTTCATAAAGGGAAATTTTTTTACTCTTAGGAAATATTACGATATGAGAAGTCTGACCCGAAGGACAGTTCGATTTTAGAATATTTCACTGAATCTTTGGTGAAAATTAGGAATCGTCACCAGTCAGTAGTAGAGACTATGGCTCAAGGAGTAATTGAAATGAAAGAAGATGAGAATTACGCAACTGGTCTTTTGGAGAAACAAGTGCAATACTTTCTTGATAGATTCTATATGAGCCGTATTTCTATCAGAATGCTAATCAATCAGCATACTTTGCTCTTTGATCCGGAACGGCATCAGTCCTCTAAGCATATAGGAGCAATAGACCCAGCTTGTCGTGTTCAAGATGTTGCTCAAGATGCATATGAGAATGCTAAATTTTTGTGTGAACAATACTACCTAAATTCTCCAGATTGTGTATTTGAGAGTGTTGACCCGTCTGGTAACAAAGAGGGATCACTGACTGTAACATATGTTCCTTCACATCTCTATCATATTCTCTTTGAACTGTTTAAAAATGCTTTAAGAGCGGTCGTTGAAACTCATGGTCAAAAAGACAGTCTACCAGATATTAAAGTTATGATCTGCAAAGGAAATGAAGATTTAACTATTAAAATTCATGATGAAGGCGGTGGAATTAGTAGATCTCAATTACCTTTGCTATTTAACTATATGTATTCAACTGCTCCCCGACCTCCAAGTCCAGCCGCTGCATCATCGACACCTCTTGCTGGTTATGGATATGGTTTACCATTATCCAGATTGTATGCTAAGTATTTCTTGGGGGATTTACATTTGTCATCTGTTGAGGGTTATGGCACAGATGCCTACGTGAACATAAAAGTTTTTCCTGATGATGCTAGTGAGCTTTTACCAGTTTATAATAAAACCTCTAGTGCGAAGTACCATACTTCACAAAGTGTTAGTGACTGGTCTGATCCAATTCATAGTAGTGGACTACATAGCCGAAATTTTTCTACTCTGTCGAACAGCCGTAAAAGAACACTTAGAAGAAAATCCTGATTTAATTAACATTTTAAATATTTTCTTTTTTAATTATTTATGGCAAAGGAGTACTAAATAGCACTCGTGCTACTTTAATTTATAGGACGGAGTATATTATTTGATCGAAGCTGCGATAGACTGTAAAAATGTATAAGTTATTTGTAATTTATAATGCACTGTGAATAAATGCAGACTTATCCTTGATAAACAACTTGAGAAGATGTGTTTGTTAAAAGTAATAAAAAAGATTTGGTACACTTTATAGTTGTTTGATAAATTGTGCGGAAAATATACAAGACACCGATAATTTTAATTGTTTAGATTATTCAATAGGTTTATTGAACACGTAAAATAGAACTCAAAATTCTTTAGAGGTTCTTAGGGACATCAAATCGTTTTATTTACAATTTGTGGTAAATAGTAATTGTGCAGAAAAAACTGCCAATGGCTTTTCTCTGTGAGCTTGATTTAATTCTAAAAAGATAAACTATAGAATTTGTTCCATTGAAGTTTCGCAATAAATAAACAATATCAAATTTCATTTTGCAGCTGTAAATAAGAAGCGCTTAAAGTTGTGAGTAGGATACCCTTTTCACCATGCATGATATGGTCTTCCATAAGTCTCTCCATAAACAAAATTTCAGCACCTAAATGTCTTATCTTAGCTTTTACAACAGTCATTTCAACAAGAGGAAGTAAATCATCCATTGGTGTACTGTCTGCCGAAGCCGATCTTACTTCATCAGTTAGTAATTGAAATGTCCTTTGCAGTACGTCAAATTTTGTATAAATTGAAAAAGCGGTGGGTAATCTTTGCAGGCAATCGGCAGCCGTTTCGCAGGTTACAATTTGCAGGCGTTCAGCTACGCCTAAGGCAGCTGAAAGTTGCTTATGCTGCAGTCGAGAGCAAGTAATAACTTTCTTCCAATATCTAGAATCATCTTCGTCAGAGCCAACAACCTTGAAAAACAAACATCGTTAAAAGGTCATTTCCTCTCATAATGGCTACTAAAAATAGATTAATTAGGAAAGAATTTTGTTTTGTAAAGTGCTTCATCAAGCTTACAAGACAAATAAGTGTTAATGATAGATAGTTACCAAGGCGTGCAATGCAAACAGAGATGTATAAATTCTTGGAACTAGTAAGGGATGCACCAAGTTATCAGCGGTAATAATAGTATCTTCGTCTATCATTCCTGGTTCATCTGGTAGAGTCGATGGAAGTTGAGGGAAAAGTGGCAGAATTAAGCGAACGAAGCGCTTTGAATAATCAGCTACCTCGCTCAAAGCAACATGCAACATTATTGCTGGATGACATCCTATACCTGTATAGGAAAGACGAAAAGCCGATACAAGACGTCTCATAGCAATACCTAATGGGTGCCACGTTGTATCAATAACGGCATTGAGATAATCTGAGAGAACGTCAATATCTTCAGTCGTTAAGGTAGATATGGAATTTTTCAAAGGATTACGGGAGAGAATCTTTTGATGATGGGGAGCAGCTTCTGCACATCTTTCTACGCATCTCCATGCATGTGCAGAAAGTTCTTCAGGTGACAACTCAGGAATTGGTTCGAGGTCATCATCTAGGGCGAAAGTCTCTTCTAATTCTCTCCAAATAGAATTCCACTTTTGCTTCGCTGATATATGAATTGGGGGGGATTTTATTCTATCTCGAACATCTGTAATTTTCTTTTTTGTAGGGTCAAAAGTTAATACACCGTGAACCTCCAATCCCTCAGAGCCTGAGCCGAAAGTCCCATCAAGGGTGTAACCTAAATTTAAAATGAAATGCCATTACTAAATTTGCTGCACTTTCTTTTGCAAATAACAAATAACCTGAATCGAGTTCAAAGATACCTTGACCATTCGGTTCAACGGCAGGATTTACTTGTCCGACATATTGACTCTCATTTTCGTATAAAATTACACAATCACCATTTAATCGATCCTCCTTCCAGGTACCACAAATGCACCTGCCATCAAGAGTTAAGGTCATTCCCCGACCATGCCGAAGATCGTTCTTCCATTCTCCCAAATATCTTTCATTACCAGAGTCCAAAACGCCATATCCGTCTTTTTTGTCTTGGAGAAAATCGCCTATGAAAACAGAGAAATTTTGTTTTAACTGTCCATGTCCCTGTCTTTGTCCTTCTCTTATACGACCCTCGTACACAGAACCATCAGGATAAACAATTTCAGCAGAACCATGACGTTGACCCATTCTAAAATGACCTTTAGGAAAACAGAATACATTAAAAGAACTTATTTTTTAAATAGATGTTGATAGAAGTACCTTTATAGTGCATTAAGTTGCCTGTAGAATCGGGAACTCTTTCCTCGCAAAAGCCATGAGGAAGAGAGTTCGACCAAAATCCACTTAATACGCGCCCGTCGGACCATATCATACTTCCTGTTCCGTGCATTTTACCTTGTATCCAATTACCGGTGTATGTAGCACCCTTATACAATCCTTTTTTTTTCTTGTCAAAATCATATGTTGCATTTCTGACAACAGGGATGTTCCTACCCTCGCAACCTAGTGCTTTGATAATTGACTGCTGCAGAATTTTCATCCAGCTATTTCTCACTTCTAATCGACTGGCACATAGCACAATTCTTTCCTCAGGTGTTACAAGTACAATGTTCTTTTGTTCATCGAGGTCCTCTTCGAGCCAAATTGTCAATAGATTATATTTCTTTAAATTTCCATAACCGGCATCAACGAGGATATCGTTAAATAAAATGAAAGATCTTGAGAAAAATCTTCCAGCGTTTTGTGATACTAATTCATTTTTGTCACCTTCTTTTAAAACTCTTCTATCCGGGCATCGGAGTGACTCAGATATTTTGGACGAAGCCCAAAATTTTCGAGTCATTTCCGCTATGTTATGTCTCTCTGATGTTGATCTTTTTAAATTAGCCCATATCTCGGCAATTTGAGCAAAGAAGACATGTCTGGAGGAATTTGGAGCAAAATTGGAAGCTATCTTTGAGCAGAGGCGACCGTATTCACCACTTCTCCGCAGCGGTAATGTGAGAGCATAAATTAGAACATTTGTTGGCCCTATTGTTCTTTTTAAAATGTCTTTAACTTTGATTGTAGCCTCATCTATCGTTTTTCTACATACATTTGATAAAGAATGGACACTGCCTAGTGATAAACAGTTGTCGTAAAGAATACCATATTCTTCAAACGTTTTGGAATGTTCTGTTGTTAAACTTAAATGTTCTATTGGTCGCAAAAGTGAGCAAATTTCAGATAATTCAACACATAGCGTTCTCACACGATCGATTGTTTCATTATAAGCTGCTAAGAGACGCTCGAAGGCTTGTCCGTCATGAGGTTGTTCTAAAAAATTTTATTTTTTACATGTCAATTTACTAAACTTAATTCGAAGATAAATAACTCCTTAGAAAGATGGATTTATTTAATTTATAATTACCTTTAAAAGCTCCATAAGCTTCGCTATTAATAATTGGAGTAATAAGGTGAGTCCTAACAGCTACAAGGGATGTTAGAAAATGTCTTTCGGTTACTGCAAGCTCATATATTCCTTTATGCTCATCTTCCTCTATAATGACAGCCGCTGTTCTTCCTTCAAAAGGACAACTCGCCATTTGACGTATTCTTCCTTTACCGTCCAAGCTGGATGATTGATTTAGGCCAGTTTTCTTTAAGACCCACAAATGAGTTGCAAACTTAGGAGCATCCATTATAAAAAAAGAGCAGTTAGCGGTCAGAGAGATACCAGTAGTTGGTGTTTGTAGATTGATATGAGTTGGAACAAGCGTATCATTGCCAAATTTGTAAACAGTTCCATCTGCAGTTAACACTAAGGAAGTTTGATTTCCTGCCTTCATATCAATAACGCATTTATTGATGAGAGAGCGAATACGAACAGGTTTATTTCGATCAATTTGATCACCTTGACCCAGTTGACCGTGATTTCCATTACCCCAACACCATACTTCGGTGTGAACTACGACATTAGTTTCTAACGATGGAGCTTCTGGTATAGCTTTGTCAATCAGTTTTGGTAAAGAGTCACAACTGTTCGATTTTTGAAGTGGGCAGCATTTTCGAACACCAAAAATGGGTTGACTAGGAGCTTGAGTAGTTGAAAAAGAATTTCTAAGCGATTTCATCATTCCTAAAGCCACTTCACGAGGTCTTGGCGGAACTACTGATAAGATTTGACTCACTTTGTTTGTAAAATAATCTGGCTCTTTCTCTTGAGAATCGGTAAATTGTTCAAGAAGCTCCAATGATCCAGCTGATAACATCCTCTTCCTATCTGTTGAGCAGTCGTGCTCATAAGAACTTCTAACATCTTCAGGAGCACTCTTAGATTTGGTTACTTTTTCGAAGCTGATGTTACTTCTTAATTTATCCATATCCGTTCTTACTAAAGCGAGTGTATGGAATTCTCCGCATGAAACTTTTAAAACATCTTTTCCACCAAAAAATGACTTATCTATTAGATAGGGAGATTCAATATTTGCCTCCAATTTCAGACCAATGTGATTTTTACTACCCCAAATATACAAATTTCCATTTTCATCAACACAAGCAGAAAAGTTACTCGCCAGGGAAACGTGTCTAATTTTTGCAGAAAACCGTAATTTTTGTGGCTTTAAAATACAATCAATTTCTTCAGGAACACATTGCTTGCATCTATTATCTCCCCAAAACCAAACTGAACCTTCAAAATCAATAGCAGCTGTATGTCGGGTACTACAACTAACAATATCAATATTCTTCATAATTTCTATTGGTTCATTAGAGTCCTGTTTTGTATTGTTCCCCAGCTGACCGTAGCGATTTGAGCCCATCATCAGTAATTTCCTGGTTTCACTTATCAATGCAAAGTAATCCAGTCCTGCTATGACTTGAATTATTTTTTCTTTGTTGTTCCATTGTACTTTACGGGGTTCTACAGTCAAATTATCCGCTTTCCAAGTATAAACTGACATATTCGGATATAAAGACTGGCGCGAAATTAGAACCAATTTGTACTTGGCTTTAACGCTTGAAGATTGTAACAATATACGTTAGATATAATATTAATTAATATCAGCGATGGATTTCATATATATTGGTTTTGAAGTATGATAAAGTTGTAATATTGAGATAAACCAGATAATATGTGAGCACCGATTAATTTTTCCTCATGCTCGTTTTCGTATAAATTTCGCGCAAAATATAATTTCGAAAAAATTAAGATCTATTTGTTTTGTTTGGGTATTAATAATTAATATAATTGTCTATTTGAACACTAAATGATAAATTTAAAAACTCAACAGACTCGAACATAAGATACTATAGAATACTGTGATGTCATTTCCGGCTATTCCATCGACCTGGATTTTTTCGTTTTTCTCAATTTTCGTGTTCAATTAGATATTTTTAAGCAACTTTTTGCCAAAGCAAGACTTCTATGTTAGGTATTGACCAAAGAGATATGCGAACGATCTAATAAAAGTAAGTTCTTGACAATTGAAATTTTTTCCTCTTAGCAAAGGTATATTATTTTGTGGAGGTCGTGAAAAATATGCGTAAAATTTCAGTAAAGAACATTATAAAGAGATGGCAGAACTGCTGGAACGAAAAGCCTCACTGAAACGTCAAAAAGCCGAAGTTCAACCGATAGATGGCGCGTCTCAAGATGAACCTGATACAACAACTCCCGATGGGGAAGAGGAAGACAACAATCAGTTAAAAGTGATACATTTTATTTTTTAAAAATGTAGGATTTAGAATATTTGGCGTTCTATGTAGGCTATATAGATCAAATTATTGCGCTCTTTGATATTTCAACCAACAGAAACTAGCAAATGGTCTACTAAACCTGAACATCTAGATTGGTAAACAAACCAAAAAAATAAATTGTAGGAGTTACAGGAATGAGTTTTCGGTTAGAGCTATAAAGAACTATGTTTTTACCATTTCTATTACGACATGTGGCTTCCATTTGCTAGTGTCAGAAGTTTCGAAAACACTTATTGAACTCGTTTTTCTCCAAGCTAAATGTATAAGAATTTAGTAAACCGTACATACTTTGCTTTATTACTAAAATAATATAATGTAATACGCATATTCTGAATCATCAGCTATTTTGGTCAGGGAAGTTTTTATTTTGTTAGCTAAGAATAAGCCGAGAAGAATTATATTACAGTTTGAGTAAGCCTAGAAAAATTTAGCTTTTTGGCGTAGATATTTATTCGAAAGTGAAATAAAAGTTGGCAATAAAACGTAATGACACTGCTCAATAGGCTCTATTGTGAATATTGAAAATTTGTTATACATTCATAAGATAGATGTGCTCATTGTCCAAGTCGTCTACTACCTCATCCACCCAGCACCTTACATCGAGACTTTTCGATGTCTTTGAGATATTATAAGAATCTAATCTAAGCAAGGGAACTGTCAAGGAATTACTTGAATAACAATTCTGTACCTAAATATCAATAAGGTCAGCCTTCTGACTCAATCAATCATTTCGGTGATGATATAAATAAGTAACTCAAGAAATATTAAGCTTAGGTCAAACATTTTACTCAAGCAAACTTATATTCCTAGATGAAAGTACTGGTAAGATCTCAAGCATTGGACGGTTCATCTCCACCTCCCAATAATGTTGGAAGTTTACTACCATCTCCAAAGACGCTTTCGCCTCAACCTAATCGTCGTTTACTTAAAGATGCTTCAGGTTCTTCTGCAAGTGACGCGTCTTCGGGATTGTCACGTGAATCAAGTTTGGAAATTTCAACTGATTCTTCGGGAGTAGATCTTCAGCAATTTTTGACCCAAACATTGACAAAGGGGAACACAAAAGATAGAACTTTTCTCCTGAAGTTGGAAATGGAACTTATAACTTTCGTAACAGATTCGAATGAGCCATTGAAACGTTTTCCTCCAATGTCTAGTTATCAAAGGATGCTAGTTCACAGAGTCGCCGCCTACTTTGGTTTAGAGCACAATGTTGATAATACAGGAAAGGCCGTTGTTGTAAATAGGACACCAAATACTAGATTACCTCCGCTAACCTTTAGTCAAATAATAAGAATGGCTAATGGTCAACCGAGGCAGTTGTTAAGAAGACGTCCGGCGAGTGTTGAAGATGCTCCACTGAAAGTTCCATTAGGCAATCAACCTAAATCAAAAAGTGTTGATGAAAGAAGAATGGAATATGATCAGGTACGTACTGTTTTCTTAATAATAAATAGTCTGTGAGTGCTAAATGTGATAAAGACAGTTATTTACTCGAATACCAACATATTATGTGCCCGAAGTATCAAGTTTATTTTTATCAAGAATATCCAGAATTATTAAGGATTTTTACTAGAAAAGGCTATAAAAAGTTTTCATAACAATAGCATCTATCTCATAACTAATGTTATAATTTAAGATAATTATTCTTTTTGGTTTGAAAGGAAAAACCTTACTTGAAGAAAATTAAATTACGGACATAGCGAGTACTTTCAAAACGCGTTTGTTATTATTTACAGGCAAGAACTAGAATATTTGGACAGCACCTTTCTATTCCTGATATGCAACAGCATGTTTCTCCATTTCCACTTCAATGGAGTTCAACTGACTCATCCGGGTACTCTACAGACAGAACGAGATCACTAGTAATGTCAAGAGATTCCAGTGGATCTAATTTAACGTCCATGTATGACGGAGGGGGACCATACGCCGTTTGGGTAGCAACATCAGTTGAACAAATCCCCAGCGGAAGCGTGATAATAAATCCTCAAACCGGAAGTCCTTTTTTAATGTCCGACGGTTCGTTATATAGGCATCCAGGAACTGGAAGCCCACTTCCAGCCGGGAGTTTGATAAGCTTTCAACAAGTTCCGTCATTGGCACCACCCCCACCCCCTCCAACTTATGTCGTTCCCCAGCAGCAAGTTCTGCAGCAGCCTTATACTGTTCAGATGCAGGTGGCGCCCCCACCGCCACAACCACCTCCGCCACCTCCTCAACAGCAGCCTCAACCTCCTCCAAATCATACTGGAAATACAATAGTTTTATGTCCTCCTCACCCACAGGATCATATATATCAAAATCGTATTGAGCAAGCGACAAACCAAATGCAACAGTTTTCGATAAGGACGCCGACATCCTCTTGTCCACCTGTGAGGAGACAAAAAAATGCTTGTGGTGGTATGTTGTGTTTTTAAAAGTATAGATTTAGAACTCGTTTTAATAGTTAGCTAGAATTCTTCGTTGAAGTAGGTATATGAAACTGATATTAGGAAATTTTACAGTCTGTTGTTCCATTAATATTAAAACGAGTCAGAAAAAAACTTTTTTATTATTATATAGTTCGTTTTTCATAGGCGGTAAAAGACGTTCAAACTGGGTGAATAACAAGAACGGAAGTGGAACTTCTTCTGGGAATAGTCAAAGTGTGGACGAAGTCGCTAGTCAGCAATGATCTCATGTAGGCGATTTTTAATTGCATAAAAGTTGTTCGGTTTTTGTCCTTTGCCAGTATTAAGCTTGCGAAACGACTTTTTTTGGATAACGAACGTTGTTTTTTGTTCTTTTTTGCTGGTTTCCTTTTTATTTGAATAGAAAATGATTATTTGGTAACAATTTTTGATTTTTTCTTCAAAAAAAATTGCGGTACAATTTCTACACTGTTCTTGGATTTATTTTACATAACTAGCCGGTTGTGTAATCTGGGATTTCATTCAGTCGTTCATATTTGTATCTTTCATCATCCTGACTTTCTTATTCATTTTTATACTATAAATTAAAACAATTTCTCTCTTTTACAGTTGATTAGGTTGACTAGAAAATGAAACAGAGGGTAAAAAGTCAGTTGATATTCGTCTGAGAAATATCTAAGAATACATTATAGCTTGAATCTTTTGAAATTTTAATAAAGAATCTTAAACAAATGAACAATATATCATAAAACAGATTAGTCAATTTATCCCATATGTTTTGGAATGGAAATTTTTTAGTTTTATTCAAAACAAGCGTAGCCGAGAGAAAAAATAGGAAGAAACATTCTTGTCCTTGAATATTTTATAGCTGGTTTATTTTAGTCTATTTATTCTGACGCTGTTGGCGTGACTCACAATGTGTTTGTCTACATAATCTTATAGATTTTTAAGAAAGACACATTTAGTTATTATTATTTAATAACGTTAAATTATCATTTTCAATAAAAACTCAATGTAAAGGGAAATGCCACAGGTGTCCTATTATATGCATGATGAAATGCTTTAAGGCTAGGAAGAGTAAGTTTGTATAACCTTAAGAAACAACTTGCATGAATAATACATGTACAATGCTAAAAAGTTTACTGTTGAAAGTCTAAGATTAGAAAAAGGAAGCTACTAAGGCTTAAAATAAGTCATAAAAGAAGAATCTTAGAGCTTGTATCGTATTTCTATTGTCTCTTTGTTGTTTCAATAAAAGCATCATAAATTGTGTTATTTTCGTCACGTTGATGGATTTCAATTTACCAAGTCGTTAGAAAATAATATATAATTGATGTTCTATACTGAAGTCAATATTACTAAGTGTCTTGAATACTTTCATATTATAAATATGGTACGATTTGGTTTCTCTTCCGTTGTAAATAAGTGTATTAAGTTACAATTATCATTTGATGTATTTCGAATTATGGTATATTATAATTGATCTGATTGGTTTTAACATATATATATATAAGCCCGCTAAAGACCGCTGTAAAATCGACCTTATAGAGAATAGCAAAATGTGCTTATATTTGTGATAAATTCCCATTATAACTTTAAAATCGATCATTACCGTATCAATAAAAGAGACAAAAAAGATATTAGTTTTATACCGAATTTGTGTTCGATCTTTCGATACATTGATTGAACAACAACAAAAGAATGCCACTTTACTTTGTTTTCATGCTGCACATATTTGAAGAAACGCAAACAGATAGATAAAAATTCTTTTTCATGTCGCGCTTCAAGATTCTAACTGAATTAGTTGGTTTGTAAGAAGATCATAATTCCAATTATAGCAATGTTGTACGTATACTTATTCCGAGTAGCATTTCTCTAATCCTCAGCTGGAAAGGGGATTAGATAAAAAAAGAATTTACTTTGCTGTGTCACAGGATTTGTGACGCTTTCGCGATTGACTTAATTTGAAGTGCAGAAAAGTATAGTATAAAAAATCTCCACAGAGATGCATTAGAATTGGATAGTTTTCTTATTCCCGGTCGCTTCTCCCACGAGTATCATATTACGGTCAATAAAAGCCAGCTGATTAGCCGGTGCATAGAAAACCCCATGAAAGATCATTTCGTTATCTTTAATCCTCTTCCATATTCTAATACACATTTCAACTGCAGTAGCAGCAAAATAACTTCCAGTGTTGTCCCATGTTGCGTGTTTTATCGAACTATTAAAAGCTGAATGGGATTGCGGTGATTTAATCCATTTCATGATTTTTTTATCCTTCTGAAATTCAATTACGCATATATTACCAGAGGAGTCACAAACTGTTAAGTGATTGCTTAAATTAGGAATAAAGCTTATATTCGTTAAAGACGAATGGAATTCCGAAATTCTTATTATCATTTCTATTTGTTCATCATTAGCAAGACTCCAAATTTTTAGAACTTTCCCAGAGGTTGCTGCGAGAAATTGCTCATTCATCGCTAACCAACCAACACTCGTTGCTTCCCTGCATATATCATCATCGTTTTCCCAGAATCTTATTACAGATGTCTCAACCCAAAGTTCGATTGAGTATATATGAATGTTGAATTCGAGTGTTTCCGTTCCAACTGCAATTAGGGTGCTATTTAAGGCAATACTACAAGGCGAAAATGCATCAAGCGTAGTGATATGACTACCGTTCTGATTGTCAGTAACATGAACTGTAGCCTTTTCAACAGCTCCTTTCTGCAAAATATTTTAGTTTTACAATTTTTAGCATGTTTCATAATTACAACGAATATTATTGTTAAAAACTAACATTGTAGGTTCCTTTATGACCGAGATCTACGCTTATAATATAATTCGAATCCAGTGTAAAGAGAGCATCCCATATAAAGCCTTTATGACTCGTCGAATAAAATAGTATTTTTTCATCATGAGCCTTTTTAATTTCGCATGTTGTCATCCAACCCTGGCTTGATAATAGGTTCTTCCGGTCGGGTGATATTTTAAGAACTAGATAATGTAAACCTCCAACTGTAGGAACATTTCCAAAGACAACGGGCCGTAAATCCCATATCTTAATTGAATTGTCAAGAGATGCCGTAGCTAAACGACTTTTTCCATAAAGACTTATCCATCCTACTCTGTGAACATGGCCTCCCAAAGTACATACACATGAACTCGTCGCCGTATTCCAAACTTTTAACGTTCTATCTGAAGATCCGGACAATAAAGCTTGGCCATCTTCTGTAAACTTTAAACACCACAGCCATCCCTTATGACCATGTAGCTTCTCTAATTGATCACCATTTATGCTACTAATAACAGTAATCATTGAATCATCCCCGCCAGTAACAACAACAAGCTCACTGGGAGACCAAGCAAGGCATAAAGTTTTTCCGCAAGCGGCCTGAGAACTCCATTTAATTTTTCCAGTTGCACTATCGATACAAACTAGACCGTATTGACTGTTAAATACTGCAACGCCAAGTTGATTAGTGATAGGATCAAATGCGCAGTTACTAGCCGGCCCTGGAAGTTCAATTTCAAACATTTCCTTAATAATATTATAACCATCCGTTTCAAATATTTTAGCAGTGCGATCAACGCTACAGGTTGCCAATAGGCTTGTTTCTCTGCTTTTGTCTAAACCACTAACAGCATTTCCGTGTACTTTCTCCGAATAAATCTATATATTGGGTCAGAATTGTTAAAGACAGCTGAAAACTTATAGAATTGCTCACTTTTAAACCATTTATGGAGAAAACTTCTAAATGGCCATCGTCACATCCAACAGCAACTGATGAAGACTGTATAAAAGTGCAGGATTGTTCTCCGTGATAGTCATCAACCAGACCCGGAAAAGGCGGTCCACTCAAATTAGTTATGGTCACTGTTTCTTCTCCACTGTGCGTATCCCAAATTTTTATACTTCCGTGTTCACCATCGTTAGCTACCGATACAATATATGATCCATCAGTAGAGAATTCGCAACATCTAATGCCTTTCTCGTGTCCTTGAAGCGTTAGTAAACAGGGGTCATCTATCGACTCTGGATTGACATCCTTTAAGAGAATTCTAGTATCAGATAATTGTAAATTTGGTTGTTCCAACAAGTTTCGTATTGCTGCAGATGTATGCTGCGAGGCTAATTGGTAGACACATTCAGGATCTCTCAGGAGATGAGTGACATTCGCTCCAACAAATTTATGATACTCTTGTAATTTTTCACTTTGTTTTGAAGCTTCTAGCAAGTCAGAAAGGCACTCGTGACCTTGACCAGCTGCAAATCGAGCTTCAATAAAGGGTAGATTTAAAGTCCACTTCTCAAAATTGTTCCAATCCTTAAGTCGGATAAGTGCAAGGGGTAATTCCCTTAGTTTACGTTTATTAAAAATTTTGTTTGATGTTGAACTTCCTTCATGAAGTATAAGGGATTGAGGCTGTATTCTTCGATCGTACATAACTACAGCCTCCTGACTTACTTTCGCTTTTCCGGCGTAACGTTTCCCATCAGCATAAACACCCTGAAAATAATTGACTATACCTTGCCATGACCAGTTTTCTTCTTGACTCAAATATCTAAATGTACAACAAAGATTTACTTTTATCTTAAAAATCTTATGAGAAAGGTCAACCTTGTCTGTGCTACTTTCCAAAACTGCCTATGGTACCATGAGTATGTCATAACTCCATCAACACCCTTTTCCACTAGATATTCACTTACTTCATCTCTAATTCTTAACCATAGCAATTGAGGTATTCTTGGAAATGGTGGAATCCAATGGGAAAAAGTTTCATCCAGAACGTCATCGTCTAATGAGAGAATATCTTCAAGTTCTATAGATGATAGACCATTTTTTGACGCAGTTATATAACCAAAGGCTTTTCTTACAAGTGTTAATCCGTACCTCTTTTCTATCTTATGAAATAAATCATTTATAAGATCTGGAATACTTGAACCAATAGAGGTATCTACATCAGAACTTTTCCATTTTGTTGCTGAATCAGTGGCAAGCTTCAAAAATAAAGGGATAGGTGTTTTCGTAAAGGCATTGATGATAATCTCCTTTTGATTTGATGTCAATGTTCTATGTTTGCTTGCAAGTATACTATTCATTATTTCTCTACCATCATCTACAGTTAATTCTCTGACTGAAAAAATATAGCTAGGCTCAAGTATTTGCTGTATAATATCAAGGGGACCAAAAGGTGAAGGTAATGTTGATACAATAACTTGACAGAATGCTGGTAAGGGTTCTTTTAGACCGGGTAACCATTGTAAGTTATGTGCAGAATTTTCCATTGAAAGTTGATCTAAAGAATCCAAGACTATAATAAGAGGCCTTTCTGCTGTGGGATAATTCTTAATTGCCTCCTTGAATAATATTATTAAATCTTTAAAGCTTTCTGCTTTAGGTTTATCTGCTATACCGTACGCTCTAAGTATTTGTAAATGAACGGACTCGAGTAGATTTCTAACGTTTCCAGATTTTGCAGTTGTTCCTAAAAATCTGCTAATAACTACCGAAATTGGAATCAGCTTTTTCATTTCGGTCGCTATAGGCAAAGAGTTATAATAGAAGCTTGTTTTCAAGTATACATTTCTCATTACAGATGGCGTTAGACAATGGACAAATATAATAATTTAGCTAAATCTCTTGCCTATAGCGGCCATAATTGCTGTTTTTCCACATCCAGATTGACCGTAAAGAGTAAAAACATTACTTTCGGTGTTGATCTTCTCCTTAATGTTCATTTTAAGGGAATTTACAATTTCATTTCGACCATAGAACACTTTTAGTTTATCAATAATAGTATTACGATGTAGTAAAATTTCATCAATAAGATCGTCGACTTCAACATGTAAATATTGTTCATAGTTCTGTAATATCAATCTTGATAAAGAAGTACATATTTGGTCGCAAGATTTCCGGACATCCTGACTACATGATCTGACATCTGACGTTTTATAGGTACACTCGTACTTGTTCTTGTCATCTATGGAAGCTTTAACAGTTTTCTTAAGAGTTGAAAGACATTTTTGAGAGTCTTTGTTGATTTGACTTTTCTAAACAATAGAAAAAATCGTTTGATAAGTAAATTATAAATCGTTGGAAACTTTTCAAGTGGCTTAGAAATAACTACACAAGGATTTCTTTACATTACATTTACGATTTGTTCTTCAAAGACTTTGTTTTAAGCAACCTGAGAAATCATCAAACGCAAGATATTCTAATTTTTTTCGTTGTTTTCCTATAGTTGTGATTACTGTGGCATGTTTATCACGAAGTCTAATTAGCTTATAGGTGAAATCTACTTTTGTCGACAGCTATTTAAGATAGAAGAGCACTATTTTTATAGTTTAGAATGAAATCGAAGAAGAAATACTATTTTTAATATAGAACACTTAGAAATTTACCTCTGAGTCTATATCAATTAAATGCCTATGAATGTGACGATCCCCTTCTATTTGATGTAAATGCCTCAATACTACCACAACTTTATCATTAACCCTCTGGTTTTTTAAAACTCCTTGCTCTATTTCATTTTCAGTAACGGATATAAAGTACTTTCTTCTTTTTTTGTCGTCGTTTTTCAATGCAATTTCGGCGGCGCTCCTTAGGAATGTACTCATTTGACTTGAAATCGACCACCAATCCTTCTGCTCGCGGGTTATGGGCTTAAGAAAGTATATTGGAGGTATATTATTCAGGTCTAAGCAGTAATACTTTCGTAAGATAACTGCTTCATTTACTTTTACATGTTTAAGTAGTAACTCAAACTCATTTTTCTCAATTTCTGAAGGAATGGGTCTATAGCCGTACTTATCTCCGACAATTGCTAAGAAGGATGGTCCACTACTCTCCGATGTACATCTTTCCACTTCCTTAAGACATACTCTGACTGTATCGTGCTCCAAACTTACTTCCTCCTTAACGCCCCACCTCATGTCTACAGTTCCAAAGTCCATATTTAAAGTTTGGCATAGTTTACGCAAAAATGGATAAACATCTTTCATTAAAGTGTTTCTCTCCGCCAAAGTATCTGTAAATGTCGACGAGACAAATACAATTATTCTGCGGTTTGATTTCGGTAGCTGAGTTTCAATTAACTCTGTTAAATTTCCGCTGAATTGGAAAAAAATTTAATAAAATAAAATACTGCGTGGGATGAATTGGGGAAGAGACGAAAAGTAAAATAAACATAAATGAATAATCTTGAGCAATTTCTCATTGACGTGGATCGAATTAGTTATCAAAGATGCCTGTTTTCTTATCTCTACCCCTACTTGCGTGCTTCTAGAAACTGTAGAAATGAAAAGATATAGAAAATAGATGCTGGGTTTTTTTTTCTGTCGACTCTTAGATGGTGTGTATTATTCGTAATTTAGTTTGATTTTCACTTTGGCAGAGAATCGCCGAAGCGTCACCCAGCAGTCAGTTTTATCCAACGCCGGAAATTAAGTATGTGAAGGAAATTAAAAGCAAGCAAACAGTGATAGACGCACCTGACTCTGAAATATGACATATCTAATGTTTACTATTAATTTGATATTTCCGATACTGTTGTTTAATAAATTTTAAGAATGACAACCAACTTTCTACGAAAACTTTTTTGTTGAAAATCTTCAATTGAATAGAATTTAAAATTTATAGAATTAGATCAGCGGCCTGACGTTTCTTTCTGAAGGTTGTTAAATAGCCCTTAGGCCTAATACTCTCAACCTTTATCGTTCAATATATCGCTTCATTTAGTTTTTCCTCAAAGAAAGTCCTTCAACAGAAGAGTCATTAAAAAATTCGTACAGTATACTTTATGTAAAACTTGTATTTCCAATCTAAAATGTGAGTAAATATAGACAGATCTGTTCAAATAGTTGACGGATGGATGAATATTGAATATTGAATATCTCATATGAGGTATAAAAATAGATTATTGAATTGTTTTCGCATGTTTTGTTAAGAATGTCCGATAGAAGAAGGAAAATAATACTGTATTTGAGAAGGGAAAACTACTATACAAAAATTTGTGCTAACTATGCAATTCGTAATTGGCAATAAAGCACAAAAAAAAGGATTCTAACCTTAGAATATTTTCAACAATATCCGGTGAATATTTCTTCCTGGAATTCTTTAATAAATTTTCTGCTTCCTTAAGCAAACATTTCCATTCCTGCCGCTCGAATCTTTTGTCATCCCAAAGGTCCATTTCTGACACCTTAATGAGGGAATCTCTCCAATCTATAGTGTCGTTTACTGTCATGAAATTCATACAAAAGCATCAAATGAACCGGTCAAAATAAATCTATATGCAGAATCACAAAGCATATAGATTGTTGGTTCTTAGCGTGATGAATTAATAGGTTGTAGGCCAACGAAAAAGAATTGGTGAAGAGTGTTTAGAATTTGGCTTTTTGGTTATGTTGAAGAGAGTGTAAGCAATTTCTCTCATAACAGTTTGGGCAAATATTGTAAATCATTTCATTAATATGGTAAAAACCTTTAATTTTAGTCTGCATCTGCTTTTAGAATTCTATAATAAAAACATAAAATTAAGCTCTTTGGATATGACAGAAATAGAAAGTTTTATCATGATTAGACTGGTTTTTCGTTAGCGATTCTCGACGAAAAAGACGAATGCCAAACTATTACTGAAATTTTTTATTAAAATGTCATCAACTAGAGATCAAAGTTCAGCAAACCAATATTTACCTCGGACTCTTGTATTTAGAAAAGAAAGAAACTTTAACATACCCTTAAAACTCTTATACATTTTCTCCTGCAAACTAATGCCCTTGACATTAAAAATAAGGGTGACTACTCGCCTAGCAACACCCAAACACAACCCGATTTTGTAAAGTACGTCTATAGGCTGAAAGCGACATTGACGCCGGATCTGCGACAGCAGCGCCGTCGACCCGATCGATTCTTTGCAGTTTTTTGCAGATGGACTGCAATGAACGGCCACCGACGATCACGATCGAGCATATCGATGATGAAGATTCGAAATTTAGGATATTTAACGATTGGAATGGATGCGTGCAACAAGAAACTACGCTGCCTAAAGCCAAAAGTAGTAATTCATTAGTGGATTGCTCTAAATTTGCAGATCGGCCTAATAATTTATCTTTATCAAAATCTGAAAGTGACTTGAAAGTTGTGGATCAGGAGTTATATCCGTGGATATCTAACATGTCAAAATTAACTGTTGATGATTACCATAATAGATATTCTCTAAACGTTTCACCCTTTGTAACACCTTGTTGCAGTCCGAATCCCTCTCCTCGGATATCGCCTTGCTCTACCCCTAATGGTGAAAAATCTGGATCACCGACAACCTCGCCTATTCAGATGCGCAAAAGCTGAGACAAATAAGAAAAAGCAAATCTCTTTTGTGCTCAATACTCGTTTCTTTCTCTTCTCCCATTTTGTATAGTTTGTATATAAACTAATATATTGTATATATTTATATATATATACTGATATAAAAGAATTTCATTTGCAAATAAAGAATTAGGACGGTTGAATTATTTATCGAATGTTACCATTTCGGCCGTGCTTTTCAATTTTCATCGATGAAAAATTGTTGCGAAAACCTTTTATCCTAGAATCTCGACAGCTAGAAAAGAACAATGATAAAGGAGCAGAGAAGAAGAAACGAAAGAGGGAAAAGCGGGAAAAGCAGATAAATTTGTTATTTTGTGAGTAATCGAAAGGGGAAGTCACGAGTTTTTCTTTCATCATTTCAATCATTCAGAATGTAATGGATAAACGTCCAATTGTTCTTTAATTGTTATTTTCTATTGGTAACTGAACTGTTGTAAATAATTAATGCTCTTATTAGCCATAATACTTATACGCTATATTTAAAACGCTTACTGATTAAGTATGCCGTGTCTAGAATATTCCTAAAAGAAATACTAAGAGGACAAAAACTCTTTTTCTTTTTTAATCTTTCTACCAATCTCAAAGTTGGTTATATATAGACCTGAAGATGTATGTAAAATCATTTAGGTTGTCAAGAAAGACAGTGAATTAGAAGTGAAAACTATCTAAACTAATCTAATAGATCCGTTTGTTGGCGTAAATTGCTTACTTTATTAAGCTTTCATAAAGAACAGTTTTTCTAATAACATTAGAAACGGAATTTGATATGTTATATATAGGCGTTAAATATTGTAGTCGTATTATTTTGTATGAAGGTAAGAAATCGAAGAGATTTTAAGTTAATTAAAAAACATCATAATATGTGTTAAGCGTGTCGATATTTAAGTAAAGTTGTATAAGAAGGCTATTTCCTTTGTATAATTTACGCTTGATGTTAAATTATTTCCGATAAGTTAGCACACGTGATAGAAAAATTGTAAGTACGCTGTTACTTACACCTCACCCTCTATTCTTGTTGATCTACGGGCGTCAGAGAATCGGGAAAAGACAAAAGTAGCATGTAAGACCTTATTGACGTTCAGCTTCCTTACGAAAACACACTTCAGTTTGTATAACTGGGTAAACAGCATGATAATTAATATCCAAGGAAAATTTTTTTTGTGTAGCCTACAATCACCAAAGTCCATCAACCCGATCTTCCATTACAGATAATAAATTGGATAAGAAAGAGAATTGAGCTAAAAAGTATATTGGCAAACCTACTTAAACGTAAATATTAAAGGAGTAGTGTAAAAGAATTATATTGCAGATCAATCTCAGAGTTTTCCAGTTCATTAGATAAAAAGCGTACATTTTAAAAAATTGATCGTCTACAATATATACAGTATATATATATATATTAAGTTTATTTATATTTTGTTTATAAATACAAAAAACCCCTACGCACGTCGCTATTGATTACAATTTCCTTATAATTGTTATATTAAGCTTTCTGCATAAGATTGATACGATAAAAAGAGAAAGGCGTAAAAAGACTGAAAACGAGAAAATAATGAATTTTGCATCAAGTTGCTTAGGACCTGTATTCTTATTATACAAAAGCACATTTGTATTGCCGTCGAAATTGAAGTTTGACCCTCTATTCACGCTAACAACTACAATATATTAAAATTTTTATATAAGATATATACAATTATATATAGTATATATATAGTTAAATATTTTCTGAAGGACAATATAGGAGACTCTAGATGACGCTTCTGAGTTAAAAAAAGATCCACCACTGGCATATTATCGTTCTGACATGCTCCTTTTAAAGCTTCACAAAATTGAGCAAAGCGTATAATTAGGAGCCATTCTTTTAATAATGCGAATATTGATAGAATTATAAAAATCGAAAGTATGTCCAATTAATAGGAATTCGTGATGGAGATCTTTTTTTCTCTTCATCTAAGTAAACAGAACTTATAATTAGCATCTCTGGCTTGGTTTTTTTTCTCTTAAATAATGTCTAAAGCCTTATGTTGTTGAAATAAAACTAGTCATCAGTTTTAGTATATTCTATGGGAAAAATTAGATGAGTTACTATTCTCTGAAACTTCCTTTCTATTATGTTTTTTGAAATCAATCCCTTTCATGTTCCCTTCAATTTTATTTACTGTTCCCTTCAAAATCTTTCTCTCTACAGAATACTCTGTCTCTCTCACTCTATATCTCCCGCCGTCTCGCTTCTTTAATATTTTTTCAATGCAGTTTTTCAGCTAGAATACTTTGTCTTGTTATTCTGTTTTCTTAGTTTAGTTTGTCAATTAATCCAATAAGTTTGATTTGAGTCATGTAATAAAAGTAGTACTCTAAATATGCAAAAAAAATATGCTGTCATATTTTTAGCTCTGGAATTTTCTGTCTCGTGTGTAACAGCTTACATTTGAAGTAGCTTTTAAGTATTAATCAATTTTTTGGTTAAAAAATTAAACTTCAACTACTAACTCTATAAATAAACTGTAAGTAACTTATTAAAAGTAAGAAACACTTATTTATGTATACACCTATATGTGAGTGAGGGAGTGTTTGCGTGTTTGTATATGTATGTACAGTGTATATACTGTATATATACGTGTGTATTTAAAACGTAACTTAGTTAATTTTTAGAAAACACGTCCAAAACAGATCTATCTACAAAACTCTTTTAACCATTCGAAGATAGAGTACAATCATTTTCACTAGGCTTTTATAGTTTAGAAGTGGATTCACACCCCAAATAAGATCTACTTTCCATTACATTTAAGTTTTATATCGTGTATTTATAGCTGAATATAGTAGTTTCGATTAAGTAATATTTACAATGTTTATGAGTACAAATCCATAAAACAATAATATGTCACTTTCTTAAAAGCTACTCTTTATTAATCTTATCCACTTTTAGATTTATTTTTCCCTTTCATGACCCGCAATTACCTTCAATCAAGGAAAATATTATAGTTTCCAGCGCTCATACTATTGCTTTTCTTAACATCTGCATATATGTAATACGTAAATTATTGAATACAATCTATAGAGTCTAAACAAAGGCAAAATTACTAATATTTGAAAACATCGTCATAAAATATTAGTTTATTAATATGAAAAAAATGCAAGCGAATAAGTACATTATTTGATATAAGTCTACTGATATAAGTCTTCTGACCGTTAGCTACACGTGAAAATCATTAGTAATAAGATACAAATGTCAGGTGAATGACGTAGTGGATTGTATAGAATATTTACTCCTTGAGGGTACTTGATGGAACATTTTGTTTTCTACTTGGTTAAATATAATAATTGAAAGAACAACACTGAAAACACTAGCGTATCTTGTGCTTTAAAATAATCAACCAGCTCAGTAGAAGATTAATAGCATCAAAGGCGAATAAGTCTAAAGGTACCCTTTCGGGTAAAATAAGATACAAAATTACAAGCTATTAAAAAGACGTATACAAGTGATGTCCAAATCTGTAGGATTGGTATTTTGTTTTACTTTCGTATTACATAATGAAATGTTTAAGTACTTTTTTTGTGTTTTTCTATTAAGTGTCCCTTTGACAAATCGCCTCTCTTAGTGACCTTTCTAGTTCTAATTCATTCTCTTCCCATAAAGGAAAAAATTTAATTTTAGGGAAAAAGTATTTAATCCATTTTATTTGGCGAATATCCAACAATCGGATAGTACGATAACCCATTATTCATCAATTTCAAATGCATATATGGTGAGTCTTTCTTGATAAACTAACGCAATGAAAAAAAAAAGGAGAGTAATTCTATACCACTAAACTGGAAAATAAAACTTGATCCGTAGAGATTAGGTTAGAAGATTATGACGTCAGTTTTCTTTGACACTAACAAAATCAACTTTAAGGTTGGCAATTATGGCAAATTATTAAGATTTTTTTTTATATTCCTTTCATTAAACTGTTATTCTCTCTCTCTCTGCATCGTAATTGTTAATAGTATATACAATATATAGTACATTATCAAGTATATACTCTGTAGTTTAGGATATTTGTCATATAGTAACCGAAATCAATTAGCATTTAAATTAATTGGTGTTCAGTTAACGATTTTTCTTGTAATTGAGTGTAATTAAATGCACAGTTTGAGTTGTCAAGTGTCTAAACCAAATTAGGTTATCTGGGTTAATTTGAAAAATGTCATCTCTAATTTAACTTGCTCTAGAACAGAATACGTAAATTTAGGAATATATAAGACTTTTTATTCAATATTGGATGATAACATTTTGATAAAATATACATAATTGTAATTATAAATACAATTTTAAACTGGAAAAAGTCTATTATTATAGACGGAGAATTCCATTTCCCTTTCTATACCTTACTATTAATTAAGTTCAAATATTAATAAATACATTTAATATAGAGTCTATATATATAAATTTATATATATATGCTGTATACACTATATACAGTTTATATATATAAAATAAGATAACTCTGCAGGAGATTTGCGACGAGTCGACAGAAAAAATAGAATAAAAAATGCTTTATAAATAATTAATTATATAAGGAAGATAAATACAAAATTAAAATCGAAGAGATCTAGAACATTCCTGTGAAATTAATAAAACCCTTTTAAGACCTGCGAATTATTTTCGATAGAACTAAAATATTTATTAAAAGCTGTTTTCATTGTTCTTTATTCGTATTCAATTTATTCATATTGCTTGTAAGTTTTATTAAATTATTTACTATAATTAAACATTTTTAAATCTACGTACTCGACTAACAGTAAAAATTGACAAACTGTCATTTAGCGCCATCTTTGACAGCAAGTTTGAAGATATTTTTTTATGTAGAATAGTGAAGTCTTTGAAGCTAGCTTCCCTATAGCGTTGGTTCCCATTACAATTTTTTAAAGCCCTTTAAAATCAAATACTTTATACCATATTATTAAAGATGACATTTATACATTTTTTTATATCCGATAGATGGCAATTGTATAGTGAACAACAGGAAACATTATGCCCGCACTAAATCTTACCTATAATCATTGGCTTATAAAAATTCAGTTTAAGGCAAATATTTTGAAAAATTTCTTCATTAAAAGACTTTCGTACTATTTTATGGATTATTTTCGTAGAATATCATTAATACTATTGAATTCTATTTCGCAGAATTCATACATATTTCGAACTATTACTCTAAACAACTTATATTTCTGGGGTCACATTGGCTAATGAATATTCAAAACTATTGTTTTGTTCATTTCTCCTCTATTAATCATTTTGTACCTGTTGATTACACTCTCTGTTCTTTCTGTCTTACATTCTATTGTGTAAAGCAGAAAAATTATACCTCATAGTCACATTTTATTAATAATACTTTACTACTAAACGATGATTCATCATCAGTGTGACCTGATCTATATGTTCTATAATAAATTACTATTCCAACTGTAGAGTAAAATTTTCTGGTACTGATAAAAAAAGAACTTTGGCAACAAAGACACGTAACGCTATACTATGTAACATATAATTAATATATTTGTACCAATATTGTTGTTAATATTCAAATATATACTTTTTAAAAGTTTATAAGACAATGAATATTTATTCTGTTATTTATGCAAAATAACTCAAAGCATATAATAATTACTTTATAATTTTGTCGCGTTCGTCAATACTAAGTATGATATCAGATATGACTGTTGATTAAAATATAGATTTCTGAGGAAAGAGATAGAGAATGACGGGTATAAAAGAACGAAAGGGTGTGAGGAAAACAAATATTAAATATTTAGCATTATGGGCAATAAGCAAATATGCTGTTGCCCACTCCTAGAAATTTTTGTCTCCCCCATAAGTAAATAGAATGTTTTATATAGGGAATAAGTTAACCTTTAATTTACACAGAATTTACCTACAACTAAGCCTGGTTTTTTCTTATCAAGTGGAAGCTAGCAACGTACATTTTAGATGATGTTTTAAACGTATCATTTATTTTTTATCAATTTTTATCAACTAAAAGAGACCAGGTATTGTACAGGCGTCGACTGATTAGTAAAGAGATTGATTCAAATCTTCTAGTTGAAGTAAAATTCTTTATGAATAAACTTAAACTGTCTGTGTTCCAAATACAAATAATTTTTTTACATATAACAATCAGATATCTGCGTAAAGGTTCTTTTAAAACGGCACATATGTCCCATTTCTATTTCACTCTGTTATAATGTTCCAGAACTATTAAAAATGGACTGCAAAATTTAAGAATTTATATAAACGCTTAGCTTTTATATATTATAGTTCAGGATTAAGAAATATTGATTGTTTTCTTTTTCGTTGAATAATCAATTTCTGAACGGGCATATTCATAACTATCCCATAAAAGAAGAATAATAGTATGATATTAAAATAGTAATATCTCTTCTCATTTTTAAAAATTCATAATGTAAAAACGAAATTCTGTTATATATTTGAAAAGAGAAAAAGATGAAAAAATAAAAAATAATAATAGATATATAAAATATAAAATAACTAAACTTATCCATAGTTGTAATCTTAAAATATTCAATAATCGCTGAAGAGGGGCGATTTGATTTCTATTCTGAATTTCTTAGTCATTTTAATCATTTCGTTGTAAAATTTGTTATTCTATTATGATGACTTATCTGGCACTTTCTTAGGAAAATTCCACGGTAGCCAACACTTCCATTTGTATGGGAACGGAATTTTATAGCTAAGTGGGTATCGTACTTTTATCACATCTATAGGTTCTTTGGGCACTTTAACAAGTTTATTCATCATTTTCACTGTCTGAACAGGAAGAACAAGATCTGCCGGGAGGCTTCCTGCTCCCATCTTTTTGCTGTATTTTAGAAGTTTATCCTTCTCGTGTTTTTCTTTACCATCTATTCTCGTTAGAGATCTAATTTCACTTCCATTCGCACTTTCTGTCGTAGAAATCTTCCAACGGAACATATCAACATGTACAACATCTCCATTCTCGCTAGTATAAAATATTTTCGTACAATTCTCTGCTAACGTCATGTGATGTGCTTGTAAGATTTTTTTAAAGTCCCGACAAAATTTTGCTTCCTTTGTGCCATTTAACATCATCCGACCAACATCTGCATCTGAATCATATCGAAGAATACTACCAGATCTAATATAACCTAGCAATGTTCCATAATCTAACCAAAATGTTTGATTATGTTGTATTAAGAGACCTGCAACTGTAAATACGGCATGAACAACAGCCTGATACTTTTGGGCACTTAAGAAGCACTCGTCATTATAGTATTCCGTTGCTAGGGGGAAGAAGATAAAGTGAAGAAAACACAGAAGGGCAAGAACTCCAATTGAGATTTTTTTTACTTTATTCAATGTACAACAGCAAGCTGTTGTTTCTTCTTTTTGACCATTTCCTGAAATATAATTAAGTACTATAGTCATACTGTATAGTCAGTCTTAAAGCTTTTTTAACGTACAATCTATGTATAAAAACAATATTATTTTTAAATAAAACGAGACAAACTGGTAGAGAGAGAGAGGGAAAAAAAAACAAAAAATAGATACACACTTTTTATTCTAAATGTTCTAAAAAAGAAATTCTTTAAAATGTTGCTCAAAAATTGTAAAAGATTTGCAGAACGAAAAATTAGCCAAGGCATTATTTGAAAAAGTTAAATATAGTAAATAAAACTGATTTTATTCTATATATATACATATATTAGTAATGAGGAAACACATATTTTTTATTCTATTTTTAACTACTAAAATAATCTCTTAACGTTCCTCACAAAAATTATACAAATGTCTAAAGAGTAGAGAAAAAAATCAATATGATATTACTGAATACATACCGTAATTAGAACAGAATAACCGATTGATTTGCATTTTTTAATAAGTAAAATTTAAGCTCACTAAAAGAAATTAAAATACTGTTTCAAGATTCACTAAGCTTTTCTTATAAAATGATATAAAACTCTTTCAGTTGGCACCTGTACACTATACTGCACTGTGTATTTTTAATGCACCTCAGGTAAAAAATCGACAATACGGTTTGACAACTCCATCTAGCGTATTAATACGAAAGTTAGAATGTTTATTCCTCTAATTCGATATTGTTTTTTTTTTCGTGTAAAATGAAAAAAAAAGAGTTTAATAAATAATAAATAAGGTAATCTTTCAAACATATCTAAATAAAAACAAACAAACAAACAAACGATATAAAGTTTCTCTTGTTTCTTTTACTAGAGTAGTAACTTGTGTATAAAATTAATTCACTCAAATCATTTAATTTTATACGAAAAAGACTATAGATGTAAAGCACACACTCGTCCCGCATATCGCGTACCCTTTTGAAACTAGACAATTCGTTTTATTTACACATTTGTATATAAATATATAAATGTAGAGTATACAACTACGCAATATACATGTATATATTTTGTATATACATTTATATATTTTCTGGTATATTTACTATATTGTTAACTATCTATTTCTAATAATGTAACGATGTAATAACGTGAGAAGAAAAGTCGTGAACATCATTGCTGACTTTGCCACATAGATTACACTGCCACGGGTTGTTTACATTATGTAGACCCATATGAAGTTGGTAAAGTGTACGATCTATAAACACGACCTTACAAAATTTACACATGGTTACATTCTTGGAATTTGACAACAGAAATTCTAAAACATCTTCCTCTTCATCCTTTCTTTCTACTGATTCCACGTTTGATTCAGAGTTCGTGCTAATCGGTGTTTCTGTACCAGAGAAAGCTGATCGAGGGGTAGGAGCGGATTTCCGTTTCCTCTTTCGAGGTTCCTCGTTCTTTTCTTTCATTTTATGCTCGTCAGATTCTTCGTGAACTTTGAGAGCGAATTTTGTAGATAGATCCAGGTCGCATACATCACATCGAATTGGAGATTTATTAACATTCAGATGAAAAGACCTAACATGCTCGAAAAGAGCCAAGTTACTGTCGAATTCGTCTGAGCAAGTTTGACACCTTAGGTGAATCTCCGATCTGAGAAAGGTCGGAGATACCGATCTAGAATTTCTTATTTTTTTTCTCTCCTCTTCCATTGGAAAGGATATTCTTCTTTTCAATCCAATGTGTTCCGTTTTATCTACCATTCCGCCATCTTTTGGGTGTTTTAGCATTACATGCATAGCCAGACTATCAATAGAAGAAAAGGACACTGTTTTACAATGAGGACAAACGTGGTTTTGTTTCTCATCAGCCTGTATTTTAGCTAGCATCTGAAGTGCTAAAGTATCGGAAAGCGTCGCGTTGGATGTAGGAAGAGGGAGATTTAAGTTCAACTGTCCAATAGGAAGAGGTTTAGCAGCCGATATAAGTTGTTCAATGAAATTTGGTGGAGCAGATGAACTCTTACAAGTTTCATTTTGGGCCCTCACCATCATATGCATTGCGTAAGAGTCGCGAGTAGCGAAGACTGCGTGGCAATCGCAGCAAACGAAGATGCTCTGCATTTTCACCTGTTTCAATTATTTTTTCTTTATAACAATAAATATTTAGATTAATTGATGAATCAATAGCAGTTCGTTCCAAAGTAATCTTAATTATTTAAACATTTGTTTTTTTTAAAAGAAAACCTTTGATAGATTCTTATTTGGCATCTTTTGTACAATTTTATGAGAATTTTACAGAAAGGGAAAATCAATTCATAAGTGATAAATAATTAGTAATGTAAGTCATGACAACGTCTAAAATTTGAAAGAATAAAAGTGAAATAATAAAGTTCTTATTAATGACCTAAACAGAAACTCTCTATAATGTATAGATAAAAAAAGAAATCAAAATTTTTACCTTCATTTCCCGATGTCGGGAGGAGGACAGATGAGCAGTTAATGCTTTTACATTGCTGAATTCTAAAGCGCACAACTTGCAAGCAAAGTGCGCCGACTCTTTTTCAACGTGACTTGCCCAATGACTGGCAATGGTGGCGTCGGCAGTAAATTTTTGAAGACAAACAGGGCATATAAAACCCTGTTTACTATCAACGAGATGTCTAGCCAATGGATTTAGCTGATCGTGTTGACTAGCCATATGAGCTGCCATACTCCTTGCTCCGGCAACATTTCCAAAATCACATGCGTAGCATACGGTTGAAGTATTAAAATGGCACAACTTATGTAAATGAAGCAGTTGCCTGAGTAAACATGGATGAATGAAAATATAGATCACTTATTGAAGAAAAAGAATAAGCTATCATTTTCATCAATTTGAGGTGGAGTTTGTAATGGAAAGTAATATTAGATAAACTTTTTGATTTACAATTATAGACTTTACACTTAACCACATGCAATAATATCTTACACACTATATTTAACGCTTTATAACATATATGTATATATATATATATATTTCTTAAGTATCTTTATGGATATGTCCACTTTGTATATGTAATACGTATGTATTGGTTAAGTTGTATACATACATATACATTTTCAGATACATTTTCATCTATGTAGTCTTAATGAATAAAAGAACTTTTAATATTTCATTATGTCCAAAAATTGTCCCTTCAGCTAAATTTTTAAATATACTAAATCGTAAATAAAAGATGTCTATATAAACAATAACTATAATTTTTTTTGATTATTAATATTCAGAATTAAAGTATATATATTGTACATATCCCATACATATATATATATATATAAATTTATATATATATCAATTTATATATATATATATGCATATACAGTATAAATATACGTACTTATTTGTGAAAATAAAGTTATATGCAGTATATACGTCCTGCATACATGAATATATTCACAAAGAAATACACACAACTTGTATCCTCTAGGCATATTTATAAATACATGTATTTATAAATATATACATATATATATATATATATAAATATATATATATATATATATATATATACTGTATATATGCATATTTATTTATTATTTTAAGCCTATAAGTCTACTAGAAATGGAGCATGTCACTTTTTGCATCCGTTAAACTAAAATGAAGAATAGTAAAGATTATAAGCGATCCATATTTTTCATTCATTCATGCCTGGAAGCTAGTTCAGCGTGACACACTTCGCAAATAAACTTGAGATCCGGACTTGTACACTTAGCACGTGCGTAGACTAAGGATGGTATCTTATGTCGTCCTCTCATTGAAGAATAGATAACTTGTTGGTTTGGCCAAATTTCTTCGCGGGGTTCCTGCTTGATTCTGATTTCGTCCATGACTCGTTTGCGAATGAGGCTGCGGCGGCGGTTGGGAGCTTATTAATTATTCAGGGCCGGATTTGAATTGTTGATGAGGGTGAGGGTTGCGCAATAATCCTTGTTTTCTCACAATTTTTCTCAAGCAGAACCGATACTTTAAGTAAGTAAAGTACATAATTTTAATAAGCAAAAAAGAATTTTGAAATTTTAAAGGCAAGTTTCTCTTCTAAAACGTTTTTTTTTTGTTATCATTAATTTTTCACATTGTGTAAGCTCTGAGGAGATAATTTATTAGGAATTATGTAATCGACCGGATAATTTTGCTGTAAAAGTTACATAAGCTGTAAATAGGGTCTTGCATTTGATTATATGTATTGGTTTGTTCATTGTGCACTGAACAAGGAATACTATAAGTAATACGATATTCGTATAGTTTACCTAGATCTAATCAGAAGATATCATTAATTGATTTAATGTCTTGGTACATATTTTATACATAAATATACATTTTTAGTATAATTACGACTTATAAGAAATAAAACAATTACCTATAGATATAATAAATTTATACAACATTTATAGATTATGCGTAGATGACCAAGCATATACTTTTTTATTCATAAAAGTAATTAAGGAATAAATGATCTGCCTCTTTCTAAACGATTCATATTTAAATAAAGTATATAATATATGGATCCAAGATATTCATATATATATATATATACTGTATTTAGGCGGAAATATACATATATACTTTATTTACATATATCTATATATACTAATATAATAATATATATATATATACACGTTTATATTAATAAATAATAATAAATATGCATAAAAAATAGCAATATATAGTATATTGTTGCATAAACTATACATACTGTACATATTCATGACACATATGATAAAAAACTGTACGATATACTTTCCATATCCTATATATATTATACAGCATAATTTGTTATGTATATAGACCATCCAATAGCTCTCTTTGAAACTGACTACAATTAGTTTTAGATATTGATATAGGAAAATTGTTATTCAATATATTGAAATAGTTGTACTACATAGAAAAGTATCGTTATGAATCTAAATATACACTTTATACATATCTGATATAATGTATACGGCTAGCATTATGTATGTTTGACTATTTCTATGTACATAGATAATTTATAATTAAAAAACTATGATCCCTACTAAATTTAATAAAGTACAAAAAGATTAAAAGTGAATGAAAATATTAAAGCAAGAAGGGATTTAATCTATTGAATTAATATATTAAGTATTATTCACAGTCGATAATTTAGCACAATTCCTTAACTGTCGGTTAAATTATAAACAACTGTTCCATATAGAGGCAATTATCGTTGTCTGAATATTCTGAATACTATGTAATGCTGTTGAAAAATAAATTAAATTGCTTGCGGCTTTATTTATTATGTATAAGGAGCGAATTTTTAATGTCATGTGACATTTATTTAATATCAAATGTAAGTCGTGTTCTCTTGAATGTTTAATTAAATGTTTTGTCTAAATTTTTGTATTGATGAATCTTATGGGAGACTTGGGTGTATTAAATCAATTTTTTTCCAAACTAATATTATAATGGTACCTTTGTGAATAATTTATTAATAATTGTGCAAACGTTTCTATTTTTTTTTGCATTCTTTTGAAACCACGATTAGAAATTTTATGCTGACGCCAACAAATAAAGAATTCTATTAAATTACTTTAAATAGTAAAATGTTAAATATATACAGTAACAAACATTGGAAATCTATCATAGTCTCCGAGTTATAACGGCCTAGAGGAACTGAACTTCTAGTAAATTGTTAAAGGAATTAAAAATTAAAATGTAAAGAAACTTTTATAGAAACAGGAAAATAGATAAAATATTAAAAGAACCAAAGAAAATAAAGAAGAAAACGATGACAAACTAGAAAATAGAGCTTTTAATAAGTTTGAAATATTATTACAGTAATAAAAAACTTTTAACTTATTAAAAATCTATAAAACAATAATTTAGCATAAATTGATAAGAATTTATATATTTTGTATGAAACATACCTTCGTTCTATATTTTTAAATTTCATTTATTCAATATCATATTAAATAGATAACAGATTAGCTTATTCTAAGAATAATTAATGGCTTATAACCTATTTTTTTATGCAACAATAATTTTTTACTACATGCTTTAAATGTCTTATTAACAAACAGTTCGAATATTCAATGGAGGATACTTTAAATATGGAAAAATTGTTTGTACTAATTCATTTACGCTAATTCATCGAATAAAGAGTAATTTCTCTCAATACAATCACTTACATAGCTTTGGACAATTTTGCATACAAAATTATTCATGTGCATGCCTTGTTTGTATTGGGATTATTAATTTCCTATGCGAATTTTCCATACTTTGAGTTTGAACGATTTTTATTGAATACTGGAGACGAGATCTCAATAAAAAGTACTATAAGACATTTTATTCATAATTTTAAAAGAAATTACAAGAGTAAAAAAAGATAGCGAGATATAAATAGGGGGGATTGGAAGAGGCCGATAAGGAGTTACATAAGGAATCAAGTCAATTAATTATCATGAAAGATTAGTAAAGTTCATTTATACATACATACAGTCTATATAAGATAAAGAAATAGAGATGAATATATCAATATATATATATATATAAATTTATATAGATATAGAGAGACAGAGGGACAGAAAGAGGGACAGGCAGACAAACAGACGGAAAAGTATAGGAAGACGAATGAAAAGGAAAACATTAAAAGTAAAAAAAAAATTGAATAAATTAAAAATAGTAATATTAAAAAAGCAAAAGAAATAAATACTTACAAAAAATCACTTAACTGTAGCAATGAAAGCTGTGACAGACGAATAGCATGCATGCGTAATTAAAGAGCTGGTGCAGAGCCGGCGCCAATATACGCGAGTGATGAATTCTTTATAAAACGCTCATAAAATATTGATGAATGTAGATTATTTAAGCTATTCGCTGCACGCCCTTCTTAATTTCCCACTAAGAACGATTTCTATTATTCTCTCTACTTTGCTTTGTACATTTCGCTATCTTCTCTGTTTAGGAAAATTCCTAATAGAAGAAAAAATCTTATATGAATCGATAGTTTATAATTATTTTATGACTTTATAGCATATTTCAAAAATTTGATATTTTAAAAAGCTACATAAATTATTCAAGTTCAAGTGTTCAATATTTCGATGACTATTACTGTATTTTGATTATTGAACGCAGAAAAGTACTTTTTATTATCAAAGTTTATAATTAAAGTAGCAGAAATTTGTATTTAGATATTGTCTTTGTTATTTTTATGCAGCTTTAATTAACATCAAAGAACCGTCCGAAAAATGGCCTCAGGCAATATAAATTATAGATAGGAATACTTTTCGAGTATACGTTGTCAGAAATTGGATAACCTAAGAACATTCATTATTCATGGAAAATGCATTTATTATGCATAGAGCCAAATAGAAGTTGGGGCTTGTTGTGTACACAATACGTATTTTGCTGGAGCGAGGGTGTTTTTATGCGCGACTGACGTTTTCTTGAATTTTTCATTTTCAAGAAAAATTAATATAATCCATTCTATAGTAGCTTTAAACGATCTGTCGTTTGTCTCTGTAAACTAATCATGCAACTAAAAACTTTTCCTTCTTTTCAACTCATAATATATTTATATTTTTGAGAAAAAATCATTTACAACAGCATATTTGATTAGTTAAAACGTCAAGATTCAATTTCTATATATTCCTATTGTTTTGCAAAAGTATCCTTTCAATTTATCTTAATTTCTTCAAGCTTGTAATCTTTTGTTTATTGAATGATAAATAAAAACCAATATGTATATTCATTTAAGTGGCGAACGTTTATAGTATCTGTATTCAAGACCTCTCTACTCAATCGAATATGTATATGGGTGTATATATTACATTAATATGCACTTTTATAGACATAGCTCTATTTCTTTGTTGTCTTTACTGTATATGTAGTATGTTCTGTCATGGTTAATTAAAAATATATACTATATACGTAAGCTACATGTGTATTTAGTACTTCACCCGTTTCCTCCCTCCTTAATCTTGATTGTTAATATATCGGGTCCATTGTTTATTAGTATTATTGCGTAATAGGGCAAGTATTAATGGGGAGTAGGTGCAAATTAATCAATTAGTCATAGTAATATCAAGGAGGGTTTGATCGAATTAGAAGAATTTACATTCGACGATTTCAATAGAGAGATAAATGGAAATTTTTTCTTTTTAGGAATCTGCCCTCAGTGCAAAGACTATATGAAAAGCTTTTAAAACGTCTATAAGGCATAGTATTGAGATGATTTGTAAAAAAGTCAACATATGATATTAAATTTATATAACACCGGAAATTGATCAAGAATACATGTATTGATGAGGTGTTTAACATATGTAGCTTCCTCTTTATTTTCTCATTTAATGATATAATAGCTCTCTTTTAATTCTAAGGGAAAAGCGTGAGTATCGAGTAGTTAAGTTTAATATTGAAAAAAAGTTGCTTTTCTCCTTTAGAAGGAAATGAATAGAATTTATATATTTGCTCCTTTAATTTGTTAATTTCTTTGCCTTCATAATAATTTAATGATATCCTGATCAAATTTTTAATTCATTCCAAAGTTTTTAAGAAGATAATAGATGGCGCCAAAGTTAATATATATATATATATATATTTATATAATTATCCTTAAATCGAGGGAAATTAACGCTTATTCCACCAGTTTTTTTCTGCAGAAATATAAATAAAACGTATGATTTGAATCGCTACACTTAAAGAATATATTTTATAATTTATATAAAGGAATATTTTTAAAAAATATGTTATTAATATTTTAATATATTACCTCTGAAATACTATTAACAAGTGTTCATTAACTCTTTCGTGGAACGATCACGTCAACGTGAGTCTTTATTATTCATCCGACGAAGATAAAAGAAACATAGGATAGGAGATGATAAAAGTTAATATTTCTTTTCTTTTTTTGTTCCCCTATTAGTTTTTTAGCGGGAAATATAAATGAGAAATCACTTTCTTTATTTTTAGCATTTCTATAATGACATATTAACAAAATGGAGGCGGAAAATCATTTATTTAGCTCTTAATACTGAATAAATGTTTATATAGATATACATATATGTATATATACTAATATATATATATATTGATAATCATATTAAATGTTTTCCAAAGCTTTTTATCTTGTCCCTCAAAAAACCAACCAAATAATAATACTTTATTTCATTTAATTGTTTCCTAAACTCCTCTAAAGCTAATTTGGGAATTCGGGACGTTGTCGTATTGTTCCTTTGAGAAAAGAATTTGATACTCAAGATGGCAGCACCATTTGTCCGAATCTCTCACAGTTTGAATTGCAATGTATTGATTGATAAAAGTTAGTTGAGATTATAAAACAAAAGTAGATAATTTTTAACTAAAAGCTAGAGGTATCACGTCTATTTTTACTTAACTACGATATTTTTTCATATGACCATTTTGTACTGTTTTCGTAAATTTCGATTAATTATTGTTCCGTAAGCCTAAGGAGTAGTCTCTTTGACGACAGTCACGTGACGTCATTGACAACCGTCAATCGCAATCGGAAAAGAACGTTCTGGTGCGTTAAGCGTTGGTTTTTCAAGCAAGAAAAAATCTTTTAGGTTAATCGACTTTTTGAAATTAGCCTCAAAATTTAGTTTTTCTCACTATTACTAAAATTGTTTGAAAATCAGAGTGTTTGTAAATATTTTATATTGGAATAGTTGCCGTCAAAAGCAGTAATAATATTAGCACAGGTAAGATTAAAGTTAGTAATATTTTTTAGTATTATCATACTGCTTTAATTATATCTATTCTTATTGTTATGTCTCTAAGTATTCGAGCTTTTTCTCTCTCTCTTTAATTTGTAATACTTTGTTTATAGTTAAAAAAAGGATGTTTGCACTTTTATACTTTTCTAAAATGAGAGCATATTTAAAAATCAATTAACATATCATGCCTTCGATAATCCCCTTGTAAAAGTGTTTTTTAAAGTATAGTATTCACGAAACTTGAACTATCAGCCTAGGTTCTCTACATTCCCTTACAATCGAACAGATTTACTCAGTACCGATCAGCTGAATAGCTTGTGTTTGCACAGAAAATAAACAACTTTAATAGTATTGTTCGTGTTTGTCTTCTTGCAGTAGAAGCCGTCAAAAATTTGCATTGTTTTATTGAAAATACTCAAAATTAATGGATAGTATTATCTGTTTTCTTTACAATGATAAGAAATTTTTACCGCATACGAGCTGAATTTATCGCTACTTAATCATTGAAATACTTACTTATAATTGAGATAATTCAACAAAGATATTTGAATTTTTCGATAATCAATTATTCCATATGAGGTCTACAAAGTACAGTCCATTGAGGAATATTTAATAAGATATACTTATTAAAAAAACAACGTTATTACCCTATAGAAACGACTGGAGGAACGGGAGGGTAAGTGTGTATTAAAAGGGCTGGTGAAAGGCGATATGAGTCCTTGTAGAAGAAAAGGTCTGCTAGAAAAGAAAACAACTTATGCATATTTATTGAAAACCATTTTTGTATAATCATTCATTAATTATAATTAAAATAATTAAGTCTTTTTATTAGTAATAGTATAAACCATTCTTACAAACAACACGTTATTTGTGAATAGGTGGGTCATATGAAAAATTTTATTAATCAATTATTTCGCAGGCACTTGAATAAAATACAATATCGGCGTTCAATAATCTATTGTATAGAATAATTAAGGTTTTTGACATGTAATTTCGAGCGGTTAAAAAGACTGGGAACTCTTTATCGATTTCATCATTAGCATTGTTTCCAGTTTACATTCCCTTTTCATAAATTCCTAATAAAGAAGTTGACTTTTTACTCTTTAGTTAGTATTTATTATTTAAAAGAAAAGAGAATATCTACTTATTTCTTATCGGTTTATTCCGTAACAACGACAGTTTTATAATTCGAACTCGGATTACAAAACCACGAAATCTTATACAATATACACAATTTACTGTATGGTTTATGCAATATATATATATATATATATCCTTTGTGTATTTATTTTCCTCCAGGACAATCATGGCGTCAAGTGCCCTTCCAAAACTAGCGCCAGCAACAAAAACCTCCGCACATCTCTATGAAACTTATCCTAGGCCACTGAAAACTGCTCCTGAGATCCAATTGCCAAGAGTAAATCCATTAAGACCAATGCCACCTTTAAGGAGGACTGTAGCCCTTGAAACAATGATTCCTCATTATCATAATGAGCAAAGAGCAAAATTAATGCAAAGAAGAGAACATCATCGATATCACAATGCGTGGGGGAGATATTATTACGGTTCAAATGCTGATAAGGAGTCTTATAGGTCGTATGTGAGGAATGTTCTTAAACAGCAAATGGCCGATAAAGAAAGAAACGTAAAAGAAGGTTTAAACTCAAAAATTGAAGAATCTGAAAATGCTGTTAAATACGATCGACAATGTTTAACTGATGATGCCAGAGATGCTTACAGAAAATTTGTCTATTTAAAAGGCTTTACGGCCGAAAATAAAAAGGTACTTATCTACTTTAGAAAGAAAAAGAACATTTTGATAATTCAATATAAAATACTATTAATTTATTAGATGATGGAAGATAGCTGGAGCGATAGACGAAGAATTAAAAGTCTCGAAAACGAACACGATAGAGAGTTATTAAAATATAATCCAATTAACTGGAGCTGTACGCTTAAATAATTGGATGCATGATATTTTTATATATTGACGAATAATCATCGGAGATGAAGAAACAATGAATGACAAAAAAAGGATGCTATACAATAGAAGAACTCAACAAAATTTATATATATATATAAAAAAAACACTAAACTACAAAAGTAAACAAGATAAAAACCGTAGTCCTTGTATTCTTCCTCTGCTGTATATTTCAGTATTATGTTCGAGTGCCAACGAAGCGAAAAAAAAATACTTTCTTTCCTAAAATATATAAGAAAGATCTTTTTTTCATTTTTGTATTATTAATTCAACTATATTAACTTTACAAGTATTATTTTAGATATTAAATAGTCTCTATACAATGTATACTATAATATAAAGCAGTATTATTAATATAAAAAGATATATCCAATAGATGGCAGTTAAATGAATATCAACTTAATAATTATGTAAAAACTATGAATAAGATACTTTAAGAGGATGAACAAATGGGTATCTATTATTTGTATATTTAATTAAAGAGAGTATAACTATACTGTATAGCAATAACGATAATAAATAATTGTTAAAATAATGAAAGAACACGATTACTTCTTTGTATTTCTTAGACGATTACAAACAAGAAGTAACCCCCATTACCTTTTCATTATATTTAAATTATAGGCCAAAATAATTATTCTATATAAATAACAATAAATATTTTATTATTTACAATCTTAAAAATAGTAAAATATACTTTTGAATCGGTTATAGAAAAATTGCATTAGTTAATAAAAAATAGATAGAAATAAGGGAATGGATGCTAAATAAAACTTATTTTACTTTTTCTTTTATTTGGGTCTATTTTTTTTTTTAAAAAAAATTGATTTAAAGATACTAAAACTTATATATTTTCGATTTGCTTTATTTAGTGGCTTTTTTAGTTTGGTTTTTTGGTTTTAGTATACTATTGGATTTGATTTCCATGATTAAAATATTTGAGGGTCTACTGTATAAACAGGCTAAAACTACTCTTTACACTTCCCCTCTCTCTCTCTCTCTCTCTCACTTTTATTTTCCATTAAAGCATCCAAAAGTGCCATCTGGTTGGCGGTTTTTATCAATTTCTTTTATTTCTAGTAATATTAATCGATATGTATGATAATTTTTTTATTGCGATAGATATTAGAAGGTGAAAGAAGAGAAAAAATTACATTAATAATCTATTAAAGATTCAAATTAAAAGTTTTATCTGTTCAAACTTGTTCATTTTCAGGCCAAAAGTGAAATAGGTCTAAGTAGGCCTTTGTACAAAGTTTAAATCTCTTATCTACAGTTGAATCCGTCAGTTGATTTCTGTCCACTTTTAATTGAAATCTTAGAGAGAAGCCATTTTGTTGAAAAAATGCCTTTGGCTGTAGTAAATACGAATGTAGCGAGGAGTGGAATACCTAAGGACTTTATGGAGAAGTTGACAGACTTTACAGTCAAGACTTTGGGCTGTGAGCAAAAGGTAAATTATTTTTAGAGGTATCAAGCGTATTTCATCATTTATTAAATCAATTCACTGTATTTATGTACATAATATTTAAAATCGTCTAGGGAGCTTGTTTAGATTATCTAGCTAAGAATTTCTATTAAGATATAGAATGAAAACCTTTTAAAATGGAATTGTAGATAGTTAATTGAAATTTAAAGCTTAATTAATACACCAGACATGATTATTTTATAAAATTCTTGTGCCAATACTTTTCATCTCGAACAAGCTTTAGATAAGATAATAGAAATTTAGCACTCTCACGCCTATAAACCTATTTAACTAGAAGACTGATGTGAATAATCTCATGATATATTTCATGAAAAATACCTGTTTACCTTTACGAAAATTAAGTATAAATAGTAAAAGCATGCTAAAAGCATTTACTATAAAAAGAAATTGTCAAAAAATTAACAAAACTTGTATAAAATAGATAAAAGGAAAGAGAGAAGAGAGGGAGATGCTTTAGAATTCATCTACCTTTGAATTCATGTAGAAAACTAATTTATTATTATTTATCATTATTCATTCTTTCGTCGAAATATTTGTAATTTATATATAGTTTAAAGAGAGATGTAAGAGAATGCTCTAAATGTCATGAACTTGGGAAATTTTTCTTTAAATTCATTCATATTCTTATCACAAAAATTATCAATTTGAATCCTAATTTTGAACTGATATAATATAGAACACGTTCTTTATAAAGATATACATTCGATATATACCAGTATATATATACAGTTTATACATACTGTATACTGTATATATACATAAATTAATATAAATATACATTATATGCTATGAGTATATGTAGTAACATATATTCTTGTAACATGCGTCATGATAATTTTTTAACCGTAGCTCGAAGAGAATAACATGATTATATGATTGAGGATAAAGAAAGTTAAGAAAATGATCATGACATATTCTCATCAAATAACAAACAAGCATCATAGATCATGTATTATTTAACTCTTCTTAAAACATGTTGATAAGAAATGACAACGTTTACTAATAATGTAATCAGTCTTCTCAATTAGCTCTATATTTTTTTAGTCGGCTCTTTCTTTAGAAACGTCAATCTAATCTTTTAGGATTTCTAAATATTATAATTAATATACAAACTCTTTATAAATAGAAGAAGAATAAAATGTTTTTGTTCTAAAAAAATGAAATAGCTGCTTGACTCTTTAAATATTAATTTAGAAAATATCCTGCGTTAATATATCATTTTTCATTTTAATTATAAAAGAAACTAACAAAGACAGCAGTACCTTAAAAAAAAAAGATAGATTAATGAAAGAAATTTTAATATAATATGGATTATTCGGTTAGAGATATGGATTATCTAAATAGGTTGTCTTCTCTAACATTATCTTTTTTTTTTTTGAATATTCATATACATGTATTTTTACAATGAGTTCAATTGTAGAAAAAATGGATATTGGACTTAAGTAATAGAATTTGTGAAATATATACTGAACATTATACTAAAATATTCATTTAAGAGAAGGAAATTTAAAGATTTATTTATTAATTATGCTAATAGTTCACTATGGTTGAAGTACATCCTGATTGTATGATGATGAGAGGAGGTTCTACAGCGCCAATGGTACATGTTGTTTTCCATCACAACGATGATCAAATAACGGAAGAAACTAAACGTGAGACCGCTGCCAAATTCGCTAGATTTATAACAATGGAATTAAAGGTTGCCATGGATAGGTAAATAATAAGAAATATTTTTTTTCTCAAGTAAATATTTATATGATTTCCTTTTTTTTTATTTACTAAAAATAGAATTTTGGTGCTATTTATTGACACTCGCTGCACTACTCTTCAGCAAACTCATTTGTGAGATGTGTATAAAATAGCAAAACAAAAAAGAAAAAACAATATTAATAATAAAAAGTTCTCTCTTCTCTAAAAGATTTCTAGAAGTGATTGTACATTATGATTCTGCCCTATTTCACCCAAGTAATTAACTAAACATCGATTTATCCATCGAATTTTTTGGACAAATAAATGTTTCAAATTTTATATTGAACGTTCAATATTATTACTTCGAAAAAGTATCTGTGCTTAACAATATCTATTATATTGATATATATATATATATATATATATTTATATATAGTATATAGTTATATATGTTTTAATACATAATAAATATATTCTTGAATATTACTTCAACCTATTGAACTTGTAAACTGGAAACTATTCCATTAAAAAAAATCGAGTCGATTACGGTACCGTATCATCAGAGTGTCCTTCACCTTTGCAGGTGGAGGAAGAAATGATCTGCTAAATATCTTCAATTTGGGAGTTGTACACCTAAGAAAGTATGTTTACTTTTATTTTAATTTAGTTTCTACTGTCTTTAACACTGATGAAGATGTGTAAGTTTTAATATAATTCCCGACTACCATAAACATGATTAATTAGGAATGTTATTCTTATGGTATAAACTTAGTCACGATCTTTAAATAACATGTACGTTCGAATGTATATGTTTATCTACATATTAATGTATTAATACATATTTTAAAATTTAATACAAACGCCAGATTTAAACGGATGGATTTACTAGTGAAAATCTTTTGTAAATTCGAAAACGAGAATTAATCATTGACAAAGGAAATTTTAGTTTGAAATACATATTTATGAATACTATATTTACGTATGTACGAATGTATTTATAATATTATAAAGCGTATTATTTATATAGATCGGTATTTAGTTAAAACGATTTTAAAACGATATATATATGTATATATATATATAGTGTATATAAATAATATTTAAATATATACATGTATACAATGTACATGTATATATTATATTTATTGTATCTTTTTATAGAGAGATGTATATTATAATCATTCTATATAAACATCTATATATAAATTATACGCAAAAAGTTTATTATAATGTTTCATACGGTATGATGTATAAATACATATACATGTACGCTATAACTAAATACTGGAAATATGACGATGCATAAGTATGACGATTTAATAATAAAATAGCTTATACTTGATGCTTAGATGAACACTGAATAATACGCATATATATTCTAAACATGTATATAAAGTCTATAGTATATGTTATATATAGTTGTTATTAAATATTATGTTTACTGTAGACTTCTGGTTTTTGGATAACCTTTATCATACGTGCAGTATATACATATATTTTTCTATGTACATGTTATATTACTGCATGTAAATATATTGTATATACCGCTATATATATTTATATGTAAGTATATATACACCTAATTTCTTCACTTTTATTAGATGTACAGAGTACGTAAATGTGATGTAGAAGAGTAAAATATCCTTAAATAATTAGATAAATGAATTTGAATGCTGTATAGCTGTTACTATATTTTTTAATTCAAATATCTGAGCTATTTTTAGGAGAAATACCGCCTTTTTCTTTTATATAAAATTAATACCAGGTAATCATCGGTAAACTTACAACGTTTGTTAGCTTTTATGTAATCCTAAGGTAGTTCTCTATATAGAATTATTTTTAACGTTTTTTCGACGTTTACTTTAGGAACAAATTGGAAAATTTCATAAACGTTAACATATTTAGCAAAGTATGCAACTAATGATAAAAATAGCACTTCAAACTAGACGCCTTTTTAGGCGTCTCTAGTACGAAGAGAAGGTAAAGTAGTAGAATTATTGATTAGTACACGCCCACATGTACGTTATAGTCACGAAAATATTCAGATTCATTTTTCTATCCAATAACAGACGCCATTTCTCTAATTTGACCTAATTTCTTTAACTATCAAGTTATACAATCGTGAAGATAGATATTGTGAACATGTGTTTACGTTAATGTGGCCTTAGCTTGTAGTCGAAATAATATGGAATTTTTTTCAGCTATTCAAAAGGATTAAATCTTATCTGATAAGGACTTGTTATTTTGATCAGATTATCTTTTAAAGTAGGTATATTTTTAAAATTTTATACATATTTTTCTGATACAGCATCACAAAGCATTTATTGTCTATCATTTACCGATAGGGCCATGTAATGGCGATGGCAACCAGCTTAAACGATGAAGTTGACCAAGAATTATTAAAAACTGAAATAAATCACTATTCTAACACACCTGAGGAGTATAGTGATGAAGATGATAATAAAACTCCTGAAGGTAAATTTCTATAATTAATATTATTTATTATATGCTCTAATTTCTTCCTTTCTACCTTTTGTTTTCTTTTTTCAACCCAAAAATTTCTGTTCATTCCTTATATCATAGTTTTTTTTCTTCTGTTTATATAAGATATCTTTTCTTCCAGTTGCGAGATAACAGTACCTTTTTAGAATTTATTATAAATATCCTTTGCGTTAAAAATTTCCAAGACATAAAAAACCAAAAAAGACTTATTTAAAGAAAAAGAAGGAAGATACGTTCACTAATTATTTGCGTTTGCATCTAGATCGAGCCCAAATAATTGGTCAAAATCTAAGTAATATTTCGTCTTATCTGTAATATACTCGATGTGTCGTATGTCGGTAGTAAGATGCAGTAAATATACGTAGCATGATTGATGATTCATGCTTTTACTTTTACACTGTGTTTACGTGTGATCAACGATATTTCTTTTTTTTTTTTTTTTACCACAGTTCATGTTTATCCATCCATCTTACTCTAAAGGCTAATCGATATTTTTAGGGAGTAGAAAAAAATGAAAAGTTATTTATTTAAATAAAAAAATAATTAATAAAAACTGTCCTTTTTTTGTCTTTTCTGTTGATATAATGTTTTGTTTGGGATCTATATTGTGATTAGGAAAAATAACGAATAATTGGTAGGTAAGAGAACAACATAATCACATTGTCTGTTTAGTATTTTAAGTTTTTATTTCGTTCTCAAGTTGCACTGCCTATCGACTAAGTTTTTAATGAATTAATAAAGACACACCCATAGGTAATTTTTCTTTCTTATTCTTACAGAAACTGTTGATGTTGATGCACATTGGCTTCACACTGCAGGATTTTCTGATATAGTTTCCCAATTGACAGGTAAGCTTTTGATGGATTATTAACTTTTTGACAATACTGAATATTTTACTGAAAATTATAAAAATCAAAATACTTAACATAGATGGTCAGGATGTCAAAGATGATGATATGGAAAATATAACTTCTACATTAACTAGAAAGCAAGCAGACGTTCTTAGGAAACGTGTTAACTCTTTATCAGCAACTCTAAAGTCAAAAAGTAAATCTTCTACTCACACGGATGTACGGGATATTTTTCCAGAAGTAAGCTCTATTAACAATAATACTTATATTTCACTCGTAAACTTACGTCTAACATCAGAGAGCAGAGGAAACAGAAATCAAAGATTTTAGTTCTTTTGATGAGCGATCTGTTCAAATATCCGGTAAATAGCTGAAAGATCGCGTAATTTACGAATAGTTTAAGGTTAATTATTATATTACAGGTACACCAAAAAATTCAAAAAACGACTTACCCACTATAACGGATAATGAAGAAAGTAACTATCATATAAAATTCGAAAGAAGTAATTCAGTGAGTAATATTTTACTTGAAATAATAATAAAGACGAATATATTCGAAACAATTATATCGTTTTGTCTGTCTTTAGAGAAAAGGAGTGTCAGACTTGCCATATTGTGAGATAAAAGATGAAGATGTTACTTTAATATCAGATTTAAGCAAGGCTGACGTTTTGAAGCTTCATAGTTTTGTATTTATGGAATTAACCGCTATTTTTGACGATCATGGACTTAATATAACGAAAAAAAAAACAAAAAAGAAATTTAAGGAATTCGGAATATTTGGAACTTCTCTGCAAACTTTATATGACAGAGATGTTAAGAAACACCCAGATTTACTTGTACCATTAATTTTAAAACAAATGATAGGATTTTTACAACAAAAAGGTTTAAGAGAAGAAGGTATTTTAAGAGTACCAGGAGCCATGGCGAGGATAAAGGTATGTTTCAAAAAGGCGACTCTTTTTGATCATAAAAAGGGAGAATCTAATTATCTAAATTTACTCTTATTAATAAAATTAGCAACATCGTCAAGTGATAGAAGCAAAGTTTCCCTCAGGTAATTTTGATTGGGACCATTTAGATGCTAAATCAAGTGATGTCGCTGGATTATTGAAGCAATTTTTACGTGAACTACCTCAGCCACTTCTCACAAATGAATACATAGATGCTTTCAGTCAAGTGGAAGAAATCAAAGGCGTAGAAGCTCAAGTTCAAGCCTTAATGATGCTTTTCATTCTTCTGCCAGACGTTCACAGAAATTCTTTAAAGGTACAAAACCGCACTATAAATTTTAAATGATTTAATAGAGAATATATAATTTCGTTATATCATAATATAAGTAAAAAACAAAATTTGTTTTTTGTATTAGTTAATTCTCGCTTTTCTGAAATTGATAACTGAAAATGAGGAGAAGAATCGAATGAATTTGCACAACGTGTCAACAATCATGGCTCCGAATTTGTTTTCAACCGGTAAAAGTAAAAGGGATTCGTCAAAACCTCAAACGTTCCAATTGCATGCAGCAACTAAATGCTTTAAAGTAGTACGATTATTAATACAATATGAAAAAGTTTGGGGAATTGTACCAGGATTTCTTTTAAATCAAATTCGACCCCCTCCTACTAATAAAGGATTCAATGTAAATTTTAGAATATTTCAGCAGATATGTGTTCTATGTTTCTAAACATTATTTTTACTCGTCAGATAAAAAAATTCTTTGGTCGTAAAGATAAAAGTCCTAACAAAACTACAGCTTTGGAGGAAGTAAGTAGCTGAGCAAATTGATAAGCAACTGATAAGATTTAGTGGTAAATTTTTCACTTGTTAATAACTTATTTTAGGAACGAAAAAAAAAGAATAGGATAAAAGTTACTATGGGGACATCAGTAAGCAAGGATATACATTTACATACTGGACTAACTGCTGGTCAGGTAGTCGAGCAGATTCTTAAAGAGGAAAGTGTACTCAGGTACGACTTTTTTGTCAATTAGTGCCTTCTTTTATTGTATATTGTAAGAGAAAATTTTTTCTTTATAGCGGCTCAAATCTTGAAGGATTAAAGGATAAATTTCTGTACGAGAAGGGAGGAAATATAAACTGTAGGAAGTTAAATCCAAATTGTCGATTAATGCAAGCTTTTCGAGATAATCCATTCGCTGATTGGATTATTTCCTCAAAGCCACCTGTTAGTTAACTCTGTGTCTTTGGCACGAAAGATGCTTCAAATGCTATCAAAGGGAATTTTCCAATGATGTTAATTGTCTATAACAAAATTATCTGGAAAATAAGGATACAGTCACTTGACTGCTGGCCTCTTGAAACTAGCCTTAAACCCACCAAAAAAGGATTATTTTGTTTTATTATTTTTCTTATAACAATTTTTGGGAGATTATTCTTGTGTGGTCATTGTTGTCTTGTTATGATAAGGTTGAATGCGCTTCGGCTTTTATTGACAAAATGGGAAAGAATTTTGTTTGTTTTTTTTTGTCTGTCTTTAATTTTTACTCAAACTAAGTTTAAAACCAAAACAAGCAAAAGAAAAAACGTGAAGATATTTTATTTATAGGATTATCATTGTCATTGTTTCTATTTCTCATTTTTCTTCCGCTTTCAACTAAATATCTTTCATTTATTTTTTATTTAAGATCATTGAACATTAAACTTTCACCCTTCGCATTATATTTTATAAAATGAAACATGTAGGAAATCTATTCTTGGCTATTAAACGCTAAACAAAGCTTTACCTGAATGCTAGCTTTCTGTACATATGCATATACATTATATTAATATCATAAATTATACATGTAAAGTATATGCATGTATTTCAGCTTGCATGTAAAGGTATTTATATATAAATTTATATATATTATACTGTATATCTGTAAGTATATTTATATATCCAATATCTTTCCCGAAGGGAAATAACCAGGGTAATTATATAAGATGAGATTTTGGATTTATAATGTTAAAAAGATATAATAAATAGCCTAAGTATTTGGCCAATCAAAATTCAAATTTTTAAATTAAAAATAAAGAACAAGTGAGAATGCTTTAGTTGAGTGTAAAATTTAATTAAACTTTAATAAGTTATACGTCCCAGATTAGGTAATGAATTCAATATTTATACATTAAAACCGAAATGAAAGAGATGAAATTATTAAAATTTGAAGTTTGTCAATAATAAAAAATAGGAAAGACGTCTTTTTTCCAGTGTATTTCCAGCTAATTTAAAAACTAAAATTAAATTGAGCTTGTCATACGCTCACGTCATATTTCTTGGAAAGCTTTATACCGGATGGTTAAAAGGAGCTATTCATGACATGTTAGTCATGACATAGAAGCATGCAGGCTATTTAAATAAATTGTTATTTACACGTTTCTATCTCGTTCACCTTCACGAAATATTTTTTAATGACGTCAATTACCCGCTTGATAATCATTCATTGTCAGTTTTTGACGTCCCATTACTGTGGCTTTCATCACGAAGTAAATCCCTCTCCAATGACTTAAACTTGTCAGCTAATAATGTTTTATTATTTAATAAGTTACCATTAGAAGGAATTGAGAAATGAAAGCTATTAATATCATTAGTATTAGAAGTTTTAGAAAACATTTTAAGGAATTTTCTATTTATAAATTGTTTATTTATTCGAATTCTTGAATTATTAAAGTTTTTCCGAGAATTGTTCTTATTAATTAATGAATTATCTCCATTTATAAGTTTACGTTTATTTCTATGCTCTCTTTTGGAAGTGTAGTAAGTTAATTTTGAATGATTGTTTTTATCATTAACAAAGTATGTTTCGTTTGAAACATTCGATTGTGTATTATCAATCAATGAGAAATCAGTTGTTCTATATAATTCTGACTGTCTTTGTGGGTGTAAATCGGACAAGTATGCGGTCAGAGACGCACTATCAATGTCAGAATTGTGACTAATACTTTTTGAATCGGCACAATTGGGATTATTTAATTTTTCTATTGAATAATGTACACTTTTTGTAGAATCTTTATCGGAATTCTCTTTTAATTGTCTATAAATATCAGATAGACTACAAAGAACATCTTTTCTTAACAGAAGATTAATCTTCATCAAACGTGTTTTTATTTCATCAGAAATTTGATACAAGTTAAGAATAAGATAAACTGGATTAGAGCCATCAATCCTATCAATATCCACCTCATAGTCTAGAATATTAAATATTCTGTTATTAGCTTCATCGTCCACCTTAACAACTCTATTTATTGTTGGAGAGAATCCCAAATTTAGTCTTGTTAAATTATAAAAACATGGTAGCAAGAACAACAGTAAATAAAGCCATGTTATACACATCGTTGTCGTCATAATACCTATTGCAATCTTCATAAAAGCATTACCAAATGACCAATTGACAGCATGAACAAAGAATGATGATATTACAATAGCAAACATTGAAGGCATTATTCGATTGTATAAACTGTTCATCTTTTCTAACATAGTAGTGCCCTGGATGCATCTCATGGTGTTAACTACTAAAAGATGCAATAAGCTGGATCCTGAAATAATAACAGGTATTGCTATTATATGAGTGACGGTTATAAATTCCCTCCACACAAGGAAAATTGCACTAACGCAGACAGTCGACGACAAAAGTGTACTTAGACTCGTCAAAAGCGTCATAATCCATGGTAATTTACATAAAATTAAGGTCATACTTAAAAAGATTAACTGAGCAAGGGAAATGAAGAAAGGTAAGAAATGGAACATTGATCTCACATCAAAACAGGAATCTGAGAAAAATTCAGTCACTTTATATTTCTTCGGTATTGTCCTTTTTATATTTTGCCACTCTTTTAACAATTCCTCCCTAGCATTGTATTCAATTTGAATATCTCCTTTAGTAACAATGTTACTCTCTATTTTAATTATATAATAATATTTATTATTATTGTTATTATTATAAAACTCGTCAACAAATGTAAATTTTCCAGACAATTTATCGATAATATTAATAATCGACTGATTTTTAACAAATCCTTTGTAAGATTGTAAATTATTAAGAATCTCTGCTGAAAGGCATTTTCTTAATTTCCAAATTGGGGATGCTAAACGATGATCCTTTATTCTATTACATGCTCTTTTAGCCCATTTTAACGAATCAATACTAACGAACGTATCATTCCCTTCAATAACCAATGTCATTTTTAGATATTCTCTAGTTGAATGGAATGCTTGCCTATTTCGTAAATAATAATTAAATTCGTGATTTCCATCTAAGAGGTGAACTTGACAAGTCAAAGGTATCTGATACGTAAAAAACACTAAAATTGATGATCCAATACCCAATAGGGCTAAAAATATAATACATGATATTGAAATAGATCTTGATTTAACAGAATTTAAAAATAATTTTAAAGATGCTATTTTTGCATCAATCGATAGAAACAAATTATGTGGAGTTTTATAAACGTATCCTATTTTCATTGAACTAATATCTTCAATTTTGTTGTCAATAATTTTGCAACTGCAAAATTTTCTTCTTCCAGCTGAGAATTGAAGTAAAAATATTGCTGGTAATGTAAACTCGACAAAAAGAATATTTAATAAGCAAATAGCTAGAACAGATAACAATAATATTAAAGATACATTAACAAATAATATTAATATCAAAGAAAATTGTAGAGCGAATATGATCATTGAAGGATAAACTATTCTTTTTATAGTAAAACAGCATTTTTTATAAGTAAATTTATCATTTTCTACGTATTCTTCAACCCAGATTCTTTGCATAGCAAATATTTCGAATGTAGTTAGAATAAAAAATGATAATCTAACATATATAAACAATACATTTGTCTCGTAAATACACGTTGCCATAAAGGCAATAGAAATACCGATATAATGTTGTAATGTAATAGTTAAAGCCGTTAGAAATGACGATAATGGCCAAATTATTATAAAAATTGTTATTCCAGTCAAAGTTGCAGTAGTTAACTCTTTACTTAATAAATCTTTTTTTATATTGTCTTTAATGCTTTTGTCAATTTTGTAACCTTTTAATGTTGTATGTTTTATATCCTTTTTAAATATATCCTTAATTTGTAAGTAATTTATAAAGGAAGTAAATTTTGGACCAAAGAATAAATTTTCCCCTTTATCAATACTATTATAGGGGAGTAGCTTTAGTATAAATGCAGTAAGCCATCCGTTTCTAAATCGACAATAAATGGGAATTATAACATCTTTATGACAACTATGCTCAATACAATAGGGAAATAAAGTTGAATATTTTTGAGAAAATGTTAAACAAAAGTCAATTATTTCTCTTACTTCGTCGATTAAGGTTTGATTAATTAAGGAACAAGATATATTATAATAATCACCAATTACTGAAGCTAAAGAAAAGCTTTTATGGAACCTTAATTTGTCTTCCAGTTTTATTTTTTTCTTTATCAATTCGTCAACACTGCAAAGTTCTTTTAGAAAGCTTATATTCCATACAGAATTCGAAGGCTTTAGAATTAAACTTGACCTATTTTCTGCTCAACATTAAATTATTTTATATAATAAATATCTAAATATTCTCTGTTTCTCTTAATTTCTTGTTTTTTTTTACCTATAGATAATTCATAATACGATGTAATTGGATGGCTAAAGAAGTTGTTTGAATTTTCAATCTTATTCATAGACAATCCTTCCCCATCTTTGAATAATTCCGAATTATTTAATGAATTTACGAAATTTCTTAAGCACAGCCATCTTCTATAATACTCGTGTTTGTTGGCGTAGTTTGTATCCAAAAACTGTACAAAACTCTCATGTTTTATATTTTCCTTTAAATATTCAACAAATTCTATTCGAACAGATCTCCAGTGTATACAGGAAAGTAGCATTTTACCTAAATCATTTGAAAGCGACATTCTTTTATAGTAATTTAATATTGTGCTTATAATTTCATATTTTTCACTCTTATTAGGTGATAATTTATATACATAACTCTTAAAAATGTCATAATTCAAGCGTTCTGTAATGTTTTTTATATATTTATTTTCTTTATCAGCAATTGGTACGACCTGTTGTATGTAAACAAGTTGACGTTAATATTTCATAGAGTGCAAATATTTATTTAAAATAGAAACTTAATAATAACTGTTTAAACCAATATCTTACTTCAAAATCAACGTTCATTTGCAGAATAAAAACAGAGAAAAAGAATAGCGAAAACCCAAAAGACAGATATAAAAAGAGCGTCAAGTAAGGATATTTAAGAACAAAGTTCATTTCTAATTTTAATAAATTTAAAATTCAAAATGAGTTATGCATTAATTGAATTACTAATGATAAATTTTTTTCTAATCAAGCCTATATGCTCCATATAACTCATTTCTTAGCAGAAAATAATCAGAATGTTATATCAGTGAGTTTCAGTAGATCATCTTTACTTTTGTACTAATGATTTAAGATTTAACGTATAGATCAGTTTCATAGATTGAATGTCTTCGATCCGTTGGCTTCATAATAATGTCCATTATCTGTTTTTAGTTTGAATATTATAAAAACAGTACAATAGCAACAGTTATTAAAAGTTTTATTGCTGTTTTACCTCAGCGCCTAAGGGTAGTTCCAAAGCTTGAACAATATAATCAACAACATCAGATTTTTCAAGAGCAGGAAGAACGTCGCATTCATATATTTCGTCACCGTCCATGTTTAAATTCGAATCATCAGGAATGACTTCAGGGGACATTCCGTATGTTTTAGTGCCGTACTCCTAAAAATTTTTAATTGTAATCTATACAGTTAAAGATAATCTATGAACGAACCTCAAAGACGTTCAGCATTGCCCTCGCCGTAAGTCCAGATCTACTCATCGCGCCAGTCTTACAATGGCCAGGTCCGATATGCTAATATCACAATATATTTAGACTTATGCTAATTTATTTGTACAAAAAATAATGAACTGAGAATTACTTGAAACTTACAGTAACTCTTATATCTATGTTGTTGGCGCGGAATTCAGCTCTTAAACCATCTCCAATAGCTCGTAGAATGAACTTTGATAGAGAGTAAAAGTGCATCGAAGGAAAAATGGAAGTATAGTAGCTGGCTGTCCTGGAACATATGCGGGAGAAAGTAAAGACATTTTCATTAACAATATGCTAAAACAGACCCTCCGATATTGATAAGATGTCCTTTAACATTGTATTTCTGCATATTTTCAATAGCCAACTTACAGCAAAGGGCTGGTGCAACAACGTTAAGCTAAAATATGGTCCAAAAATTTCAAAGAATTATCAAATTAAATAATAAAAAATAGTTCAACATTACTGAAAACAATTATCTTCAAATAAATCAAACCTCCATAGTTGCATCCCACAGATAATCTAAATCATTCATCAAATTGCCCATAGTTCCCGTGCTGGCCATGTTAACTAGAACATGGATCGCTCCAAATTCTTTTTCAATACTCGAGAAAAGATTTATAATATCTTTTTCGTTGAATAAATTACATACACGTGGTATATATCGTCCTTTTGAATTTTCTAGACTCTTCTCTATATGCTACAATAAAGATGGTAAAAATTAATTATAATGAATATTAATAAGGAAAGAAAGAAATACAATTTCATATTAAAATCAAAATATTTGAAATATACCCTCATCTTTAATTTGGTTCTTGCAACTGCAATAACTATCATCCCATAATCTACTAGAGTTTTACAACACTCTGCACCAATTCCTAGAGATCCTCCTGTAACAATGGCCACTTTACCTTCCCACTTTTCCATCTTTATGTGTTTATTTTTCGTGGGGAGAAGAGAAAAAGCCGAAAAAAATTTGTAACTTGAATATCTAAAAGAGAGTTGACTCTTTCAAACACGCTCTTTACAGAATGAAACTGAATTTCAAGCGGGTAGAAATAAATAGATAGTGGATCAGCTGCGTTGAATGATTAGAATTAGCCATTGTTCAAATTTGCAGAATTGTAATTGATGAGTAACAGTTTTTTATTTTTTACTAACTTTAACTGAAATGTGTGTACTAATTGTCAAGATGCTACATATGTAAATATGATATCATAAATATTCTCTCGATTACAAAAAATTAGATTTATTATTAATTATGAATGCTGCAGAAAAAAATTTATGATTTCGTCTTTTATACCCTAACCATAATTCACCTGCTGACCAGCTATTTTATTTTTAGTTTAACTCTGACATGACGATAATTTTCCTAATCCCAAAAATTGTTCAAACTGCTACGCTCCTGCTATCTTTGCTTATTTTACTATGACATTTTAGTCATAGGAACAAGATATGTATACTCTTCCTGCCACTCTTTTATGTCTACCTATTAATAAAAATATACCCCTTAATGTTGTATTTATAACTGTTAGACAAGACAAAGAATTAAAGTTTTATTATTTATACCAGTTGTCAGAGGGAAATAGTCAGTATAGATACGTGTTGAATCGTAAGTCTTATTGGTAAAATATAACTTAAACTTAACTTTTAGCAGTTGTAATTTGATTAGATATGAAACACATATTCTTAACAAAATATAAATCACTTTTTAAATAAACATGACAATGTATATGTATTTGTTCAATGTACTATAAAAATAAAACAAGCGGAAAATGGTAATATCGCTCACTTTCAGGTAGGCACCTTAAGTATGGATAGTCTAATAAATTCAAGTATCTCAGATTATCATCCCTTGATATTAAATATCCTATTGAATCAGCAAAAATTAATGGAAAATGTGACCCACTTATCCACTATGGTTGCTGATTTTTCAGACCAAATAATCATGGAAAAGCATAGAATTGCAGTATGTATTAAAGTATTCTTTAAAAGATGTAATACTTTAATATTCTTTATATTAAAAAAAATGATTGTACTACAGGAAACAAACGATCAAGATTCAGCTTATATAGAATCATCAAAATTGAATGACTTAAGTACATTTATGACTGATAAGTTTCAAACATTCGATAGAGCATTAAATGCTTTACGAAATGAATTCGAACATTTTAAGGAAGATTTTAATAGTAAAAATAGTGAAAAAAATAATTATTCATTAGAATCTAGAAAATTTGAAGAGGCGGTTATTGATTTTGATAAGGAAATAGATTCAAAAACATCAGAAATAATAGATTTGGTAAGTCAAAGATTGTTTTGCAATATTAATAAAATTATAAATAAACTTTACAGAATGAAAAAATTAGGGTCCTTTTAAAAAATCAAGAAGAAAATAAGAAGGAATACGAAAATTTAAAGGCTGATAATATTGCAAAAGAGCAATTATTAGTAAAATTACAAGAACAGAATTGTAAATTATGTGAAAATACTACTTATTTAGAGAATGAAATTACTGTATAAGTTTTTAATTTTATATTTATAATTGATTAACAAATTTTCATTTTGTTATCTTATTTTCAGATTTTAACCAAGAAATTGAAACATGGTGAAATAAAACTAAAAGCAAAAATAAAAAGAATTTCTTTAATGAATGAAAAATTACAACAACACGAAAATAGAATAAAAAATGATATTTATATTAACAGATCACATCAAAATGGTCAAATTCAAATGATTTAATAAAAAGAACGATATACTAATATCATTATTTGCAAAAATCAATTTGAAAGAAAATGGTCACTTTTTATTCTTTACTATTATTACTCTTTATTTAAAGAATTAAAGTAATGACTTTAATGCCATATTTGTTATATTTGTCCTAGTGAGTTGAAATATTTAATAAAGCACAAACGTAGACAAAGATTTTATATAGACAATTTAAAAATTGTTAATTTGTTTGTAGAACTTGCATATAGACTGTAGACTATAAATTTCCTATTCTATTTTTAGACTCTGTCGGCTTTTTACATATTAGTCTTTTTTTAGCCTACAAGAAGACACTCAAATTTTTGTAGAGGATAGCACTTTCTATCAAATAAATAAGAAAAAGATCACTTGGTGCAATACAATTCAAGAAAGATATATACATGACGTAATTATATATATATATATATATATGTATTAGTATATATATATATATATATGCATATGTATTTATACATAAAAAAAATATTGTCAATTTAGGCTTATGTTATTCTTAAGCAGGTGAAACGGTACAGTAAAATATTACTTCTCAATTAATTGGCCGACAGTATTAAGGGACATTGTACACTATTATTACAGCATAAAAGGAACAATACTAGTCGTGCAAGGTACAATACTAAAGAATATGTGCTTGGATTTAAAATACTGAATATTTCTCTTCTCTTTAAATAATTGGTTAACATCTTTTAGGATTAAACGATAAATGATAAAAGCTAATTGGTATCTTTGTAATTTGATGGTATATAATATCTATTATCAACTAAATGAAAGCAATGGTTAAGCATACAGCTTGGCTGATCTCCATTTTATATTTGTGTATGTTTGCCAGAGGAAAAAAGTTTACAATATCTTTGTTAAACAATAAGGAGAATATCAGTTGGAAAAAAGCTAATGACTACTGCAAAGATCATTCCAAAATTTTACCTCAAATTTATTCAAAAGAAGATTATGATTCTATTAATAAAGAAATAGAGAGATTTAACATTTCAGGAATATTTTGGTTAAATACTTTGCATTTTCAAGATGGTAAAAAATAGAAACAATTAGTTTGTTCATTAGTATATTTTCAATAATTACTGTTTTTAGGTAAGAGTTTAGAAAAAGCTCAATTTTATGATATCTATAATCGAAATATCGACTATGGTTATACACGAGTCTGCGCAGTAAATATTAATTCAATACTTAGAATTAATAATTGTTCAAATATTCACAAATACGAATGTTTAATAAGTAATCTATTGAATTATACAAATTGTATATAATCTTTAATTAAAATTCAAATAATATAGATAAGAAGACTTTCAAGAAAGCGAATTGGGATAAAGCTTCAAAGTCGTGTCATGAGAACAATTCTTTTTTACCTAGTTGGAACAACTCTTCAAGTTATACTGGTTGGTTGGGTCTTTCATTTTTCTATTTAATGAAAGGAGATGATAGTGAAAATAAGGGTGCGGAAGATCCTTTATTTAATTCTAGTAAAATATATTTCAAGTTGAGTCGATTTGAAATTGACATTGATTATATTGTTTGTGAAAGAAATGACCAGGAAGATGACTCTAGCAATTTTCCCCTCTTCTTAAAAATTATTTTGGGTTGTGTTGGGGGAATTTTTCTAGTTTCAATAATACTTGTCTTATTATGTTGTTGCAGGTCAGATATTTCTTATATTTTAATGTTTAGTTTCTATTAATATTTTAACAAAAGATGTAGTAAAAGCCCAAAGAAAGAACCACAATCGACTGGGAGAGAAAATCACGCCTATCTTCCTGAACCCCAGTGTGAAATTAAGGAAGAATACGACACTGAAGATCTTACTACTTCATTTAGATGTAATAGTCGCCCCAGCCTCCCTGAGCAACAGGAAAACGTAAAGAACTATTCGTTAGAAGCTAAATACAACAAGAACTTTAGGTAATAATTAGACTTAAGAAAGGTTAATTAAGTAAAAAATCGTTGACTCTTTGATTTTCTTCATAGTGGAAATTTTTCAAAGAGAGAGCCGAGTTCTATTGTAACTAGAAGAGAGAATGTAGAATCAACTATTTCACAATTTGGAGAAGCAAATGATTATGTTGAAATTCAGGGACTTGATGATACGAATGGAGGACAAAGGAACGAAAGCAGTACAGATAATATAATTAATAATCGTCAATCGGAACTTATTGTTACTGAAAATGACCTGTACTCTAGTTTAAACTTTGTTAGATCATGAATTCTTTTATTGCTATTCTTAAAACAAGTAAATAGTAACATTATTATAGCCAGTAACATTGTCTTGTTTTCTATCTAGTCATACTGGTAACGCCTTCTAGTAACCGGTTTTTTAACTATTTCGCAAAAGTTTAAAGAATATTTTCTAAAGTACTTACAAGCGAAGTTTTTCTTCACTAATTTAACTACATAGCATGAAATTTACAAGACGTACGATTTCTCTTAGAGGATGGTTTACAAAAGCGTTTTTTTAAGAAACCCTTGTATACTTTCAATTTTCCAAATGTCTTAACATTAATATACAATTAAGAACTGATGAAATGGATAAATCTCTAAATCTAAAATGTTTATCTGACTTTTTATGCAATATTCTATTATAATCTTTCCTTGAGAGTACGTTCACGATGGTTATTTGGATAGAATAATCATAATTTCATTAAGATAGATTATTTTCTCTATCGTATTTTTCTTTGTAGTAACATATCACGAATCAAGTAAATTTGTCACTTTTACATGCATTAAGAGTGTATATTCTTGTAATACACAGGTGTAACCTCTTTTAGGGATAAACTAGAATCTCGCCTTGGTAACTTTTCACTAATTCTGTATCATAGGGGAAATAATAGAAACTTTAAAGTTTTATAATTATAATAGTTCTATTCCTTCAACTAAATTTATATTTAAATTCACAAATTGATATTTTCCCAGCTTAATTTCCTACAAAATAAAATACATCTGCTAAGGATTTTCCTTATCAATTTCCCACATTGATTATCTTAATTTCTCTATTGAGGGCTTTGCCTATATGGTCTTGGGATACTTTCTTTTTTTCAATAATATTTCTTGTAAAATCTTTGCTTGTCTTCCGTTAAGCTTCACTTAATATTTTTTGATATTATAGACAATTGTATATTAGATACTCTCTATATGCTACAATGTAAATTCTTCAAACTAAATGCAATATAACATAAAAGTACATTGTATAGTGTATATAAATGAAATAGATTCTTTTTATCTATTGTAGCAAGTAATTAATTTAATTGAAAGAATTTACTAATCAAGTTTTCTTTTACGAAACGAATAGACTTTCTCTTTTTAGTTATACAAGAATTTTTTTTAGCTTATTCAATACAGAATAAGTAAATCATATACAACTTCATAGCTAACATAATATAGTATTATGTTTTTTCGTAGTAAGGTAGATAACAATAATTAGTTCCCAAATAATACTCTATTTTTATATTTACATATTCTAAAATTAGACAGGTTTCTTTTTTAACTAAAGAAGATGAAAAAGATATATTTGGCGTGTACACAAAAAGAATAACAATAATAATAATAGAAGAATTATACAAGATGTCTGCTATTCTCCATAAAAAAGAATAGAACCTTTTAATGATTAATAATTATGGTTGGATGTAATTTTTATTATTTCCTATTTTAAGGTAACAAATTGGAATATACAGTATATATATATATATATTAGTATATAGTGTACTATATATACATTATAAAAAACATAATAATAACCTTATCAAGATAACACTGTTCTAAGCTGTATAACTAAAAAAAACTACTTGTTTGAAAAATTAACAACAGTCCGCTGACAGGCTAAGAGTGAATACAGCAAATAGATGTAATTGTTTTTACTAAGTAATCTATTAATAGGAATCATTCAGGGTTACTTCTCTAATTTCCTTTCACATTAGATTGGCGTGTTATTTTGAGAAAAATCCATTGAGAAAACTTGAATATTATAAGTTACAATATAATTTATAGTAATAAAAATTGGTTTAAATTCATTATTGAAAAAAGGGGCTGAGGAGAAAATAAAATATCATTTCAGTTCGTAAATATAGAAAAAATGATTGTATTACTCTAAAAATGCTTCATCTACAACAGGTTTTATCCTAATGGAGTGTCAGATGGTCGAAACGGATAAGAAATTAGCAGCATTTTCATCATCGGGGAAAAATAAAAGGGAATTTCTTATCGTCTCTAATTCCAAAGAAAAGAGAATCCTTCCTGTGACTTTCTAACTTTAATCAAAAGAAAATATTAAACCATCTAAAATTGATTACATGAAGCCAATTGTTTAACGAAATCGGGCAGAGAAAGAAAGAAAGAAGGTTATATTTTGTCTAATTTTATTCGATATATTAGCATAAAATTTATTAACATTAACAACGCACAACATCTGAATTACGTCAGTTATACTCTAAATACAACCCTTTCTTCATTTAATATTTTGTATACATCTTTTATTAGTTAACTTTTTAAGGAAAACAATGTATTTGTATTTATTAAATGTATATTTCCTGTTTCTATTCTATTTCTTTAGAATTTATTTTAAGAAATAGTACGAGAACTTTCAAAGCCAAGAAAAACGAAGATGTCATCTCTTTAACTACATTTAATTACTCACAGAAACGAATTTTTTTATTAGATTATGCAACATAATACAAGTAGTCATATATACAAAATGGCACAGTTTATTTGCAATTTTTCCTTATCTTTAGATAAGAAATTTCATCAAATCTATTAACGATTTACATAAAGAAATACAAGGTTTGGAAAGTTGTTTTGATCGTCTCGTTCATATACTAAAATCTTGTTAAAAATTGGTTTTTTTTCAATTTGGTTAAATAGGAACACGAAGAATAGATTAGATGAAATATGAAATCCAATTAATGCTTAGTCATTGAATTTTCAATAGAATGGTAATAGAACAGGACAAATTCGACAATATTTTCGCTTTATTAATCAATGCCAATAATTTTGTTATTAATCAAATTTCTTTGTATTGAATCTCATAACAACTATTTTAAGATCTCATCAGGATTTATAGGCTCTGAGATGTTCTAATTCACAGCTCTGAATTCCTGTTGTCTTTGAATCCAAGTTTCTGGACGACGTTCTAATTAACGAGGAATTTATTCCCCCCTTCATATGATAATTCGTTTTCTTTCCAATTCTGCAACGTTTTTGCAGAAGGCACCGCAAATCCAACCAAAACGTTTCTGACAAGAAACAATAAACAAAAGGGTTTACAGCAGAATGAGCCATGGCTATCCAATGAGCACTTAGATAAGTAATAGCAAAAATTTCATATTTATCAGAGATGATTTCGGATTTAAAATGATTAATAAGGTGAAAAAAATTTAGAGGCGCCCAACAAATTGCGAATGCTACTGTGATTACGATAAGCATTTTTATAACTTTTTTACTGGACTTTGTGTGAGCTTCATCCCGGGTCTTTAGAGCTATACCAGGAACTTTTCTTTGCCACAATAGTGTTCCAATGACCGTGTACGTAAAGCATAATGTTGTCAATGGTAAAAAGTAAGTTGTTATTAAAAAGAAGAGGGTAAAAATTTTTTTCGAAGACTCCGGCCATGTCTCAGTACACCACATATAATCTGTATTATTGGGAAAAACACTAACAGCTTTAGTAGCCAAAACTGGTGGTATAGCTATACTAATCGAGAGAAACCAGATAACTACCAATATAACATTCGATCTCGCTCCAGTAACAGTCTGATATAATGGAAATTTGACGGCAATCAACCTGAAATGTTAACCAGCCTCTAAGCTAATGTCTTTTCAACATTAAATATCAATCGCAGACCTACTTTATTATATTAATATTTCTCTTATTCAAATAAACATTAATATTAAGAACGTATAGTTTAACGTATTTTGTATGAAACTAAAGAAGCCTATTATACTCTATCTCTCTTTTTAAAGTCTTTACGAGTAATTTTAATAAAGGCAAGAAAGAAAGAAAGAAAGGAACAGAAGGAGAGAGAAAGAGAGAGAGAGGATATACACTTTATATAAATGATATTCTAATAAGTTTTTCCTAGTAATTATTTTATCAATGAATATTTGTTGCTGTGCAATAATTTACTAACATTTGAAATTACCATCTAAAATAATCAAATTTGTTAAAATAAATAGAATTCTTCTCTCTCCACACTTCTGCGCTCTATCTATCCTGTCTATTGACGCTTTTGCCTCGAGATTGAGAGCAAATATACAAAGAAAAGTCTTTTCTGAAAGTTTTAAAGTATCACTGAAACTTTCAGCAGTTAGTACGTTATAGTAACAGTTGAAAATTTCTTTTACCAGTTACTTAGGTGGAGAGTTAGTCATTTTATTGGACATTTGCAAAAAGACTGTTGGGAGTTGAGGGCTTTTTAGTTGTTGCTTAGTAAAAAACAGTTTCTTTTATTTATTCGCCGTATAGTTAATCAACTTTTCCAGAAAATATCTCCTACACTCTTTTAATCATTTTAATCATTTTCGTCTTCTTTTTGATTTGATCATTTTTGCCTAAAATTATAGAAAGTAGATATTCTACATCCTCACTAGGTCAAAGTAAATTTTATATAACCCATAGATATAAAGAAATAACATTTATTAATATCAATACTGTAAGTATTAATTTAAGAGAATATATCGTATTAACCATAAACCTATTCTAGCTTTATTTTAGGGAGAAAGCTAAAAATTAATAGTATCTATATCATATATTTTGGCAATAAATAGAGTTATTAGACCATAAGATTCATAAATTTTTAGGTAAGTGGCGAAGATAAAGGATCCTTGAAAGTTGACGGTAAAAATGACATTTATAATGAAAAAGATGGAGCACTTAAAATGATATACATACAAGCGTAACTTAAGCATTTTACAGAAAAGTAGTAAGACTAAACCAGTTGACCTTACCTAATAGATATTTTTATTCGGAAGCAACATGTGCTAAAAACGACTAAACGAGAAATAATAAAGACTTATCCATTCTCTATTTCTCTCTCCTTTACGCTCTTTATTTATTTTATTTCTACGATTTCCGCAATAGACCCCTTCTTTCGGTTAGTAATTACAGGAAGTCTTTACCAAAAATTATTATCTCAGATATTGAGATTGCATCATAATCTATAATTAGCAAAAGACTATAAAAAAAGGATATATATATATATATATATATAAAAGAAAACTTAGCGCTACGATGAGATGTTCTAAGTATTTAAGTACGGAAATTATTTATCCTTAATAAATGGAACGGAAGAAAATCTCTACACGGTAAAAGCCAAATTTAAAAATTTGGAATTATGCCCATTTTATAATACCTTCTATAGTCTATACATAATGAAATGTATTATACCAAGGACAAAAACGATTTTATAAAATGTAGAACTAAATCTATTTAAACAGAAACTCGCGCTGTCATAAATTATTAATTTCTATACAATTGTAAAGAAATTGATAAATATAACTCTTAACGAACCTATCTATTCCAACTGCAACATTTGTAAAGATGCTAACTGTAATTCCAATACATTGAAAAAAGGTAACCACAGGGCAAAGATAAACAGCAAAGATCCACGTTTTAAATGCTATTTGTGCAAAAGTGAAAGGAATACAAAAGATTGCCATAAAAATATCAGCTGCCGTTAAATTTAGTAGATACTTGGATAGAGCTGTTTTAGACTTGGAGCCGGCAATCAAAACCCAAGCTGATAGAGCGTTTCCCGTCAAAGCGAGTAGAGCTGTTAAAGGATAAATTAGAGTTGATGAAATTCGTAGATATGACCATTCGTCACTTGTAGAGTTTCCATGTAGGGATGAGTTTTCCATGATTGTGACAACTGGAGAATTAGTAATGTAGACTTTTACAGAAACCTTTACAGCGCCACCTTGCAGAGAGAGAGTCACTCACCGGACGGATAATGGAATAATTTTCATTTGACTGTTTGTAGAAAATCTTATGCAATATTTATTATTGATAAGTTTAGTAAGAGTTTATTAGCAAGATTGTATATACATATATATATATATATATATATATATATACACATATATATTCTCTTTGTGTTTAAAGAAAAAGAATCGCCTATTCTCCTCTCTTTTTATAACTCTCGTACAATCTAAACTAGCTTTAGAACTAACAATCAAAAATATATAATGTAAGGAAAGCTGTGTGGTTATTTTTAAAGTATATTCGCTTTTAAGTAATATCTTCATCATTATCAGTGGAAAAAGGTATGAGTAAAGGTTTAAATACTCTAAAGATAATCTGTAATTATATTTTCAGAAGCGCAAACTATCCTCCTCCTAGTAAAGCTAATAACTTCATTGTATGGTACAAAGCATTATGTATAAGATTCAACAAAGGCCTACAACGTTATTGTTTGGTCTAGCAGCTAAATATATATTATGCATAAATATAAAACGATTATAATATACATGTATATATTTATATATCTGTACTTGTAGCTTTAAATAAGATACATTAATTTTAATTAATTTTTCTAAAAGTAGTCATTGAAGGCATAATTACAGCAAACAAGATATTTTGCTTTAATACAATTAAAATTTATGTTTATTCAAATGTATTATATAATATATTGTGGAATATATCTAACTATATAATATATATCTACAGTATTTTAATTTATACCATTGCTGAAAAACAAATCCGTGATTTTTTCCTAAACAGAAAACATAGTAAAGTCGCCTTTCAAGTTGCACAAAGAAAGAAACTAAAAAGAATGAAATTGATTAAGAACGACAACTAAAGCAGCCAATTTGTTGACTTACCTTTATTTGTTACTTTTCACTTTTCAGTTTTTTATATAGATTTTAAAATGGCTTGACACTTTCTCTTTTTGAAGGTTGATAACCTTTCTAAAAACGAATTCTACATAAAAACAAACAAATTATAAAACAAAGTTATATCACAGTAGTATATTAGATTAGAATATTTGACAAACAATAATCTCAGGGCTGTTTTTTTATCTTTTTTTTTGGAATTTTATTATAATATCACAACAACTGATTATTTCAATGTTATCTTACATAGACAATTTATTTTTGCATATTTCTGGTATATTTTGGTTTTTTATTTTATCTAATTTCCATAAAAGGTAAAGTCTATATTAGTTAATTGTTAGTAAGATTATTAGAGACCATTTACATCGTAGTGTTTTCAATGTTTTGTCAGCAGTTTTCTAATAGGTAACTTTTTTTTTGTTTTGTTTTTTCAATCGAAACAAAACTAAACATGATGCAATTAGCCTTGTAGATTTGTTTACAATTTGAATTTTTTATGGAATATAACAGCTATGTATGATTTCCAACCAAAAACTTCTGATTAAACAAAATATCTTTAATGAATGTTCGCATTCTGAAAAAATATACAACTTATTCTGATTATAATTTCTATTTAACTCTACATCTATAATATTAGTGTCCAAAATAAAGCTGCTTTGAAGATATTCGTATCAGAATTTCAGCAATACAGGACTAATTTCATTTCTTCTCGATTCAACTTTATGTAATATTTATATTTTTAATGCCAAAGTTTACTTCAACAACAACTTTTTTATATTGAAACTACAAAATTTTGATATAGTTATAGTTTATTTAATAAAAATTTCTATTGAGGATTTAATAGATCTAAAGGGTTAGTCTATTCAGGTGTATATTGATTGGAAAATTTAATAATAATTACCTTTAAGGAGATATCAAAATTTTGAGAAATACATTATTGGAATTTTACTTTGCCCACCCACAACAAACATTAAAATCTTTCAAGTTCTACTCTGCATTATTAATAAATAACCCTACATAAATTTTATATACAGTATATATATAGCTATATATATATATATATATATATATATATATATGTATTTATTAATATATGTATATATAATAATAATAATAATAATATGCTCAGTACGCATGCGCATGACGTTTCTTTGCTTTGGATAACGAAACTTTACTTTTGTCTTCTTTAAATCCACATATTATTGATCAACGTCATAATTGACATTAATAATTAATAAAGCTTCTTTTCCTCCTCCTCTTCCTCCTCCTCCTCATCCTTCTTCTCCCTCTTCCTCCTTTTCTTTTCCCCTCTTTCTTTTGAATACGCTAAAACTATCTAGAGGGAAGATATATGTTTATAATCTAAACCATTAAAGTAGCTTTAAATCTCAGCATTTCCCATTTCCTTCAATATTTAAAATATATCCGTGTTTACCAAAGCATTCTCAATTCAATATAAGAAAAAGTAGCATTCATTGCAAAATATTTGAAATACTATCTTCCTGCCTTATTGGATCCTATTTACTTGACTATGAATATTAAGTATCTCAAAATTTCTAGATATTTTTAAATTATCAAGTGAAATCTTAACCAGCTTTAGCTGATAAACCTAATCCACCCAATATTCTCTTCCACGCAGCACACGATGGTATGGAATAAACGTCAGCCAGTTTTCAGAGTTTCTTAACATTATCTTTAATCATAAATTATATGAAAAATAGCGTTCATTTTCATAATTCATGTTCCATCTATGTTATCTCGTTCACCGCAAAAGTACCGCAAAATAAATTTTATCCTATTCTACATTTACTCTTTTTCAATATAAAATAACACTCCAGACAGAAAGTTTCTTAGAACTAGATATTTAAAAAATTAGGGTTAATTAGTTTTATTACATGGATAAAATTTACCGTGTATCTACTTCCTTCAATGACTCTTTATGGTTTTAGGGTGAATAACCTTCCATCAGATTATATTTACAGAAATGTCAGTGTAAAGCAATAATCTAGACAAAATAATGAAAAACAAGAAACAAAGGGCATAAATATAATAAAAGTCATATATATAGAAGATATTTATTTGTATAGTATTTTCATTTTAAGAACACGCGTTGGAGATGGGGAAGTGAAAAACTGGATATTTACCAAATAACACTTCATATGTACGTATATATACATGCTGTTTATAGAAATATAAATTTACTCTGATTTAATGCAAACAAATATCTAAAAGAAGGAAAAGAGGCCAATTCTTCATTTTCTTTTCCTTTCAACATCAATAATTATTAACAATCTTATCAACCGTCTGTTTTATTAATCGTGCAGGAAATAATAAGATAATTGAAAGAACAAACTTTTTAAACAAGGGAAAATTAACATTTTATCACTCAGACTAATTATAACGGGTAAGTATATAGACTGACGTCTTTATTTTTACATTCTAGGAATATAACAAAATGTTTTTTCAAGAATGAATAAGCATTAAACAAGAAGGATCAAAGAGTCAGGGTAATTTCTTTTTGTCAACATAATTTCAATCTTAAGTAGATCTTTATCATCTTTATAGACGAGTTTTAGATTAAGAAATGATATTCTATATTTAACTTGTAGGTTATCGATCGCGGAAAACTGCTAAGTTTATATTATTTGATATGAAACTTTCTGGAAAAATATGGAAAATTACTCTATATATTCTCCTTTATATTTCTACGATTGATAACATCTCTGAATACTTTGCATATATTTATCATTCTATTTATAGATATACTAACGGGGTTAATTAAAAAACTAAACTGATTTTTCTATGTCTTATTGTTAATACTATAAGTATTATTATTATTTTTCTTTACAATACATTTTGTATTCTCTTAATAATAAAAAAAATATTCTTTATTGAAGTCCAGTAACAACTTCAGTTCCAGATCCATGAACTAACATAACTCTTTGTAGTCCATCAGTTAGACAAGCTAAATATTTCATATCTATTTAACAGTGGGAAATGGTAAGTCTTTCAGGTAAATAAGAATTAACGTGAGTAACTAAAAATAGCTTACATGTTCTAATTAAATGTTCACTAATCTGTAGATTAGGTGGAGAAGGAATATTCATAAGAATTAAACTTGATTGGGCCGACATGCTTTTTACGCTTTCGTTAAGTTTCTTCGCTATTTCCATGCGCCAATGAATCATTTCATCGCTACTTGAACTTTTATCTTCTTCATCTTCGTCTTTTTCGAAAATATCTTCCTTAACTAACAAAAAAGAAAAAAAAAGTTCTAAATGACTTCTTTTATTTTGTTCACCCAAATTAAAGACAAGTAAGATAATCAGATAGCTTTTACCTTGACTCTCCTCTATGTCAGACTTAAAAGCGATATCATCTTCGTCATCTTCATCATCCTCTTCTTCCTGGGATACTCCTCGAACCGTTTCAACAATATCTTGTAGCTAAAAGGAAAGTAAGAGAGAGGAGAAATAACTAAAATATTAATGTAAATCCCGTTTACTATAATTTATTAAACTTACTGCTGTACTTATTGACCTTTTAACCCTTTTCTTATTCGATTTAACAATGGAAACATATGCTTGCAGGTTTTGGACAGAAATTTCTTCAACAAGTACTTCAGCATCAATACGAATTTCGTACAAATATTTTAACATCTTTTCTTTTAGCTTGATTAGCTCTTCCGGAGTCGATTTTTTTGCTATAAAGTAATTAGCAACGATTAAGTTAATTTACTCTTTCATCTATATCCTTCAAATGAAAGTTACCTGTAACTGTTATGATTCTTAAGCGACATTTTTTCCATACAGGATGTTGCTTTAATAAAAACGCTAACAATAGTAACATTCCACCATCATCTTAAAATGGAGAAATATTAGATAGCATTTTTCTTTATAATATTAACTATTTAAACGAACGTATAATCCACCAAATATCTATTTTGCCCGTCATTACAGTATTATTTGTTGGAAAACTATCTATATTCACAGGAACAATTATTGCTATCTTCTTTGCGTAAGCAAGTCGGAGCGTTTCTTTAATACGTTATTATTAAAATGTAAATACTTGAAAGAATAAAGGCCATCGCTTTTAACTTTGAATAACTAACCTATAAAAACCTTGTTTCTTTCATTAGATAGTTGCCAATCTTCGGGCCAAGATAACATAACAGTGTTAGCTTTAAGATTTCCTAAGCCTACAGTCTGCAATCTGAAAGAATATCGAAATTTCATTAGGATAATTCAAACTTTTTTGTTTATAGAAAAATTTACAAAATATTTATAGCTTCTATAGGATTTCTAGTAGCAAGAATTTTACAAAAACCATTCAAATCCTCTTCTATCATACTTGTCCTCAAAAGCTGTCTTGCTAAAATAATATCTGATTCTAATTCCATCAAATCTCCATGTAACATTGTAGCACTGACAGTAAAGCCTCTGCCAGCCTTCAACTGACTGGCAATACTAAATATTCTAGGATATTTTGGGGCTAGAGAAACTGCTTCAAGCTTGTAAAGAATTAGTAATTGAGGCCTCCAATTTAACACTTGCATTTCGGTGTCTCTTGTATTAAAGAGTATCTTTTGCGCTAATGAGAGGGTAAAACCTTCATTTTTAAGGGAAAAGAAGACGCTCAATAATTATAGTTAATTCATAATAATGGTTAATAATCTTTCTAATAACCTATTACTGTATGTCCCCATGCTCCTTGACAAGTCGTGAAACTTATGTAAAAGAATACAGTAAGTCCAATAAATAAGGAAATTGCCCAATAATACCAATGAACCGTAAACACCAGCAGAATATTGATTATCGCACCGAAGAGTGACAAACTCCAATGATAGTATTTAAATCTGGGACGCCAAAGAGGTAATTTTAGCAAGCTGTGTATAGTGCATATAACATTAACGAAAAAGTAACAAAACAAAAAATAAACATCTATAATAGGTGCTATAGTTTCCACTTTTGCAGTCAAATTTCCTAATAGAGCCAAAAGAACTGTTAAGCTGAGTGCTCTGATCGGTTCATTCCTTTGAATTTAGAATAAGGAAAAGAGTGCATTGTTCTTAGTTAATTATATTTAAATTATAGTCTGTTGGTTATGTAATCTTTTCGATATTCTATATATAACGAAACCTCCATTTAACTTTGAAAATATTTAGAATAGGAAGAACATTATCATTAGCAATAGCACTTAATAATCTAGGTGCACTACACATGCATTGTAGAGCCGCTCCCATTGTTGAACAAAAAGCTCCAATCAAAGTAACCAACTCATGAGGCCAAGCAAGTTTTGCAACAACAAGATTTCCGCCTTGACTTTCTCCCAATTTATCTCTTAAAAATTCTCCCTTAACGCTTGTGCCTAAAATTATAATAAAAGCCAAGTAAACGAACGAGCAAGTAAGTTGGGCAGCAATAGTCCCAATAGGAATAGATGACTGTGGATCCGCGAGATCTCCTTGTTATTAAAAAAGATAATTTAATTTTAATTCTAAATATAGCAATAAAAACAAAATAATGTACAAGTCTTGTTACAAACCAGATAAATTAGATCCTGTTAAAATACCCGTAACAGAGGGAAAATAAATAGCGAGTAGTATTAAAAAAGATGTCATTTCTTTAGATATTACTTCGTAACGTTTGTCATCTCCGACAGTACCTGGTGAAACTTCACCTCGGTTTCTATGATGTTGTTGTATATTTTCTGCAAACACTGCAGATCCCATTCCAGGAATAGCTGGAACGTGCTTTATATCACTTTCATTGAAATATTTACAGGACTCTTTATCATTTTGTGAACAAAATAGCTATGAAATCGTAGTCTTCCTTGAAAAGAAAATTCTTTAAAAATTTATGAATTACACGTTTTATTTATTAATAGATTTTAATTAAAAAAAAAAGATGAAAAGAAGAATTTACGTCGAACCTTTAATGATCATTTTTTTATTATTTATTCTTGGAAGACTACGAAACCTGCTCTATTTGGCTTAAGTTACACTTTTCACCAACTTTTATATTTAACAAACGATCGCCGACAAGACATATTCTCGGTTCTGAATAGCCTTTAGAAATAGTTCCAAAAGCTCCAGCAAAGACCGATGCTATTGCAACTACTACGCAAATTAGCGATACGGGAGCAAGCATCTGCACGAATCGTACCCCAAAACCTACAACTACTGCCATTAAGATAATAATAATAGAACCGTAAAATCTCATATTATTCTCCGGGTTTTCGTGCATATCACCAAAAATTGCGAGACTAGGAGCAAGATGAGTTAATAATATCTCTATTCCGCCAAGAACGTATAGATTTATCGCAAATGTATTTGCTGAACGTCAATTAGCTAAATAAGTTTTGATAAGATTGTTTAAGAAATATTTACCTAAGTAGAAGCACATTCCAATCGTTCCTCCTACTTGCGATCCCATATTCCTTGAAATCATAAAATAGGGTCCACCATCTCGAACTATACCATTCGTAGCAATTGCAGATATTGAAATTGCAGTGGTAAATGTTGCACAACAGCAAAGAAAAACCATAAGCCACGTTTGATAAATACCACCGTGGCCCACCATCCAGGCCATTCTAATAAACATTAGGACTCCAAAAATATGCTGTATTGTTGGTAAATAGACACCAAAGATTACGCCTAATTTTGGTTTGCGATTTAACCCAATACCCCCCTCAGAAGATGGAAAATCTCTTTTAAAATACTGTGAAGCTACTCGAGTTTCATTGTCAGCCTAAAAATATAAATTTTTAAATATATTTCTTATGTTTTATTGGGAAAAATATGAGCGTTTAACTAACGTTAAATAGTTGCCTTAAGGCAAAAGATTCATCTAAGATATCGTCGGAAGTCACTAAATATTAATGAAAACATTGCGTACAGATATTTTATGAATTGTCCATCATTTTAAAGTTTACACTTTACCATTTTCGTCGGAGATATTCAATGAAATTGATTGATTTTGAATCGATAGTTCACTATTCGATTGCTGATTTGACGATATACCTATCTCTGCTATTTTCTTCTCCTTCTCAACTTGCTTTAAATTCATTGTTGTCTCGTTTGTTTATTTGAATATTTAAATAATCGTTTTGCCTAATCACTGACTCTGTTTGAATTATTCTATAGAATAAATATTTCTCTTTCAAAAAATAATATATACTGTCTACAACTAACTTTAAAGGCTTTTTTCACGTCAATTTCTTTTACACAACACAGATGTCGCTACCATACGAAAGTAGTAGTTTCCGGGCATTTAACATATCTAGTACTTTAATAGTCCTATACTAAATGACGTCATAATTGTATCTCAAAATGCGAACATCATACAAAAACAGCCTGATTGTAGTTGGACGTCCTGTATTTCTGAGTTATCTTCAAAGGTTTATATATTTAGACGCCGTAGCTAACAGCTCTACGGATACTTTAGAAATAGTCTAAACGTCATGGGTACACTCTTCCTCACCCCCTGCCTGTCATGTAATCTGACATCCGTTCGAACCTTTATAAATTTGACCACAGCCACACGACTGTGAATTATTATACCAAGTTACGTAATATTCAAGAATTGGGTCAAGAGAGAACCCCTGCCATTTGACCGACATTTCTCGTGCAGCTAACTAAACCTGAACGCGTGCGAATTGCGTGCCTTACGCGTTTTATGTGCACCGACGCTAATAAATATGCATGAATTGCATGCTTTTTTTATGGGTACCATGATTTCTGGTTCTTTGTTTAATTGTAATGGTTTCTAATAAAACCAAGGCTACACAGAAGAAATTGGCCTTCGGCATTGGTAAAGCATTTGTGCATCATTTGGCCTGAAAGCATATATTCAATCCGGCCAATATTTAATAAACAAGCTCTAATAAGAAAAACAGAAGGGAACAAAGAAAGATAAATAGATAGATAAAGGGGAAAATGCATGATGGGGGGTGGTAGGAAGAGAAGAAAAGATGCAGAACAGGGTCCGAAAACGCTGCTTATACCTAATACAAAGGTAGATTTTCTCAAAAGGGAGAGATAACAGGGCTTTCTGCTAGGAGCTGATAAAAGATAAACAAAGTGGTAAATTCAGAAGCTTAAAGTAACACTATACCGTTAACTTTGTCGTGTGGAGACCTAATGAAAGACGCTGTGCGGTGCCAATACAATATTTGAAGAAACAAGGCATACTATTTGAACATTAAATCACAATAAAGTTGAAAAACAGCTACAGTTAAATTTTAATGTTTTCCATGAAAATAGGTCATCTTTTAAATTACAAATAAATAAGTGATTTATTATATATTTATTAAATTATATGTCTAGTTTAAGTAAGATAAGGAGCGAAAATGGCATTTGAGAATCTGTTTTTTGTTAATATATGTTTATGTTTGTTTAGGTAGAATCTAATGTTGAGATTCGTGCGAAAAGCATACAAATAAATATAAAGACAGGCATTTTTCTTGCATATTTATCTCTATTAAATTTATCTGTCAACGCAGTTTTCTTTTTTTTATTGTCAAAATCCATCAAGTTTCATCTTCTATTTCTTCTTTATGTGCTCTGTTGTCGTTCTCTCTCTCTCTCTCTCTCGCCTATTTGTAAACACTCTCTATATATAGCAATATACATTTTCTATTATCTATACTATCCAGTTATATATTGAAAGAAAGTAATTTATACCTACATAATCTATATTTGTCATAGAAAGTTATAGAAATTACTCTAATTAATAACTCTTCTGTATAGTAACATAGAAGTAAAATGTCTATTTTTAGTTTATACTAGAATCTATTTTCTTTGGGGATTACTTCATAATGACACATACTGACTTAGTTTTCGACTAATAGATGTCTTTCTTATACAAAGTAGTACGTTAGAGAAAAGAAAAGAGCGAAGAAGATGTTTGTCATCTATTCATATACGTTGATAGAGAAAACCGTTTTAGTTGTCTATCATAGAATCTGCAAAATGCCTTGGAAAAAATTTGATACGTAGACAAATTTATTGTATTAATCATATGTAGTAAACAAGTAAGAATATTCTAGGAGTGAGAAGTAATCATGAATATCGGGTAGAATATCTAACATTGCTTTATGCGATTGGTTTGGTGAAGTTTTTCTATCTTTTTCTTCGAGAAGAAGAGAATAGTATATCTATCTTCATGTTGCTATGTTGTTTGGTTATATATATACTTTTTTTAGTAAATATTATGTTATAATGTCGTCTAATCATCCACTTACTTTTCCTAGAACACTTCTACGATATACATTCACCTTAAAAATCACAAAGAAACCGCTAATTAGAGAGTTAATGATGAATGTATACTATATATATACAGCCGCAATATTGATGTCACCAACTGCACTAAAAAAACCCTGCACTATAGACGCCCACGTTTCTTCGCCATGAGTGTCGGCTGCTAGACGTCTGTGTGAGACGCCTCCGCAAAATTTTGGCTGCGTGTGTATGTATATTTAAATTAATCATTTGAAATTATAGCAGAAATGAGTCCTTATTTGTTATAGTTTAGGTAGGTAATTAAAATTTCAAGTTAGCATCCCTGTAAATCCAGTATTATGCTAACATATGGTTTATACTAAAAAAAACTACATTGCAGCTCAGTCATGTCTAGCCTACTGCATTTCCGGGATAGATCATTAAATCTTTGGCAAACAATCAACCGTAAAAAAAGGATTGATCAAGGAGAACTCCTCGAAACGCCTTTAAAAAGATGCCTAACAACGATCGACCTAACCCTTCTAGGTATTGGCCATATGATTGGTGCTGGCATTTTTGTTCTTACTGGTACTGTTGTCAAGGCTGAAGCTGGCCCTGCTACTATTCTTTCCTATATAATTGCTGGCATAGCAGCTTTACTATCAGCCTTATGCTACGCAGAATTTGGAGCAAGGGTGCCAAAAGCAGGATCGGCTTACACGTACACGTACATAATTTTAGGCGAATTTTGGGCCTTTCTGATCGGATGGAATATTATTCTAGAACATCTTCTTGGCGCTGCCAGTGTAGCCAGAAGTTGGAGTGCAAGTTTTGATTCTTTATTCAACATGGCGATTAGAAATGCTACCTTAAAGTAATTCCCAAGTTGCTGATCAGTCAGTCAATGCGTTATCACTTTAGGAGAATATAGGCCTAAAGAATGCATTTGAAATTCAACAACAAAAATTCTTAAGGTTCTAAAATCTTTGATCCATAAAATTTACCCCTTTCAAAAACCCATTCTTTATTTGCATTATTCCCAAAGTTGGAAAGCAGAAGGTAGACGTAAAGTAGGAAATTACAAAATCAAACGGCCTTAATGACATCTTTGCCACCTGCCTTAGACGTCAAAGGCATACAAAAAATCAATCTTACCCGACCAGACAAGAATGCTCTTCTGTCGGTCTCCATTTTCAAAGACGTCTAATGATAAATACCTGACGGATTGCTAGTCCATTAAATAAAAAAAAACTAAGCTTTAATTTAAATTTGAAAAAGGAGCCGAAATTAGAGATGTATCTGGACACTCCCAAGCCGAAAGTTTATCGCTGATGCGTTAATGGAGGGTTTAGATCCTTTCTATAGTTTAATTATACTGACAGTTTTGTCCCGTTATCACTAACTTTAATTGTATCGCGTGTCCGACGTTTCAGCCAACTCTCGATTACATAATAGTTAAGAAGTAGTATTAACAAAATGAGAAAAAATTATCGCCATAAACCAACTAATTATATCTAATACTCGGGAGTTACTTTAAGCGGATTAGGGGAAATACATGCAGCAGGATTAAGTAAATATGCTGATTTTATAGCCCTTCTAGCTGTTATCGTCGTAATGGTATGCGTTGCAACTGGAGCTAAATTATCCATCACCGTCAATTCCATTTTTACTGTCATCAATCTAGTTGTGATTCTTATCATAATCTGCGCTGGCTTATCCCTAGCTCAATTAAGTAACTGGACTGATAAAGGATTCCTTCAGAAAGGGTGGCATGGCGTTTTCGCAGGAGCTGCTACTTGCTTCTACGCTTATATTGGTTTTGAAGGAATAGCTATTGCTGGGGAAGAAGCTCAACAGCCATCTAGGAGTTTACCGATTGCAACTGGAAGTAGCATGGCCATTGTCACCTTACTTTATGTAGGATGTTCAGCAGCCTTAACGTTAATGGTACCTTCAGATACCGTCGACCTAGCTGCACCTTTTCCAGCAGCATTCGCCTTTAGGGGAGTTAATTGGGTGAAATATATTGTTGCACTAGGCGCTTTAAGCTGTATCAGTACATCCATGCTAGGATCAATGTTTTCCATGCCAAGAGCTGTTTACTCAATGGCTAGCGACGGTCTTTTGTTCAGCATTTTTTCAAGGGTCAATCAGAGGACACAGACGCCGATTGTGGCTATCGTCTGCTTTGGTTTGGCTTCAGGATTTTGCGCCCTATTATTGGACATCGATACTCTAGTGGAATTTCTTTCAATTGGTACCCTTTTGAGGTATACAAAAACGGTTTCGCATCATAAATGTCAGTGATTAGCAACTAACCACATCCATTACTCTTCTTGTTTTGACAGCTTTACTATCGTTGCGACCAGTATTCTTATTCTGCGATATCAGCCCGCGAGTTCTTGCCAATTTGAACTAAAATCTGATCCTGAGGCAACAAGGGAAGATGACGATGATGATGATACCTCTGAAACCAAGAAGATAATTGAAGCAAGCCAAGCGCATGAAAATATTGGAAAACTTAAGACGAGATTCAGAGTAAAGGCTCAACTTTATCCGAACGCCCTTTCTCTTAATGATTTATCCACTTTTTTCTTTTCAGAATGATCCCTATCTGTCTAAATTGTCTCATCAGCACACTACTTCTATAACTATCTTCAGTATGATAACCTTTATAGTTATATTTGCTATCCTAATAGTTTTTCCATCTGACAACGAATTCACTTGGTGGAGAATCATGCTATTGATAATTTTTGCTTCGGCCATTACTATTTGTCTCTTAATTCTTATGCTTCACGAAAAAAACGTCAGCTTTAAAACCTTCCAAGTATTTTATCTTACATTTGAATTCAATATTAAATCATAAATAATAAAATATGTATTAACTTTCGTTACTTACAAATACAGGTACCCTTTGTTCCGTTCTTACCTACTTTGTCAGTCTTTATCAATGTTACAATGATGTTAAAATTGGGCTTTGTCACGTGGATGAGGCTGCTGATTTGGCTAGCTATTGGTTTATTAATATATTTTGTCTATGGTATGAGAAATAGCCATGAAAATAAAGGCTTGGCTAATTATGCTGATTTAACATCTTATGGGGGAACTGATAATCAAGAAGCAAATCTACCAAAATTACAAGAAACAATCCAAAAACCTCAACCCCAATCTGCCGAATAGGCCTTTTGTCTTCAATTTCTCCATGTTTACAATATCGTGAGTAAATATAACCCGAATACGAACTCTCTTTGTTGTGACGCTTGGGCAATTAAAGCTTTGAAAATTTGAATTTGAATGTTATTTAGTTCTTATTTAAATATCATTTACATTGAAAAGGATTTACAAATATGTTGACTAGGCACGAAAATATTGTACCCATAGCAAAACAAAGATCTAACAAAGAGCTATTTATAGGCTTATAGATAAACAGGCGGCAAGTTTCTGCCAAACTTTTGTTATTTAAACGCGGCGAGTTGAAAGAGTATTACTTCATCTACTTCAAAAGGAAAGTAAAAATTCAAAAGACCACACTTTGTGTCTTATCACGAGGGTATCGTTTGGAACAATTATGACAAAAATGTTTTTTTTTCTAAGAGCCATCAAAACCTTTGAGTCTTTCTCAAACCTTTCATTAGCGTTTAATACACGACATATGGTGCTAGTTTATCGAATTATTAAGGGAAATTGAGTGAACGAATAAGGAGGAAGTAGTGTAATACTAATATTTTCCAATTAATTCGAATGGGTCGTGTTCTCTTAAGCATATCTCTAATAGCAGAGATTAAGTACACACACGCCTAAAATACTATGCATGAATAAAATTTGAGCCAAGGCCTAAAGGTAAAATGCTGATACAAGTTAAAAAGTATAAAAGGTAAAAGAGGTAGGTGGAGGGAAAATGTTTACGTATGTACTATACAAACATATTAAAGTTTCGCGTCTAATACACGAAGTCATATATTTTCAATGCGTTCTGTGAGTTTTTTTTATTGATAAAAATGTTTCAATGGAGTAGCTATATATATGGAAATGAGCGCATGTGCGTGAACATTTGATAATACCCAAAGCAATGACAAAGGAGACGTTTTCAATAATTAGAAAGAGACGGCATGGGCCATGTGATTTCCACTTGGTTGCATTCAGTTATAGACTATAAATTTCCATATATATGCTGTATACAAATTCATTTCTTTTGCAAATGTCCATTATAAAAACTTAAAATTACATATTTTATCCTTAAAATAGAATACAAATAAACTTATCGATTGTTTATTAATTAAAAGCATAACATAGATTGAATCAATACCACTTCCAAGTTCTGTAATAAAGGTCTATTGCTTCAATGTATAATTAGAGGAATTGTTGTTTTGTTCAAGGTGTGATATAGATTTTAACAATTTTTTTAATCTAGTTTTTGCCCATCAAATATACTTGAGCAGAAAAATGTAAAAACAATATTTATAAAATATTCAAGTGTTTCAATAAACGATATCTTTTTTCTCATCATGTCATAATTCAACAAACAGATACAATCTCTCCAGGCCTTAGCATAAATTATGCAATTAGGTCAACTCGTAAACAAGAATTAACAGCTGATAAGATAAGCCTATAACCCACTCAAATTATTTAAACAGCTGAGTTAAAATTCGACTTAGGTGTTTTTAAGCTTTAATAAGAAATAGTTCAAAATATTGAAATCCATAATCTTTTTTCAAAGCCCCACAAAATAAAATAAATGTTGGACTAAGTTGACTAAATAATCCTAAAACTTTCAATACCTTTAATAATTTAATAGAATTATTAGCTTAATTAAATAATATTGCGACAAATATGTACAAAAAAACAATTTACTCCTATCTCCTATAACTAAGAAAGAAATCTATTTGACCGATTTATCTACTTTTTTATAAGTAAGGAATAGAGAATCAATAGAACGGAAGGGAACCATGATATTCTTTTTAAAATAGAGTAACGTCATATTTACTTACTATATAGCTTATTCGTTAATCTACTAGTTTGTTTATGATTCTTGGACGAATGCCAAACCATACGATGGTATATACTAACCGCTGTTAGGAAAACATCTACTTCTTTACGTAATCAAGGTCTTGGTCTGTGAAAATTTCTTTTGCGTGTCTAGATGTTGCTTTATCCTCTGGGATAATTTATAATTTCTTATGACAAAGGAAAGAGTCGATAGAATAAAAAAAATCCTCTCCTTTAATCCCTTTTTCCCTCTAATAATATCAAATAAAAATCGTTTTGGTTTATAAGGAAAATAACTGTTTTTTTCTTGGTTTCCAAACATTCATTTATCGATTGTTGACTTTGTCATAAGCAGATGTTTCCGCATTTCTTTCTCAAGTAAATAATAATTCCCACTTTAAGCCTAGCAGTTTGAAAAAGGAAAAATGATAATGAAACAACAAAATGAATCAACAACTAAAAAAGAAATATCCCAAATATTTTATGGGAAACCTTCAGCTGTTAAAATTTTCTTTTTTTAACTTAAAATCTTCTTAAAAAAGAACTACAGGACATCGTCTAATTGTTATTTTTTTCCTATTACGACAATTCAGGGCATAAAGAGTGGCATGGAAAAGAGGGCTGTTATAAAAAAAGAATAGAAAGAGAGAGGGGAGGTTGAGAGGAAGGGTGGGAAAGGGTATACGAAAGAATTGGACATCTGCCAGAGGCAATTTTCCTATCATAAGACACTTTTGCTGCCGAATTTTTATATTTCTCTGTCCTTGCCGATATAGATGTTGATCTAAATTGCTCACGTAGATCAAAATATACGAGGACTCTTCGACACTTCCACTTTGATAATCAAACAAATGCTGAAATAGTTCAAATAGGAATGGTAAAAAAAATGTTTCACTCTACCAAACTTATTTTCTATAAATCATTTCATTTGTCGATTCGGTGTAAATATAGGCCTAAGGCAAAAGACTTTATCATCTAATGGAAAGCGAAAAGCAGTAATTTTTTTCTGTGGTTAACGGCCCTAGATATGATTGTAGTATAGATAAAAAAATTATGTTTTTATTCTAGATTGAACAATCAATTGGAATATATTAATATATGTATATATAAGTATTAGAAGATAATATATCTTTTTCTGTTTAAATAGACAAATTCTTTCTGTACGAGTGTAAAACTTAAGAAAAAATAAACATAAAAGAAGGTTAAGGCTGTATATAGTATTCAGTTCCATTCAGTACATGTTTACGAATGCTAAGATAGGAGTTTTTAACTCTTAATGAGAATCATTTTTCACTTTATCTCCGCATACTGTATATTCTAATATACTGTATGTTCTTCATCTTTTTTCTGGAATAATTTATAAAAATCTTGCTAATTTAGGTCTCTAAATATAAAGTCGTGCAGTAAAAATAGTCTGCCGACCTTGCAATTCTCTGTTGGAGTGAGGAATGAAATGGGCAACATTATAGGTTATAGCGATTAGTCATGTCGATCACTGGATATCGAAAACTTTTGGTGTACCGTTCTAAATTACCAATTCCACTGAACCATAGGCACGCCATCGGTAATTTTAGAAGTATGACTCCGTATATGATGTCACGGTGTAATACCTTTTTTGAAAGAACCGATACATACAATATAGGCCTAGGGAATGATTTATTTTAATTTAGTTTTCTTTGTTTCTTTTCAAACGTTAATAAGAACAGTCTTCTTTCAAATAATCTTCACGAACTTGCATTATATCTTCCATATGACTAAGAAAAGTAGCTATGTTTATTGTATTGAGAATAAATATACACTAGAAAATATCATTGATAGTAATAAGCACATTCATGTCGGAAATAATTGACGTAAATTGAAGAATTTTCTCCAACGAGATGAAGTGAGAATTACTTTCTGCCAGTAATTAAAAGTGAAATTATATTTACAAGCTTTAAGTTTTTTTTTTGAATGATATCACAGACTTTTTCCTTCCTCTAACAAGAATACTTACAAGCTCGAGAGAGCAATTACAGTTTTAATTAGATATTGAGCTTTTGGTGAATGAAGATGAAAGGCATTCCTCTAAGAAGTATGAACGCAGCATAAAGGTTAACCAGCTTCCAGAAAATAACATCACCGCCTAAAAGACAAATTGATATAAGAACGGCAGCGTACAATCGACAAAAACGGCATCTTTTATTATACGTTTGATACGAAATATGTCTGAAGCCTTTACGGTTAAGATTATTTCTAATCAACCATTATATATCCTCTCTTACTATTTTCAATACTTAGTTGTAAATATATAGCTCAGATTGTCTTCTCTTCTAAGCATTTTTGCTTCATTATTCACTATACAGACAGTTAAGTGTATAATTTATGAGAAATTATGTATATTAACCCTTCCTGTCTATAGACTTTATATGTAAATATATGTATAAACAATATATTATGAGTAAAATATTGATTTTACGGAATACACAGATGTAACAAAAATTTATCCTAGAATTACTGCGCAGTAAATGCTCAACAATGTCACTTTAATAGTTAGTCATCGTATATAACATAGATTACTACCAAAAAAAATCTGATAATTCAGCTTTAAATTCAATTTTCTTAATAATTTCATTAATTAGCCAACAAGTTTATATATGTATATTAATATATATGATAAATACAAGCAAATAAGACAAATAATTTGTTTTCTTTGCACTAAATCTTAAGTATTGGTGTGTTTATGACCGTTTATATTTGTTACGTTATGAATCAAGAAATAGATAGGCTTGTGTTTATTTAATAGTGCTAGCGTTCTGCTTGCATGGACACCTGATAAATAAGGTTTATGAAGGCGGTGAGAACTTTAACCCATATCTTTTTTTAAAGAATGAGTCATCTATGTCGTCAGAATTACAACTATAGAAGACGTTTCTAGAATAATGAAGAATCAAGATAAAAGTGATTACGCAATAGAGCAGGTGTAGCAATAGGATATTGAATGACCATGAGAATGAAGGCAAAAACGTCCTTATCACTAGCCAATTTTGTAGTAATTTGGTGCAATGTCAAAGTCTAACACTATCGTACACGTAATCTTTCCTACGCGGTAAAGATGTGAATAGAAGAGATCTTCAGAAGGGTGTGACACTTTTGTAACAAAGAAAATGAGGGAGCTTGAGTCAAACATTCTTTTTTTAGAATTTTATTCATTTATGGACGATTGCCTGACATAAATCGGATAAAAAGTCTTTTGGCCCGCTTTTCGTCTCTATTTACCTCTAAAAAAAAAACACATCTGTGACCACTAGTTCACCTGAAAAAGAACAAAGAGCTTCTTATTCCGAAATATCAATAGTTGGAGCGACAGAAGAGGGGTGGCAGGATAAAAGTATGGTAACAAGAGAAATCGAACAGAGTAGGGGGGGGAGGGGGGAGGGAATGGGAGGTAGACAGGTGACGGATAGCGTTGGGAGAGAAGAAAAAAAAATAGAGTCGCTTCAGGGAGAGAATTTGGATAGAGGGAGAGAGGGGAGGGGGTCTGGGGTTGGTAGAGGTAAAAAGGGAAGGCCAGAGGGAAAATATTGACAATTGATAGATGCAATTATAGAAGGCGTAATATCCATAGTCTTTGTTCAAGTATCAATTCAGCAAACCTTTTCAATCCGATCAGTAAACAACTTTTATATTATTTTGATAAAAAATTCTAAAAATATACCATTTTTTATAACTTGTTTTGTTTTCAAGTATGAATTACAGATTTCTCTCTTTTGTTTTAATGCATATAATAACTTTTCAAGAAGTTGGCAGCTGGCAAAACAAAGCATATCCTCCAAAATTTTAAGTGTTATTTAGTAATTGGCCTTTTACCATAACACTGATTGACATATTAACATCTTGGATATGAGATCATACGTGCGTGATACCCTTTGATAACATTCGTACAGCACCTTTGTTTTTTAGTTGTGAGTAAAAATAAATCTAGAATAAACGATAGTCATGCAACTAGTCATTTTCTTGCTTACCTCTCCCTCTCTCATTATTTTTTTTTAATACATATATCGGTGTAACAAAGATGTTTCAATGCTCAAAGATAATAATAATCTATATTTATCCAAATTTTAAAACTTAATTCTACCATTCTTAAAAAAATAAAAGTTTTACAGTTTTACTGAACACAGAAATATTTACGACACTATTCGGAAAAGTACGTATAGAGATTCGCTATAGAATATTCATCAAGTTTTCAACAGTTAACGAATACTGTCATCTGCATGAAAAAGTCAAATAAAAAATTAAGAATCCGCTTTTTTTTTTAAAAAATATTCGGAGCAAAGTGTTCCAGCATTCATTTGAGAAAACTGGTAGTAAAAACTCGAGGAATTTTCGTATAGCAAATATCGCCGGTTTTCTAGGAGATCAGTTGATTTTCTGTCCAAACATTTAACTCGTTAACTTGCGTAAACGGGTTGAGCCATTTGAAGACGTTGTACCGGGGACGCTTCTCGTTTGCAGGATCTTTGCGTCATCTCCTGTTTCGAAGCGTACAAAACACCAATAGAACCGTCTTCTCCTATCCTGTAGCAAACTTCCTCCGGATCGATCCAAACTGTGATTTCGTAGGGCAGAGACGATTTAAGAAGATTTATATCCAATCCAATTTTTGCACAGACTTTACTCAGAATTGGGTCCATATCGTAGTTAATGCGAACACACCGATAAGCGGAGCCTCGGTCGGGTGATTCAGGAAACCAATGTTCCCTAAAACGTTGTTTAAAGGCGTCGATTAACGTAATATTAAATTTTTCGCATATATTTTCAGAGACGGACTGGCGCTTTAAAAGGACAGTTGTTATAAAATCGACGGCGTTCCTGATTTCTTGGAGCATAGTTGGTTAACTTCACTGACTACTGGTCGCTGTTGTTGTGGCCGTATTCTCACTGCGCATTAGCTCAAGTAGTCGTGACGTCAGGTCTCGTTTCGGATCTACCCAATCACAGGCTTGCTATCTCTTTGTTCGAGGGTTATGAATATTTATGAGTTTAACATGGCCGATTCGCGGTATATTTCCGGACAAGTTAGTAAACAAGGGGAGTTCAAGGTCGGGTCAGAAAGACGCTTTCTTTGTCGTCCTTTATTAATTAGTGGTCGAGCACGCGTACTTGGCACGTATAAGCTAGTACTCATCTAAATTTTACCAAGATTACTAAAAAATGTCTCGAGATATTGTATAATGATATGCAACGATTGATGAGTGCAGCAGATGTTAAAAAATACCGGCTCAATGAACAAGTTTTTAGTGCATGTAGGTTACTCTTGGACAAAAAAAGAAAATTCTTAGTTTTCCTTTAGAAATAGCATAATAGATAGACAAATTTCCGTCAAAACAAAAAAATTGTAGTAGCGGTGTATATTTAATATTGTCCAAACACCCTCTCTAGTAAAATATAGGTTTAATTTATGAATAACAGCGCCATCTATCTACTATAGTAGCTGTTAAAGGCAGGTGTTGTGGAATATAAAAAAAAGTCAGCTGGCATATTCAAGGCTTTTTTTTTATATTTTTTTTATACCCTGTTCATACATTTTCAATGAAAAGGATGAGCTTTAATATCTCCAAGAGGCAGAAAGAAATTTCCAATTTACGCCTAATGTTATTACAATCTCCAAATGATTTCTTCAAGTTTTGCATTAATCAGTCCATGTTCAAAGATTTCATTGTCTAATGCCTACCCTTAGATCCTTTATTAGCCAATCAACAACAACGGCTTTGACATTGTGTTAATTACAGTTTGTATCAATGAATGTATTATGTCACTCAAGTCTACCACGTTCCAATTACACAAGTTTTTGTGTGTAAAACTTAGCTTTTATAGCAACATTCGTTGACATTGTTAAAGTAACCAAGAATTCATTTTTTTTCATGTACAAATGCTTAATATATCCATCATATCACGCTGGGCATGAACTTATGTAACCCAACAAAAAAGAGGATATGAGGGTTTCGTAATTATAATTAAGGCTTTCTGTATAATAATTATAACTAAACTAATTAATCAAATATATACATCACACTAAAATGTCAACAGTTCTTTATAGTTTCAAAAGAAATTCAAAGACATGTGATGTCTAGGAATAAAAGACGTCACTCTTAATATAATTATATGTCTAGAGTGATGTGAGTGCGTATAGTATTCTCCCTCTAACAAATGCATTCTATTAGCTCATTATAAACGATGAAAACATATAAAATAGTCTATAATAAAACCTACAAACTTAAAAATAACATTTATTTTTCATTCTATGATCAATGCTTATAAATGCAAAATTTACTCTAGGCCTTACCAATAAGTGTTTGTATATTAATCAAGCTTGCTTGTGTAATATTTTAAAGGTTGAAAAGAACAAAGTTCAATGTCGATAATTGTTGCGTAAAGACTTTCTCTCTTAACATTTGATGGTAAACTCCAGTTTTCGAATTTATATTTGTAGTTTTACTGTATAAGTTTAATATCTTTTCTACTCTATTTATAATATGATGAATGAATATATAAAGTTTATCTAAAATCCATAATTTGTACATTATTTAATGGAAAGTTTTTGAAAAATTATTAATTTTTTTATCCAATTCATCAAGTTTTTTTTAGTTAGACATTATAAAAACCTAAACTGCGGTATATTGAATTTTCTACATATTCCACTTTGTAAACAGCTATTTACGACAGAGATATCTAACTTATTTCTTAGTAGAGAATTAACTTACATATTCCTTTTTTTTTTGAAAACACCTTGATTAATTGAAAATTCTCCCTATTCAATTAGATGAAATGTATATTACTCAATTTCTTTTTATATGTATAGTAAAGAAATATACATTAAGTTAAAGGTAGGGAAGAAAAACGTCAACTTAATGTCTTTTCGAAGCTATTAATATAGGACGAAAAGCTTTGAATACATCTATAAACTGCATATATGAATATAATCAAACTGCTTTCTTTCATTAAAGAATTAGGTGCGAGAATTTTGAATCAGATATTACTTGAAGTTGATAAAAATGGCGAGGCCAACAATAGATAATAATTAGGTAATAATATATCAGTTTGTAGATAATCAGTGCTTATTTCGGAAATCATACTATCTGAAAGATTATTTAACGATATCCTATAACACATTTTTTTGCTATTATATAAAAACACTATGGTATAAATACACTGCATATATATATAGATGATAAATATGCTCTGTAATATTCCATGGATTATCGTTATTTTTGTGTTTTTCACAAAAGAGATGATGATGATTATTTATTTCAATTTATAAGCATATTCTATGATAGACTATTATTTTCTAAAATCTATTTTAAAATAAAGCTGCCCATTTATAAATATAACATATAGTTTAGTTGCTTAACAGAGTGATATATTGTGTAGCCAGTATACTTGTTGTATGTCTATGTTATTAAAAGAAAAAAAATCATTTTTCATCATGTAAAATGTATAACATCATATTAAATGTAAAATTTAGAGTGGTTAAAGAATCTAAATATTAGATTCCTCAATTATTAAATACTATACTTTTCATAGTTATATACAAGAGGAAGATAGAAAGAAAGAATGATATTTTCCTTATCTTTAGAACACTCTATTGATCTTCTTACCTGTAATTTATCGATATACAGCAGTATAAAGTAATAGAGTATTTGACAACAATCACAACGAATTAACGCTTCAACCATGCCAAACTTTCTTAAAATTTGTGTTAATTAATAATTTCTTTTAGAATGAATGATACTAAAACGTCAGTCTGACTGCTTTCTATCTAATTGACTATTAATTTCATTTAAATTACCCTATTTATATTAAACTAGGCAAGTTTTTTAATAATACTTCAATTTCATTTTATTAAATGAAAACGGATACATATCCATAAACTACGTTTAAGAGATGAATAGTAACTATAATGAAATAAAGCTTTTCCAAGACGAAGATGAATGATGAATTATTAAAGAAAGATTAGAGAAAGTTTTTCCTCCATTAAGAACATTAAGGAATGTTTTTCCTCCTCCTCCCGATTATTAAAATATAGTCATTATTAGAGAAAATTGAATATAGTATACTAATAATAAATTACTGCTTGCTATAATATAATACAAATACAGTATACATTAACAATATTTTTCCTCTGGTATGTTATATTTCAACTAGAGCATTCGAAGTTTTTAACATTTAAAGGTTCTTTAACTTGAAATATTTCGTATTCTTTCTAAAAGCTAATATATAATGATTATATAAGATTTTTGTACTGTTTTTATACATAAATACTTATTATAGATACTTAATAGGTATTTTTTAATATAAAAAAAATATAATTTTCCAGTTTTAAATACCTATTCGGTATAGAGATTCCATTAGAGCTCACCGAAAGAAGCGTTACTTTAAGAACTACTAAAATCTGCTTTTATACTTGTATTTTTAATCTATTAATGAAGAAAAGTTATTTTCTTTTGTAACTAGGAGGAAGGTGGTTACGATATTTTTATCGACGTCATAGATTTCAGATTATTTTACGGGAGAGAAAAGGTTAACAAAAGAAAAAATATAAACATAAAGGCATATGATTAATTTTTTTAAATAGCATAATAAATAAATTATTGCTTACTACGAATAAATTAATAGATATGAGTTTATTGAACATTCGTATCTGTTTATATATTGTTTGTATTTTTAATAAATTATTTTATTTTGGGCTTTAAACGGCACACATGTGACTGGACAGTTTTTTTAATGTTTTTTAAATACTAGTCATCTTTGTTTTAGAAATTTTAAAGAACTTTTAATAGAGTAGAGTTAAAATTTTTAATTTCTAGGCTTAAATTTTAACTAGAAATTGGACAAAAACATCTAAAAAAAGAATAATCTTTCCTTGAATTTCAGATTGCAGAGTAAATGAATATTTCATGCGCTTAAAAAAATCTAGAAGTAAATTGGATAAATAATATTGAGTTACTTTTTAGGTTTACAGAGTTATACTTATTATTTCCATTTTAAGAGAGAATGAGAAAATTGGAGCAGTTTCTACAATTGTGACAAATTTCCAAGAAATATGTAAAGTAGCAGATGAGGTTCACCTTTTTTTTCTTCTAGCTATAGTATCACAATACAAATGTCGAACGTATCTCAAGCTGTTGCCTATCCAGTCAATGCCTTGGATTTAGAAGTTTGAAAGAGTTGATAAACTGAAAATCTTACTTAAAGAACAGTTTTCTATTATACAAATTCCAAAACATGTCTTTTTGTCGATAGAGCATTTTCAATTCTACACTTAAAATCCAATTATGACGACAAGCTGACCCTCTTATTCTCCAATAAATAGGGGATACTTGGCTCAGCTATTAGAAGTAAAGCACTCTCTCACCTTAAATTTTTAATTAAGAAAACGTTAATAAGTTTAAATCTCGTACAGACAGAAATCTGGTGGTGTAATTATCATTTGTTAGAAGATATAAGGCTTTGTTGTTGTTGCTTTGTTTTTAGAGCTTCTATCTGTCTCTAAATGAAAACAAGGAAAATTGTATTCATTAGTTAAATAAAACAACAGTTTTTTTACCAAATGAAAATAGGTCATATATATTTTTACACACCCGGATTATTAAGTGAAAATTTCAGAGAGAGCGAGAGAGAGAGAGAGAGAGAGAGAAACTATGTGTAAGTATTTTAAAATTACTTTATTTCTTAGAAATCAGAAATATTAGAAGGGAAGACTTTACGTTTTTTATTTCATCTTTAAAGGTCAAACTACAAGCATCTTCTAATATATGATTATTTATTTTAAACAGACCATTTGAAGGAAGTATTCGTGGTAAAAAAATTTACTGGTGTTTCTCAATTATTAGAATCAGCTTTTCAACGCCATCTTTGGGGTTTGCTACATTTATTCGTTAACAAGCATTTGTTATAACATTTCAAACTTTTATTAAAAGCCCATTTACATTTACTTAATTACAAAGTATTGATGTATAAGTTGAAAATGCAAAGTTAGCAGTCGTGATAATTATGGGAATGAACAACTCCTATTCTAAATATAAAGAAGCAAACTGTCAACAGGTTTTAATGATAACCAATTAAATTAAGGAAAGCTCCTCTTCTATTAATAAGGAGTAAGAAAAATTAAGCGCAAAGAACCCATAATAAAACATCGTGGAGAGAAAGAGAGGAAAGGAAGGGGAAAAAAGCCAAGAAACAAAAGCAAAATCTAAATCAATGATCTATTTTTGTATTCAATTGATTTTTGAATTTGTTACCAAGGTGAGAGAGAAAGAGAAAAACTACTAAACTATTACTGTTCCCTTTTTGTTAAGTGAAGAGGTGATTTTTTTCTCCATAATCGAATGGAGGGGAAAAAATACAAAGGAAAGAAAAGCTTGAAATGTATTTAATTGTTTCAAAATTGAAATAAAACATGTATTATTAATAAAAAGAAAAGAAAACAAACGAAAGAAGAAAGAAGGGAAAAAAATTGATCAATTTTGCTTTTATTTAAATTTTATCATTTACTAACGAGACAAACTATAAGTGATATTAATAATACATAAGAAAGAATTAGCAAGTAGTAAAGTTTTATTATTAAATTATATAATATAGAGGAAAAGCCTTAGCAATATCAATAGTACCACCTGGCTATTTTAGTTTATTATAAAATTGATTTGTTTTGATCGCTAACGTTTATTTTACGATTAGAAATAAGAGTGGTCTATAAGTCACAAAAGGATCAATTGGTAATTTAAAGAACAACATGTTCTTTGAAAATATATTTTTTAGTTTGCCTTTGTAGAGAACAGGAAGAAAAGTAGCTTTCTATCTTTATAATAACTACTTTCCAATATATAATATGAACCAATATTCTTTGTCGTATAGCAGAAGAAAATCAACAGGAATAGACCTCTTAGGTCACATGATACAACAAAGGAGAATTCATTTATGACTCACCCCTTCACTGTTACGCCATAATTACAAGTATTGCTGATAGATAAATAACTACGTATATTTTGCTGAGTACTTGTAAGTGTGCAAGCTTGATTGTTTTATAATATGTATATATAATATGATAAACAATCTCATTTGGAAGCTTAGGAGCCCATTTACAACTTGAAATTTTTCTAAGGCTGTATTTTGTCAAGATTTAATGACTAATACATATTCTTTATTTAAATAGGAAAATTTTAAAGCATGGCTGGTGCAGGACGTCTGCCAAGAGATTTTTTTAAATTACAACGAAACCTGGAATATATATCTGATGGTCAAGCTGAAATACATTCGTACGACGAGAATTTTAAGTTTATCAAGTTGAAAATTGTGATGAAAGACGGCCCGTATGAAGGAATAGCAAATGTTTTTAGGGTAAAACAAGTTTTTCTACCATTTAAGTATTTATCTAAATAATTAATTCACTATTCATCATAAATAACACAAACAGTATTTAAATATTATCATATTGCAAAGCAATTCAATTGGTTATAATCCAAATCTCTACTTTTTCCCTCTTCTCTCTCTCTCTCTCTCTCTCTCTCTATATATATATATATATAAATATATATATATATATATATATATATATATTTATATAAATTTATATATATATTCTTATTGTGTTTATAAAAAGAGGTAATGAATAATTCATTTCAGATGAAAATGAATTTAATTAGAATTAAAACTCTATTTTTACTCAGAAGAATTTTCATGAGAGATTATGTAACGGAAAAACCCCTGAAGAATCCTGTTAATAAAGATACAAAAAGATGAATGAATAGGTAGATGAAGAGATACAGAGAGATAGAGAGACTAATAGATAGATATATGGAGTGTAAGAGAGATGTATGGTTATATCTGATATAATATTCTTTGCTTGTTCTTCAAAATTTCTTAATTACTTTTCAATTGAATCAATAGGTTATATAACAGTATTCTTATTTATATTAATAAAGCATACGTGTGTATCGCACTGTATTTGTAACTATAGATGTAAATATATATATATATATATATATACATTAGTATATACAGTATATATATATTGTATATACTGTATATTTATACCATATCCATCTATATCTCGTATAAGGATTAGTTATTATAAATCTCTTTGATTAATAATTAAAAGTTTTTCAACTTATTACAGCTTTCCGACCTCGCCAATTATCCCGAATGTCCACCAGAGCTATATTGTGAAACACCTATTTTTCATCCAAATATTAGCCCTCCCGATGGAGAAATATGTTTAAATTTACTGGATTTTTGGAACTTGGGATCACAAAATTTTGAAGCCGTTGTACAAGGTCTTATATTCCTTCTTCGAGAACCTAATATGAATGATCCATCTTGGGGTAATTTCGATATTATCAACTTAGATGGAAGTAGTTTTCACAAATTTATCGAAAGATTGAAAGGAGGTGATTTTAGTGTTTTTCAAGAAATATACGATGAAAGGAGACTTTTATGGACTCAATGGCAAGCACATAATCCTGCATTAGACGGTAGTGAAAGTTTTTGTAGTGACGAAAGATCTGTTACCTCAGATACTGACTATAACTCTATTTGTTCTCTCCACGAATCTGATTTTAGTGATGTGTCATATTTGGATCTAACCGATGATTTTAAAGATTGCGAAGATGTTAAAAATCATACTGAGGAAGGTCAATGTGAAACCATAGCACCTTCGAAATCCTTCAAAGGAGCTAAGACACCGGCTCTAGTTAGAGTAGGAAGATTTTTCTCAAGATCATTTAGAAGGTTATCTAGAACTTTTTCAAGGCATTAGCTCTATATATGTACATATATACAAGTGCAAATATATATATATGAGTGTGAATAGCCTAAAAAAGAAAAAGTTTAAACAAATGAAGGAACTATATTAGAAGCAAAAGATTTATCAATAACTAACGATCACTATTGACTTAAGTACCTAATCTCAATATCTTTCCTTCTTCCTTCCCTCATCTCATACTTCCTATTTCCCTCCTTGCCAACTTTGCAGTTTTAAAGTATTTCTTGTAATTTTAACCAGAAGAAAACGTAGTTTCAAAAATAGTATTTGAAAATTTAGACAATTTTTTAACGTATTAATACATTTCCATACCGAAAAAAGCATACAATTTGTTGTTTTCTTTAAATAACGCAAATCATTAACTCGAACATTCGGTCGTTTCTCTTTCTTTTATCGCTAAAATGTTAGCCAGATAGATGTATTTTTGAGTATAATTCCATTGAAATAAATGAGATAAAAAACATTGTTGTTTTTCCCCTTTTATCGAAGAAAATACTTATTTTATGAACTTTTGAATCTTGTTTTCGTGTTTGTAAACATGAAAAAACATTCGCAAATCTACAATCTGTTGACAAAATAAGTCATGTTGAATGAATTTCAAGTGCTTTTTAAATAGATGTTGAAAATCTGCTTAAATTCCTACTATAATTAAAATGGTTAATATCAATTTTCTTGCTATAGAATTGGTAGTTTCGTTTTGAAGATTCTTCAAGTAGAAATTATTTTATATAACAGATGGCGTTCCTTAATACTCCAGCTCCACGTACAGGACAATGGATTATTGTTTTGGTTTATCATGACTTAAAATTCAATATATTACCTATGGTTTTGACTCTGGCCTCGAAATGGCAATCGTTCAAGGTAAGTTTTTTTAAAAGTTATAATCTTTCTACCTTAAATATTGTCTTATCGGCCTGCCTAGTAAAGTGATCGCTTTTTTCCCTTCTTTTCGTGTAGTTTTTTAAATTCGTTGTTGTGTTTTTAACAATTGCGTGAATAGATGAAATGTATCTTTAATATCTAACAGAACATTTCCTTCTCGGAAAAATACAGACATTTTTCCATTGCAAATTTCAATAAGAATCAAACCACAGTTTTAAAAATAAAATAAATGTATTGGTTTCACCACATGATGAGAGTAATTGTTAAAACAATTTTTAAATTGATTGCTCAATACCAGTCTACTATTTTGCAACTGTTTCATTTAGAATTCAATTCAAATCAAAATTTTAGTATAATATAAATCAATAAAATTTTTATTCTACTATTCTTTTGGTAACATCAGGTGAAGTTCAGTATTCCATTATTGACCAAGGAGGAGTTCCTGAATCTTATATAAATGATGATATTGATGATGAAATGGTAAATACTCTTTCTACTGACTTTTGAATTTTAATATTAGTTTAAAAATTGGTTTAACTAATAGAAACTGGAAGGATTTAAGTCATCGACGAGTCGTTCAATTCTATATTGGATATGCATTTGCCTTTCTCTTGGAATTTTATATTTAATTTTCTATTGGAAACCAAATTTAAAAGTCAAGTTAAAAATGGCCAGATGTTGTCTAACTTCAGCGGAAGTAGTCATTATCACTAACAATTACCGAACTAGTTTTGTAGAAAAAGTCCAATTTCAATTTATCGATTATGGAGTGTAAGTTAATGATACATTTCGATATGTCATGCTATTTATGATCCTTATTTGTATTAATATGTTTTAGTAAGAACTTCTCTTCGAACACTGAACCTAAAGTTAGTAAAACTTTACATTATTTGTTTGCTATAAATAGCAAACAAACGTTTACTATATTTTCTTCTTTAGGATCAAATTTTAAGATACTTTGATCATAAACACACCCGTTACTATTGGGACGAAGAATCTAATTATTTTACCGAATTAAAGTATATATTTCAATTATTTATATATGTTATTTTGACTATATTAACTTAATAATTTAATTTCATCCAGAGGCCTAGACGAAGGTTATACTTGTGCCTACATCCACGATAATTGTAATGGTTTGTCCGATGATCATAGAAGAGACAAGTGATTTATTATAAATACTATATTAATTCATTTATTCTAGACATTTTTCTATTCTTATAGATTAAGAGTTTTTGGAGAAAATAGAATAAAAATAGATGTTAAAAGTTATTTTAAGCTTTTTATTGAAGAAGTTTTGAATCCATTCTATATTTTTCAAATATTTTCCATTTCTTTATGGATGGCTGATGAATATTATTATTATGCGTCATGCATATGCCTTATGTCTTTAATATCCATTGGGATATCCCTTTATGAAACAAGAAAGGTAAATTTAAAGTTTACCTTTAATGAGTTGATTGATTAATATCGTTTATTTAACATTACGTAATCTAGCAAAGTGAAACATTGCGAGATATGGTTGGTAGTTCTGAAGGATTCTTCATAGAAATTCTTAATGATGAAGGTCATAAAGCAACTGTTGATGTAACCACCCTAGTACCCGGTGATGTTATAATTCTACCAAGGAAAGGATTAGTTATGACATGTGATGCTGTTCTTTTAACTGGTAACGCAATAGTTAACGAAAGTATGCTAACCGGTGAATCTGTTCCCGTCACGAAAACTTCCTTAACGCCGTCAGAGGGAAACGAGCAATATTCTCCGGAAAATCACAAGTTGCACACTCTTTTTGCTGGTAAAAGAATATTTTGATCATAGGAGAATAATTAAGGGCGATAATATTTCATATTTAGGTACGACAGTGATCCAAACGAGGTTTTACGGTGAAGGCACAGTAAAAGCTGTTGTCGTAAGGACAGGCTAGAAAGAATATTTCTAATGAAATATAAGAGTTCTCTAAATATAATTTTTCCTCTAATAGGCTTTTCGACAGCGAAGGGAGAACTTATCTGTTCTATTCTATTTCCAAAACCTGTTGGATTTAAGTTCTATCAAGATAGTATGAAATTTATTGGGGCGTTAGGCTGTCTGGCTGTCATAGGAATGGCCTATAGCATTTGGAATTTGGTGATTATTATTTACCGCACAATTATTCGTTATGAAAATGCTTAAGTTTATTATCTTCAGATATACTTAAAAGTTAAGTACGGCAAGGTTGTAATTAGAGCTCTAGATATTGTGACAATTGTTGTTCCACCTGGTTTACCAGCCGCTATGACTATCGGAACTATTTATTCACAATCCAGATTAAAAAAACAAAATATATTTTGCATTAGTCCAGCAAGAATTAATATCTGCGGAAAATTGAAATTAATATGCTTTGATAAAGTAATTAACTTAGTAAATTTCATTTCCCTGTTCATAGGTTTATTTATATTCTTTTTTATTAGACTGGTACATTAACCGAAGATGGTCTTGACTTGTTTGGTGTACTTCCACTACAGGGAAAATGCCTTGCCCTGTCCGTTATGCAGCCAACTGATTTACCTTCTCTAGGACCTTTTGTAATAGCCATGGCTACTTGCCATTCCCTTACCATTATTGATGGTAAATTAACTGGAGATCCACTTGATTTAAACATGTTTAATTCTACTAATTGGGTAATTTTATATTTACTTTATGTATTGTGCTTTTAAGATGTTAACGAAATTGCTTCAACAGGTTCTTGAAGAAGCAGGAGCTGATTCATCAAAGTTTGAAACTCTTGCTCCAACTGTAGTTAGGCCAACATCTCGTGATGTTTATTACGAAGCACAAGCAAAAGTATATAATATTTTTTCTAATTGTTTGCTAGCATTTTTAGTGGAACTCTGTGGGAATTTAATCTATATGCTATACTATTTATATTGCTATTCAATCCAATATGAATATTGTATATTTGTAATAGTCCAGTGACATCATGTATCTTCTAATCCTATAGAGGCTTACTTTCCCTTTATTACATTTGTATTGTTATTATTCAGCAGTAGTCAAAGTATTATAGATAAGAAAATGGAGTATTAATCTTTTGGGAATATTTCACCATTGGATGCTTCGTGCTTGCTACATCTTAGTTGTGCTAAAAACTGTATGTTCGCAGAAAAATATGATTTTCTCGAAACTAGCTATGTTTCAGTGAATAGTCTGATTTACTTCGCGCTTATAGACTATTGTATCAATTAAAAAGTCCCAAGTTTATCGAGCGATAATAGTATATTTTTCTACAGAGACTTGACTCGCCGCACCTTAACCTTAATGAATTTAATTTTCTAGACTTTAATGTAAGTGGTTGTGGTTCTTTACCTACTTATCCTTTCTTTTTCTACCAGTTATTAGTTTAACAAATAAAGAAATTCAATTTTTTATTATTATTGAATCGCCATTTTAAATCTTTCTTCAGCTACCATTTGAAGTTGGAATTATAAAACAATTCGCCTTTTCGTCATCTCTCCAGAGGATGTCGGTAGTTACAAGAACTTTACGAGCTAGTCATATGGACTTGTATTGTAAAGGAGCACCGGAAAAAATCGCTTCTCTATGTGATCCAGCAACTGGTAGGATTTAATGAAACGCTACTCTTTTTTAAATCAAAATGTGGACTTGCTAATAGGAAATATTTTTTTTTAGTTCCCGAGGATTTCCAGGCACGTTTACAACAATATACAAAGAAAGGTTTTCGAGTTCTAGCGATAGCTTGGAAAGCATTAGATAAAAAGGTAACTTGGCATCATGTTCAAAAGATGTCTAGGGAAAAATTGGAATACGGTATGAAGTTTCTGGGTCTATTAATAATGGAAAATAGACTTAAGCCTCAAACTACACCTGTTATTACAAAACTTAATAAGGCTGATATTAAAACTGTTATGGTTACAGGTAAATATAGAATTTTAATTATTATTCAATACTTACAAGTTATTTTCCTATTCAGGTGATAATATTTTAACAGCTTTAAGTGTTGCAAGACAATGTGGTATCGCACCGGGAAAACGACCAGTTATTATTGTAAATGGCCAATTAAATCCGCCAAATTTAACTTATAAATTCCACGAAAACGTAAGCAACGAAGAGTCCGAAGATGGTAGTTCAATATTTGAATCAGATATGGAACCTTTTTACCATCTTGAAGAGGCAAAATGTTCCGATAGAAAATATTTATTCGCCCTATCAGGGAAAACTTACGCAATATTACGAGAAAATTATTCTGAATTGTTATCTCGAATTATTACTAGAGGAGCTGTTTTCGCAAGAATGTCACCTGAGCAAAAGAGTCAACTAGTAGAAAATTTTCAAAGTTTAGGGTTTGTATTAAATTATCCAAAGAAAGATTGTATTCATCACGAATAAAGCATACTGTAGGTATACTGTGGGATTTTGTGGTGATGGTGCAAACGATTGTTCTGCTCTAAAAATGGCAAATGCGGGAATATCATTATCAGACGCAGAAGCATCTGTTGCTGCTCCTTTTACGTCGAAAACGCCTAATATCGAATGTGTCCCAACTGTAATAAGAGAGGGGAGAGCAGCTTTGGTAACGTCGTTTGGAACTTTTAAATATATGGCCCTGTATAGTATTGTGCAATTTGTATCGGTTATCATATTATACTCTGTAAGTTTTAACTTGAAAGATAATGAAATATTTACGAATGTCAATGATACGAATTTTTTCTTATTTTCTTAATAGTTCAGTACAAATATGGGAGATTTTCAATTTCTTTACATCGACCTATTAATTACGACGGTTGTTGCTATTCTAAGTGAGTTTAATTATATTACAAATCTATTTAATAGAATTCATAAAATACTTTTTTTCGCAGTGGGTCACACTGGAGCGTATAGAGCTTTAGTTCAGAAGAGGCCTCTTGGCAGTCTCTTTTCATCTGTTAACCTCCTTTCCGTTTTTCTTCATATTATACTTGTAATTGCTTTTCAAGTAACTGTTTTACTTTTCTTACAAGCTCAGCCATGGTTTGTTTTGTTGTTTTTGAAGATAATGTATCTAAAAACTGCAATTTTATAGGTACGTCCGGGTGAAGCCTTCCCCTTCTGCAAATGTAACAACTTGCTCAGAAACCTCATTGATATTTTTAACAACTTCATTTCAATATTTAATTTTGGCGTTTATCTTTTCCAAAGGGAGGCCTTATAGACTACCAATTTGGACAAATCTTCCATTCACTATCGCACTTATACTCTTAACTAGTCTATCAACTTTTTTATTAATATATCCTCCAAAGTTTTTGGCAAAATTCCTTCAGGTTAATCGGAATATTATAAATATTAAATTATATTATAAGCTAATAATAAGTTTTAATTAATTAGATAACAAATCTCCCTGGAATGACATTCAAATTAACATTAATGGGAATAATAGGAATATATTTTTTGATGGCACTTTTTGTAGAAGAGTTTTTAATAACTAGCTGCTGCATTAAGAGATTTTTGAAATGTGGACGAAAGCATGGCAAAAAGAATATTTATAAAACTATTGAATTAGACCTAAAAATGGATACTAATTGGCCTCCACTTGAAATTGATTAATGTGTAATAAGGGATTAGTATATTAAAGAGAAAAGAGATATAAATAAACAAAAATATTAATAAACAAAGAAAAGATAGTATTTTCTTATTTAAATTATTAAAACATAATTGATTTAAATACTGTATTTGCTTTTTTTTTTCCATTTGTTTTCCTTAAAGATTATTTTAAGAACATGTGTTAAACGGGAGAATTAGAAAATAGTAATTATGGTACATTTATAATACAGCAATGACTAGAAAATATATATCAATACTGCTCTAAGAGATCAGTCTCTTTTTAGTTTGTAAGCATTTTTCCAAACATTCGCCAAACAAATAGCGGAATGTAATCGATAAAAGATAACGAAGGGTAAGGAGCACCTTCTAACGATAATAGACGGTAATAGGTCGAACGCTGTGTTCTCTATCGACGTCCTTATGCCTTGAACGCCGCACAGTACGCAAGCAGCAACGTTTGCAATAAGTAGAAAAGTCACGTATTGTCTTCCAGGTTTTTTCGTTTCGTGATAAGGTTTTAAGGACGACCGCCTCAGAGCATGAAAGATGAAAGCCGTCTGTAGGGAAGATTCTATGGCTGAGAGAGTTGAGGAGGCCACTAGGAGACTAGATGACCTCGCTTGTCCGGTAACAATACCAAAAACTGACAATATATATACAAAAGATAGGGAAACAAGAAGAAGACCTTCATCCAAACTATTGTCCAATCTGTGATCAAACTTCATATCCCTCATTCTAAACCAGGCAAAGCATATAGCTAAGCTGCAAAAAATTTGTAGTACTACTTCCGTTCCGTAGGATAAGCAATCTCCGATATTTTGAAATTCTGATTTGGCCGACATTACGACGTGAACGATTGTTGATATAATAGTAAGAACAAGAATTAAAACCCCTAAAAATAGGCCTCGAGTTGCTCCGCCACAATCTACTCCTATTCGACGACTGGAGCTAGTAGATGGCGTTGACGGTCTCGTAACTTCCAGGCGTTTACCGATATTCTTCCACAGTACAATCAGAATTGCTGCAATTAGGTATTATATGAGGGTTTAAAGGACAGTAGTAAAATACCATGAATAATTTAAATGAACTAGAAGAATTTAAACCCTTACCCCCGGCAATAAAGCAATATTGAACTGTGCAGGGATAGAGAAATGGGCTTGCTCGGGCTACGACGTGACTGATTATGTCATGACGCGTGCAATTTACCGTTGTAGAACGATTAGTGTCTGCAAAATTATAGGCCTATGACATCGTATGTAATTTCTTAGGTCTAAAATTTACCATTTTCTAGTGAATGAGCAGCGAAGCGAGTTGAGTTTTGGCTGGTCGGCGAAAATAAAATTGTCGAATCGGTTGTGGACTGTTCTCTCTGAAAGATGATTTCTTATTACAATTCGATTTGAGTTTAGATATTGAATAGTAATATAAAAAAAGCGATGAAATCATTTACAACTAAGGCAAAAATAGATAGAAAGCGTCACGATTACGAACTAGATGAGCGTGAAATTTGTCGAAATCCCTTAAAACTTGGTTGGATACCGTACGAATCCAAATGCAAACGTTTGTCGCGATCATGTGCATCAAACCGAATCTTGCTAATGTGGTATAATTATGTAAATACATCTGAAACAGGACACATAGATTATCTTAATGAGCCAAATTGGCAGGACAATTTAAAAAATAAAAATCATAAAATATTACCTTTGAATTTAAGAATATGAAGTAGAGTTGTGCAAAAATGAATATTAGATGAATTATCGGACTAACGGCTTGAGCAGAACTATAAATAATAATAATAATTAATAACATTAAATTAATGAGCTTTTCGGAGCTAATTTACTACCTGAAACAAGGAGAGAAAACGTCAACTTGAAACATTTCACCAAATTTAAGGCCTTCGTGGATCATAGCACCAATACCAAATCCTAAGATATAAATGTATTTATAAATATTTTTTTTGTACAAAAAATTACTTCAATCGAAATACGGTGCCGCTTATTTATATAAAGGTGAATTTATGATTACAGTCTCTATTATGCATGCAGCACGTTTATTTATGTGAAAAAGTGGGAAATTTCTCATCGATTACAGTTTATTAAACGCAAAACGTGTGAGTTTATTTCCCCCGCATTATATACAAACTATGAAATTAGGCGTAAAGCTGTTTACAACAGCATTAGGCGTCTAATGGTGATACGGAAGTTAAACGTCTACTTAGTACTTTATCTGTACTTTATTTTGAAATATATTACTTACCAACGGCACCAAGCCGTAAATAAAAGCTACCCGTTCGAACGATAACACCACCAACAGTCGCATTTTTTACTTTGGTGAGTAATGCCGAATCGAGCGTCGCCTCATCATCGTGTGCCCACTTCCGGCGTCTTTTCCTCTCGGCTCGAGCTCTCAGCAAGATGCCAAATGCGTATCCAAGAAATACGATGGCGACGACATAAAGGAAAATGTAGAATCCCTGCGGGTGGTAGGCGTTAATTATAGAAGAATTGAATAATCGTGTTTATTTATTTATGCGCCAATGAGATAAGATGGATGAGAGGACTGGAGAAATTACGATTATCTTACATTCCTTAACAAATAGATAACTTCAAATAATAATTTAGCAAAGAATAATGAATATATCATTGTACCAAGAATATTTGGTAATTTGCGAAAAAATAGTGTTTTCAAACTAAATTACTAGGATTATCTGGGCAATTTCCAGTCACTCCCTACCCTTAATCCCCTTGTTTATCCACCTCGTAATTTCCTGGGGAATTCCAATCCGACGTTTCTGCTAGAGATAGAACCAATCCAAGCACAATAATGAAAAGGGCGTAACTACCACTGGTAACGTTGAGTAAGCTGTTTCTGTTAAAAATAAGAGACACAGGCTAGAGACGTTTAATCTAACTAATTAATAAAAGCGTCTATTAACGATTAGTTGGCGGGATGCCAAAAATATTAGACTAAGTTTATTTGACTTAGAAATTGAGTAGAACTAAGACAAATGTTACCGTAAATGAGCCTCCATTACTGCACAACTCTGAGTACACTGACTTTGAGCTTCGTTATTCTTTAGTATGGACATCATGGGAGGACTGGGAGGTGGCATCTGGGTATTTGGAAGGAGGCTGGGATCACCTTGCCCAGAAGACCCGCCATCACCGTGGCTTTCACCGCTAATCCCTGTAAAAAAGAGGGGGAGAAGGTAAATTACATTAAATATGCAATTATATCTTAACTAACAGTGGAAATCAAAGAGAACTAATTATATGAGAAGACCAGAAATGTATTACTATTTTATCTATGTGCATAGTCATAACACTTTTATTCTTTGTAGCTACAATTGTTTGTCGCTTACGTTTTGTTTGGTGAGAATCAATTGTGAAAGAAAATACATAGAGACGCATAATATATATACTATAAAAAATACATGAAATTCATAAGATATATATATAACAAGCTTTGTTTGAAGAGTTCCACTATTATCTTCAACTGCAATTTATTGTATAACCGATTTCAAAATTCCCATAAGATAATAGCGGCTGATTTAGCTCATATTACAAACTTCAAAGTTATTTCCCGTAATATTTGAACAAAGACTGATCACATGATCAATTACTAAATACGTTTGAAGATCTTGAGAGTGAAGAGCTGGAGCGATCTACGGTGGAAGGCACTCTAATCAGCTAGTAAGAGAGATTTTACTAATATAATTAATGGCTTGAATACGGTGAGATATCGATATTTCTAGGCGAGGGTCGCGTGACTAATTACTAGATAAACCGATCGTAAAATGTGCCGACTAAATCATTAAGTTAATTAGTAATGTTAATTAAGGGGAAAAGAAAACATCTTTGGAAGAAAATAAGAGTAGCTACAGGATGGACAACTAATGAAAAAGAAAGCTTCCAGCGTTTCTTTTTGTCTTCGTAAAAGAGTTGATAATTCACCAATGAAATTGGCTAGTTATAAACGGAGAAAGCAGTACCAGAGGCTTAAATTTTCTAATGGTAAAAGAAACTATGATTTTACGTCCATTAATGAGAAAAAGCAAGTAGAAAATTAATTCTTGGATATCTTCTTGCCTTAGTATAAAAGTATAAATTCGAGAACCTTATGTCTCTAGTTTTCTGTTTCATCGTCATAGAGATTACCATAGTAATTACGTTAATAAAGCCTCGTCCATGAAATAATAGTGAGAACATTTCCTATCACAACTGATTTTTCCTGATAACCTGGTAAACAAGTAACAAAAACACAAGATAAGATTAAGCTATCAATCAAGCAGTTCCATTAAGCACGAGGTCAGACGGTCATCTCGAATGTCGAAAAGCGATTAGGCCATGCAATTGGCGTCGAAAAAGAGACGCCCCGGTAAATAGAGGCTTTTTCCGATAAAAGCGCCAACATCTGCCGCGCGAATTATTACGTAATAGGATACACGCGATTCGAATATGAATCGTTGTGGGAATTTTTTCAAGTGATATCTGACACCTTTTGTATATGTTCAGTGTTTTAAAATGTATTATTCAGCATTAATCTTTTATGGAATCTTTTGTTTATCATTAAAAGCTTTTTAGGTAAGAATTTTATGAATTTACTCTCTCATTCCTACCTTTTCCTTTATCTCTCTCTCTCTCTTTCTTTCTTTTCTTCCTGTCTATTACTCTCTTTCTTCTATTTTTTCTTTTTGTGTTCACATAGCAAACGAGATAAACAATAACAGATCGACCAATTTATAACTTACTCTATTTACATAGAACAAATAAGGCGTATGCAAATGTTATTGGTAAAAACAGGGAAAAGATATACATTTTCAAGGTTTTTTTATACCCTACTTTTTCCAAGGCCCCAGAATGATTGATACTAATTAGAATGGACTACAGGGGGAGAGGGAAAGGGTATTGTAGACTTTTTCTCATTGCTTGAGAATGACGCTCGTGGATTCACAATAATAAGCCTTATGAAGCTTCTCTTTCTAATTATAATCTCTTCTATTATCCGTTTGCACCAAAGTTTTTATGGAGAATTTTAATAAATCGGTGATAAAGAATGTAAATTTTTTAAGTACACAGAAGAATATACAAGAGAATGAAAACACAAAGTAATTTCTTAACAGAAAACGTGCTATATAAAATCTTCCCTCCTTTTCTTTCTAAGAAATCTATCGATTGGTTAATAACGTTACGGTAAGACTTGAAACTTGTAAAATAATGCCTAACATTTACCAGAAGAAACAGGAGGCGCCTAAAATAATTAACACTGTAACAAGTAACAAATATGACCCCATTTAAATAGCAACTATGAACTTTGTAAGACTAGACAAAAATTTCTTCTAAATTTCACTGCTATCACTTCCTCCATAATCATTTATTCATTGCACTACCCCATCACCTCTTTCTATGAGAATGCAATCATGCGTCTCGAAGCGTCGCCGATGAGCGTCACCAGCCTGGCGTTATTATTGATCTGCACTTTGAACTAGTGGGCAGGTGCGTTTGCTCCGTCGACTATACTCGATTACTTTTTTTTGCAGTAGCATGTGCTAAGGCGATGATTGATTGCCTTATATGGCGTGGGATGAACTGCAATATGTTTTATGAGGCGTTTATTTACCAGTTTTTTTTGTATTGCACCATTTGATCAATGCTGTTTAAGTATACCGCTTAGATTTCTATCTCGAGTGCTCAGGCTACTGCATATGTTGCAGGTTGACGCTTAATGTAAATAAAATGAGGAGTTTTTGTAAATGTTTGCCAAAAAACAAGGCGCTTCTAGGCCGGTTATGAACTAAGATGCATGACTTTTTTACTTTGAGTAGATAGAAGAAGTAAAAGGGAAGAGAGATTTTCCCTTCGCGTGTCTTTTTCGCCTCATAGATAATTGAAATTTTTTTGAGGTTGTATTTCATCTAGTCAGGTTTGAAACAGCTAAATGTTTCGACTACTCCCGTAAACGTGTATTTCATATCTAAAATGCATTGTTTTCTACCAATAAACAATTACAAAATACAGCATTGCGCATACGGAGAGTAGAGAGAGAAGTTTTATCTGTATTAGCTTGACCATTCTTTAACTCTGCTCAATAAATCGTGAATAATGGACTTTCTCCCTTTTCTTATATAAATAATGCTCTACTATTGTCTTGTCTTTTTGCTCTCCCACTTAAAACCCCCTTGATATTCTCTTCAACTTTATTTTGCTTATTACTTTTCCTTACTCTTTGACAGGAGAAAATATATTGTCTAGAATGATAACTTAGAGGGATGCATATAGAGTTTCGTCATTAATAATCTAAAATTTTCACATCACCTGTTGACGATCGTAATTAACTTTAGTTGACAATTCGTGCCTATACGAGAGGTCTTAATAAGTCTCCTAAACTAATAGCACTGATCTCTGTAAGGCTTTTATCTTGAGCATCTTCTCTGATACAAAAATTAATGTATAAATATATTTTGACAGAGCTCTTCGGCGTACAAATAGTTTGATGATGTTCTTGAAATTGTTTACAAAACGTGGCTATATATTCTCTACTGAACTGCAATTTCCGAGTGCAAAATTGAATACGATTTGAACTTCCTGTTTTTGTTATTTTACAAGTTGAAGGATGAATTTATCTATTGAAATTTATAATGAATAATAGATTACTAATTAAATCTTTTCATTAAAAGAAAATCATTCGTTTTCTAATTTTTGTATGATGTATATAGCTTGTACTAGCGTCTTTTATGTTTTTTTTTGTCTCTTCAAGGTACGTCTCCCATTCGTTTCTTACTCATGTCATAATAGCACAAGGGAATTCTTTTAAATCAGGGAACGTTGCCCATTTATGTTCTACTCTCTAAAGTTAATATGTGTCATAAATTATGTAGACGCTCGTTGAAACTGTCTACCAGAGGCTTATACCCCTTCAGAACCTGCAATCATCATAAATTCATCTGAAATTTTCTTTCTTTTTTCTTCGAATCCGATACCACTTTTGTTAATGTCCTTGGAATTCTCCCGGTTTTCCTTAATAATTAAACACTCTGAATAGACGGTCTATTTCATGTACAAAATTTTACGAGACGTTCTCTCTTTTCCAATGTCTTAGTACAGAAATTTGTACGTGTAAGCTATAAGAGATGCTTTGTCCAAGAACAATCCGCACAGATTGCAAAGAAGAGTGTACATTGATTGTTTTTTTTTCATCAAATATTAGTCATACAATAAAGGACAATATATTTACAATTCGTAATTCGAACCTTAGCATACAAAAGAAAGAATTCGATGCTAAGGAATCAATAGATTAATTTCCATAGATGTTCCTAAAAAGCTTTTAACCTTTTAGCCGTCTGGAAAGACCAAAATATTTAAAAAATTATCTATACTATGGCCTTCATTAGTGAAAGTACTAAGGACGTGTAATCTTTACCTGAATATCGCACTAAAAAAAGCCACTTACGCAAAAGTATTGGAACTCATCTACAAGCGAAAAAAAACAGACTTTTGCAGTCATAAACGAGCTCATTGCGTGTACTTTTGTCAGAAAGCTATAAATTATATGTATTATTCCACGTGATCTCTTACGTGTTTGAGTTTTAATCAGAAACTGAATTAGATGAATCGGGATAAGAGTGGAAAAAAATCTATGAATAAGATATATATTAGAAATTAGTATAAATTTGAAGAGCCACGCCCGTCAAAAACCTATGAAATGATACTTAACAGAAACGCATCAAAGTAGGAAGAAAATTCCATTTACTTCTACAAAAAAGACTGTAAAAGCGTCGAATCGACGTTCCAAAGGGAATTTCCTTTGCCAAGTGAACTTATTTGATATGTACGCTAATTAGGTCTAAGTTTATAACGAAGAGAGAGTTTTGAATTTTAATACAGTTTAGCTTTTCTACGAGTAAAATTCGAACTTATAAGGATTCCAATAGTAGTTTTTCGACGAATGAACATATTAATTTAGGCGTTTTCTAGAGCAGAGGCAATCTCTTTATGACCGTAAAAATGAAACAATAACAATATGAGTTACCTGCTTGGCTTTGATATTATGGCAATTTTACGTTTCTAGCATTTTTATGGTTTTTCTTATTTGTACCGAAATCCATAAAAAGTACCCTACCAGGCAACTTTTATAACTTTGATTCTAAAGCGTAATTAATTAGTAAGTTGTTGTCCCGCAATTTTTTTTCCAGATACATTTGGCCTATTTTTTAATAATTCTTAATTTCTTACAAAAGATAAGCGTCTATTACTTGTTAAATTCTAAGTGAAATAATTTACGACTATATTAATAAACTTACCGGAATCGACGCCATTTCCATGTTCTTCGTGCAGCGTTACTTCTATTCTTCCTGTGCTAGAATTGCATGATATCATGCTGTTCCTCATAACAGAGCTAGTAGATAAGTTATTAGACGCATGCCTTTGAAATTTTTGCATTAACTGGTTGTGAGATCGAAGTTGCTTTTGTTGAGAAATCCAACTGCAAAACATAAAAAAGAAATATATATTTTACTAAAAGTATTTGCTAGAAAATCCAATTGTTTATATCTTTCATGATAATACTGCAGTATTTTGCTGTTGCAAGTCTTTTCCCAAATAAAAAATAATCTTAAAAGTAGCTAAACAGATAGACACTTGGGTTTTTTTCTTTCTTTTTTCTTTTGTACAGAATTATGTATAGAAATTAGACGATAATAAGTGTAATTATTTCAGGTGAAATTAATAAGCAGGTTCTTAAAACCTTTAAAGAATTCTTTATTGATTTCAAGTGGATTTATTAACCAGATAAGCGTATTGTAAACCATAAAAATTCTCACCATTTTTTTTTATTATAACAAATGCATATAAAAATATATATATATATAAAACACATTTTTCTCCTATTTTATACGAAAATGTGTTTCTTTTATCATTCTTTCGTACAAATCAAGTGTGTAAAGCTAATATTCAACTTTTATTATAACTCCATTAATAAAATACATAGTGAATTTATTAGACCTTTCTTGATTTAATTAAAATTAAAATAGGCTTAGAAGGGAGGAAAACAACTATTCAAGTCATTTAAATGTACAAATAGAATTATTAATGCTAATCAATAAAGGTCATAATAATACTAATTGCAATTTTTTCTTTCTTCTCTCTAAGTTCATATTTCGAGTTGATAAATAGTAATAATAATAAATATTTATTATAAAAACATTTGCATATTCATGAATAAATCTTCGAGTCTATATAGAGAGCTTATTCATTCTTAACAAATATATTCAACCTCAACAAATGAGCAAAAATAAGGAAGAAAAAGCTTATATTTCTCATCAGCAACATGATTTATAATGATCAAATTATCAAATTGATAAATAATATTTTGTAAACAATACGATAATTAATCGTATTCATACGCTATGTCTATTTATAGATGTATAGTATATAATTTACATAGAATACATAGAGTTTATATATGGTGTTTAAGTTACTAGCTACTATTAATAGATGGAGAAAGTCATACTCCATATTATTATCCCTAAAATAGCTGTAAAAATCAATAAATATCCAATAATACATGGTAATTAATAGTAGCGACAGATGTACACCGTAAAATTCGATTCTACATAAAATTTTTCGACAATGGAACTCGTAAGCTTCGTTAAAAAAAGCGTTCCCATATATTCTATAGGATTTACTCTCTACCGTCTGCGTTTAAGCCACGTAGGCCTAAGCTCCTCACACCCGATCACCTATCAATAAATTCCAATAGCGATTAACTGCCTAATGTCAATATGAGCAGGAAAAAGCTCCAAAAGGAATTATTAGTCAACTGCAAAAAATACTAAAGAAAAGAGTATATACGCAATATGTGAAATAATATCCTAGAGATTGTTCTCATGTTTATCTCTACATATAGAGAGAAGTTAAATGCAAAGTACATGTATTAAGCTACTGTTCAGAGATAACGGAGAATAAGAAAAAACTGTTCAATCTATCATATAGAACCTTCCTCAAAATGTAGTTAATTTTCCTTTCTTTATTAGCATTATTGATATATAACTATATACTGTATATAAACATATAGATATCTATATATTTATTTTACTATAAACCTAAAGCAAAGCATAAATACGGTGGTGAATATTTGCATATAAAGGACACATAGAGATTCGAGAAAGGGAAAGAAGATAAAAGTATTATTAAAAGATAGTTAGTTATTACTAATCGTTAAAGAATTACTAAAGAGAATGGTTTATGTCCTTCACACAGACAAAATTAGAGGCGTTGATGCGTGTGAAACGCAGGGGTGAAAATAAAAGAGTAGAAAAAGGGAGAAATTCGCACGCGCGGCGTCGCTCCGAACAATGCGGCGTCTAATCCGTATTCGAATGACCTTTTGCAACTCGTGCGCGAGCGTCGATCGCCGTCTCTACGGACCGACGCTAAATGTCTGGCTGAGTGATAAATGAGTGAAAATTGCGGTAGATATTGCGGTAGGGATACGTAATGAATATCTTTTCTGGTGAGGGTCAAAAAAATTATCGTAATGCTTAACAAATAATAAATATTATCACATTTTAGTAATATAATTAGGATATAGTATTGCATAGGCTAGACTGTTGAGGGTATTACGTATTCTATATAATTTCCTGCCTTACCACCTCAAATTTACTGAACGTACAACAAATCATGCAAAGTACAAACAGCAATAAAATATAATTCACTGCGTAATCGAAAATGTCCTTCGTAACAGTTGTATACTTTCTAAATAAGATGATTTGTCTGATGGCTAAGTAGGCCTTAACTAAGCCATTCCTAATGGAAAATCTGTTACACGCTCCTATCAAGGATGTGAAATACAATAATAGATCTAAAAACATTCATTTGTCATCAATGACTAATTTCAGTTCGCAAATAACGAACGGTACATTCCAGCTACCTGGATTATTTTGCAGTACAAAAAAATGGTATACTGCATTATGAGGGAATGTTCGATAAATCCATTGCCGTATCAGATTCTTACTAAAGATTTTATTGAGTATGTACGGTGGCGATAGCTAGGGAAATTTTCACCATTATACACAAAAAAACACGCGTATAGTGCGGAATTAGCATGACTAATGTCAAGAAAAAAGCACTGCAAATACGGAATGTTTTTAAATGCTTTGCGGTGGATATTTTGACTAGGATAAAACGGATAATGAAAATAAAACATAGTAAAATTATGATAGAAAATGTGACAGATAATTATTTAACCATTGAAGAAATTGTTGTGAATGAAATTCCAACGCCAATTTATATGGGCGTGTGACGCATGTTAAAATCTGTGCATCTTACACAAGCGCACGCAGCATCAAAAGAAGGCGTTGTATAAAACATTTTCATATTTGTGTTCGAGCAAATAAGTATAAAAGTGCTGTTAGGAAGCTGATATTTGAAGAAAGGGAGAAGGAAAGAAAGAGACGCCTTTTTAGAGACGCCTGCGGACATGTTACGGAGAGGGTTATACATATATGAATGGGTGCTTGAACGAAGAATGAAAAGATAAGAGCAAAATCTAAAACAGGAACAAAGCCCACCAGCTAAAACTGCAACAGCAAATAAACGTTTTCATAATTGATCGCTCCAGTTTTTGTGGACCGGAACAAAAGACGCCGGGTAGAATCGATCAACAGGTAGCGTCCGTGAACACTAATTATCTCAGCAATCCTACAAGTTTTACTTTAGCGTCAAAAGTAAACTTAATCGACAGATTTCGAAAGTTTTCACCACTTAGATCAATCCCTATTAGATTGATTAAGATAGAAAGAGAGGAAAAAGTAAAAAATTTCTTTACATTTGAGTATTCTCCGAACTAGATGATGAATCGCTGTTGCGTCTCTTCCCTTCCGATTCATCTGAGGAAGAATCTTCAGGATGTCGCGCTTCAGCATAAATGTGACGCTCAACGTCGCTTCCATTACTACAACAAGGTGATACACGAGGACTTTCGAAAGATCCTACATGTACAACTGATTGTATACTCCCAGAGTTATCAGAAAGACTTTCTTCCGAATCTTGAGATTGTTCAAGTTGCTCCAAATCGAAGTTCTCATCTGGGTCGCTAGTATCCATTTTTAAAGTAAATCTTTAAAGCACGTCTTTGATATATTATAGAAGTAATTTTTTATCCGTTCCGCATTGTACGCGCCAACAGACTGTAGTGAGCACGTGATACAATGTTCTACGCATGCGCTCCAGTGGAGGACTATTCGCATTTCCCTAATCCGTCGTTGCTGTTATATGCGATTGAGGGCGCCATTGCTGATCAATTGATTTAAGTAGACATTTATCGTTTATTAATAAGCATTTCCTAATATTTCCTTATAATAAATTCAAAATGTTTCGACTATAAATTGCATGTTAAAGTTGTAATATTCATAATAATAAAAGAAAAAGTCTGTTGCTTCTAAATCCAATGAGGCATTTACAAAAATTAGTTTCTAGGTTTTTCAGAAGCGATTTTAATCCCCAAAAAGAATGTTCGGTTGAGAAAAACCCAAACGTAAATAATTGTATTTCGTGTCTTAGACAAACTAATAAAGTCGTCTTTTACTATTTAACCAATGAATATTTGTATACTCTATACATAATTCTCTAATTTAATTAGATAATTTACTCAACAGTTTTATAGGTGGTTGCTTTAGAATTTGCATATAGATTTCTCATTGGACGTCAATCTGTCATTGATAATTTAATGAACTATGGGTCGGGATTAGCACGTCAACACCGGAAGAAGATAGATAAAATTATAGACAAGGGTCTTTTATGCATACAGTCACATATTTTGCAAATAACTAATACAATAAATTTGTATTTAGCACTAAAAAAAACTTAAGAGGCGAAATAAATTTCATAATTTGGGCTTTATTTTAATTCTAAAAGCGGATTTAGACGACCCATCTAAACGTTGCAATCGGCTTACTATTTATAATAATCGAAAGGCCATTTTGTTAAAAAAAATTTTGTACAAGACTAATCCATTTTCTTTCTCTGTCTTTGTAATCTTTTGGTCTAGTTTTTACAACGGAAATGATAGATTCTTCTCTGTTTTTTTTGATGAATTATTTTTTTAGTTAGATGGAAACCTTTTAAATCTTCAATATTTTGGTTATAAAATTCTCTCAAGGTGCCCCAGTTATTCGCTTTTTTGAAAATTAATACTTTTAGTGATATTTATCGTAAATGCTAAAAAGTATATAACAACCGCTTTCCTATCCTTATTTTAATGATTTCATCATACAGAGGGCGCTTTCCTATAGCGACGTTCACCAGGTGACACTCGTCATTGGTTAAATTCTTCTTTTACAAAGCATCAGATAACGTAATATTTCTTTTAGCCTATTTTTTGTTTCTCGTTAGTGAAGATGAGAAAGTGAATATAGAGATTAATGAGCATTATAGAGTTAATCTAGCGATGCTGATAATAGGTTTTATTGCCATTAAGAGATAGCAGACACGAGGCCACTCTCTATTCTTGTAAACAATTGAAAAGCAAATTGATAAATGACGCTTCTGCGTGGAGAAAAGATGCATAAATTTAACGCTGCGTCTACTATGCAATTGTATATTCTTCGCCGAAATGCAACTTTAACAACACTATTTGTTCTTTCTTAATCGAACATAAGCAGCACATATTCCCCATTCATTCCCTACTGTCCTCGAACAAACGTCACTTTATTCAGAAATGTATACCCTAAGGAATATCATTGTATTGTATAAGCTTATCATAATCAATAATCTGATCAATTAAACAATACTGTTTAAGCAATACGTGTTTATTCTTCATAAAATAATTAAGCCGTTATTAAAACGTTAAAGTTATTTATTAGAAAGACAAAGTAATATGATATATTCTTTATAAGAAATACAATACTAGGTTTTAGAATTAGTATAACCAGTTATTAAATCAGGATTAGGGTTAATATATCATCATCTTGTTTCTAACCCTTCAAAATAGCTTTTAATCCTCATTAAGTTCTTTATTCTTTTTAAATAAGCTTTATAAGTTGTTACAATTTACTTTTTCTAATTAACAATTATATATAATTAAAAGTCAATCAGTTTATGATTTTCAATAAGTTTTTATTCGTAGTTATTTAAAATGTTACATCCAGCTGAGGGCTCATTAAAGTTCTAAAGGATGTTATTATAATAGTTAATTAGAGTTTAATAATTCTTCCCATCTAAAATAAATTGAAACAAAGACGGAAATTTTTAATGATAAAACGAAAAAGTTTTAGGTTAATTTCTCTTCTTTTTTAAATACATAATAGTCATTTTTTTCCTTTTCATAATAGAATATACGAATGAATGGAAAAATAATTGCATAGCTATAAAAGCATTAACTAAAAATACTATACGATCAATAGACGGCATATAATAGCAAAAAGGGAAAGATCAATCTTTAAAAATTGTAACATTTAATTCTTTCCTTTAGAGAGTAACATCTGTTATAGTACTTTTGAATTAAGGAATTTGTATTGAGGGAAATGGAAAGAACGGACTCTATTTTGGAACGACCTTCGCTAAAAATACGTTTAAAGCGTTTATTCAGAATTAATGGAAATCATTAAACCGTTAACATAAAAGTTGCTTTGTCAACAATATTTGAGCTATGATATCACACGAAATTTTCATCAAATCTACTTATAAAATAGTTAAATAGTCGGTTATATTGCGTAAAAACTTTATACATTTTCATAAAATAATACTTCACCATGCATATAGTCATATTCTGCAAATAAACAATTTCTATTAGGAATTGTTGGACTTTTTTCTCGTATCACAACAAGAATAATAAATAAATGAATGAATATCTATATACTATATATAATACATGAAAGGCAAGAATTCCCTAACAATGACAAGGTAATTGTAAAATGTTTCAAGTAGGAAAAAAGAATTATGAGGTTAAATAGGTTCAAAAGTTCAAGTACATTTTCAATAAATCTCCATTCTCTAAATGTAATTATTTGATAAATAAACAGATTGTAAAGAGTGATTTTTCTTTTTCATAAAAGTAACATTCACATTTTGCTGTTATTAGTATCCATTCATTGATGAAACGGCATTTATAACTTATAACAGTTTACCACATATGCTTTCCTTTTAAACAGTGTAAAGTGTATATGAGAACAGTTTTTACAGCTAATTTATTAGTTTTTAGTTAGGTTTTTTGAATGAAAGTAAAAAGCAACTAAAGCAACTAAATATAGAATTAAGCAATTTACAGCTTTACCAAACAACGTTCTACAATTAATCCCAAGTGAGAATCGCTAAATAACTGTTATTTATCACTATGGTTATTTATCACTATTTTCCAAAACAATAATATATAAGAAAACTGAAAACGGAATTAATCAGTTATTCTTTGATTTTAACGTACAACTGGCAAAATGATGAGAATTTGGTTCTGTCTAGCAATTTTACGTAAGTCTAATAGCGAGAGAGTTAATAGTATGATATTGTTAAGTTAATTGAGTTTGTTTTTAAAGCAGCTTTGTCCTTAACATTTAAAATAGCTGATGTTCATAATGATTTTAATTATTATCCGGATGGCGATGAAGAGAAAATTTTCCAGGCAATACAAAAAGTAGTGAATGAAAGAAATTCTCTACAGTAAGTTTATATGAACTTTTTTTGTTCATTCTATACTTACTTTTGTTTAATCGTTCATTCACTAGATCTCTTCTGTTTGGTAATCTAGTATCTGATGAAAAGAATTACTTTAGACTTAAAACTCAAAGGAAACATACGAATCCATTAATGGTAACCAAACGTGAGGATGATCCAAATATTCAAGCAAAAATTCCCAGGATAGGAAAGTGACAGTTTTTTTCTGTTTGAATTAAAAATAAATCGCTTCAAAGATAATATTAAAAATATATTGTTTTGTCTTATTTTCTCTATTGTATAAAAGAAAGAAAAGACTGTATTTATATAGATTAATTTATGAAGAAATTAAATGATTTACTGCGTTGCAGTAAAGTAACTGCAAAAGCTTTAGAGAGTTAATTTATCCTAAAATAGAAAATCTAAATGCACAGTTGAATAATTTTTCTTTCATTCTTACTTCTGAACATCATTCTACAATTAATTCCAAGTGCGTCAACAGCAAATCACTGTCGTTTATCACAATAGGATAGAATTTAAGTTTTCGTATATAACACTCATCTTGTTCATTTTGAATTCTATTCTTCTGGAATATACAGCAAGATGCTGTTAGCTTGGGTATTGTTGGCAATTTTACGTAAGTCTTTTTCATTTCTACAATATTATTGAAACCTGAATGAATAAATGAATAATAGTATTAATTCTCTAGTAAATGTTTATATTAACACTTTCTAGTTTATTAATTCAGTATTGAATTTATTGACTTGTTAATTAATTTAACTAATTTTCACAGCATTTTCTTTTGCCGCTCAATTAAGCGACTATGAAACGGCTATGAACGATCTAATTGATACTGAAAAAGAAAATTGGTATGATGCTCTTTCAAAGCGAACCAATCCGATTTTTACGGTTCCTAGACCTGGAAAGAGGCATATATTTGGTTACAGACTTTTCAAAATTCCAAGAACTGGAAGATCTTTGTTTGGAATTAAACGAGGCGATAATATTCAGTCAAAAGTTCCCAGAACGGGCAAATAATCAACTACTTTATTTTATTCTAACTACTTTATAAACACATTTAGATGTTTAGAGAAGCAACGAGATGCTTCTGGATTGTATTTATTAAGAAAATATATTGACCTATTTCAAAGATTTGAATTTTAATTATGATATTTTCTTAGCTTAGTTCAAACTGTTATTACAAAGCAGATAGGAAAGAATGAATAATTTTACTTAGTCAAATACAAAAATATTTATCTAAGCCTATTTATCGGGTATTTTTTTTGCCCAAAAATACAAAACAATATGATAAACACAAAAAGTGTTTTTGCTCATCTTTAACGATCAGACCTGTCTAAAGATGGCAGCACAATACCAATATGAAAGACAAAGCTTAAGAATTTATTCCACCTGGACGTATTTATTCGAATGATAGAATTCCCAATTATCAGGAATTTTCCTTTATTCTTTGTATTCAGAATATTTTCCATTCTCTTCTTCGCTTATTTTTCCATTCTTTAGTATTTTCCTTTTGGCGTTTACGAGATTATATCTATAATTATTTAAATAAAGGCCATTTTATCATGAATTGCTTATAAAAACAGTGATAAATATCGCTAAATGCCAAAAGATATTTTATTTAAATCTCTAATAGCAAAGTACATTTATATATATAAAGTACTGGAGAATCACGTGATGAGCAGTAATTAATTTTTTAAACGATTGAAAATCAAAAGATTTAGATCAATAGACTAATAGAAATGAAATTCCTTATATACAGTATATATATATATATATATAATTTCACCTGGTGTTACATGGATAAAGAAGAAATATAAGGAAAAAAGAGAAAAATTGCGTGTATTTTTTATCATTCCAACCATATTCATTCACTTTTCTTCTTATTTAATCATCTTTGAAATAATTTTCAAACAGTACTTCCGCATCTTAAACCAGTTGACTATTTGTAGCACGTGATGTACTATTTGGGTCTAATCGTGCGGAAACTTAATTATCTTTACGGTTCGAATGCCGGTTTCCGTAGATACAAATATTCATTTAGACTATAAAGAGACGCAGATATTGGGGTTGGGGATATTTTAGGATGAGTAGAAGGTAGATGGCGTGGACGAAGCAATTCAATTTCCCTCTTTCTCACGCAATCGTTAACAAATCACCGACAAAGCAGACAATTAATCCAATATTAACCTAGTCGGACAGATAATTTTGCAAGCGGTTGATGTATAGCAACACATGTAAAGGCGGGAAAAGATTGGGGCTGAATTGAATTGGCGCATCTGCCATTATTCCGTCTCTTCTTTTACAGTGTTTTTACTAATTTCATTAACTTTCTCCTAGATCTATAGATGCGCATCTGTTTAAAATGGTCGTAAATTGACTTAGGAACGACGTTTATCGTTGTCAGTTTTCCACTTTTTTTTCTCTTTCTTAGTTCTAGTCTATTTACGAGTTAACGGAAAACCGTCACTTATCATTATCTCTATGCCGCCCCTCTCGTCGCCTAAAGGCTGTAGTCTACTGCCAAAGTTGCAGTTAGTTTGATTATTTCCGGGGTGAAAGCTACTGCAGCTATTACGAGTTTTTCGCTTATGGTGTATATATTTATCTTTCGGAAATATTCTTTTTTATACAGGAAAGGCAACTAAACTAGCGTCCTCTGACGATCGTAATTTGACTTTTTGTATATATATGTTTGTGCAATTATCCCAGTCTTGTTTATTTGATTAATTCACTAGGAGTGAGGAAAGAATGAATTAAAAGAGAGGGCGCTATTGTAGAAAGTTGAATATCCAACGTTTGATTATTCCTGGGGCTAAAGTTGCTATGTTATTTACGTTTACACACTGCGAAAATATGAGTTGAAAAACTGTGGGTGGTTTGTAAAAGTCATTATGGAAAACGTGTTAGCATTTGGATTCGATCGAAATTGCAGGATAGTTTATACTGGATTGCTGTTGTGTTAGTGTCGATTGCATAGAGAGGGTGTGAGAGAGAGAATGATAAGGGATATCACTATAATGAAGGGTGTATAAACAATCTAACCTCATCCCAATACCGAGTTTTATTTCCATACTTATTTAGTTAGGGCTATATGAAAAGAATTTTTGCTCTTGTATTCTTCCTTTTCATTCTCATATATTCGCTTATGATCACTTAATCTCCATTAGTTATTCAACCTTATTTTATTTCTTTCTATACAGTTTGAAAACTAAGTGGTTTCGCTTGACAGTCAACAATTTCTATATCTAAAGTAGCTATTAATATATAAATATACAGTATGCTAATATATCTATATCTATATATATGAAAATATAATGCTATACACATATGTAGTCATTTACAATATATTGAATGTTTATCATATATTCAATGCGTACCCTGCGTATACTTACATACATAATTTAATCTCCGACAATTTATCCCCGATTAACATTTAACTCTATCACTTCCCGCTTAAGTATAACTTTTGCTCATACCACCCATTTTTTTATTTGTATTATCTTAACATTTATATTTGTATATATCAATTCTTTACCCGTTTTTATTGTATTCTATATAAAGTTCAAACAAATTTTACACTAAAAGAGGATGAAGTTTAAAATGGGAATATTCTTATATTACTGTCATTCAATTCTCTATTCATCTTCGCCTTACATTTAATTCAGGAAGAAGAGAAGAAAGGATTTGTCAAACACGACTTCTATACTCTTACTAAAAACGTTCTATTATTAACATTTTAAATGAATCAGCTCCTTGTTCAATTAACAGTATTCTCGTAAATAAACTTTTGGCAACAATGTTTCTTTTTCCTGTAGTTGTAAAAACCAACAATTCTTTCCTATCATTAAACTCTTCATTAACTCCATTATTTTGATTATCTTTAGAAAGTAATGAATGTTGGCTAATCAATTCCATTTTTGCAGCTGTTCAGTATTAAGTTTATTCACAAAATATTCATTTATAATTACGTAAATAACATACTTGCCTGTTGAAACTACCCTCTTTCGTTCCACCCCTTTGCCCCCTCCCCTTTCCTGTTCAGCCCCCATCCTCGCTCCCCTCTTGTCCTTTTCAAAAACAAAACATACGTTATCATACTAATGTATCAATGCCAGCTTGACAAGTTGTTGACTTGATTATAAATTTGTCATTTAAAAACTCATCATTGTGTAGTCATCAAAAATATAAATATTACACTTTATTTATTAAATAGATATTATATTAATCAATTATATAAATTTTGTTTTTTAAAAAAAAAGAAGTGACATAGATTTTTGATAAAACGTTTTTTGTATCCCACCAGCAACATTGCAATGATTTTCTTTTTAATGTAAACTTTATTTATTTTAACAATACATTTTAAAATTGGTTTTTTTTATCGATTCCATTCTGTTACCCTCCCACACACATATATATATATATATATATATATACACTGTATTTATATATAAATATACAATACAACACAACACAATCTTTTTCCTTTCGACTCTCTCTCCTTTACCCCCCCTACCCTCTGCCCTCCTCTCTGTCAAAATGTGATTTAGTTCTAAACTTGTGGAAATAATTGCATATATACATATATATTGAACTTTTTCTATATTAAACAACTCTACAAGTAAATTTCTATACAAAGATTATGTTTAACTTATATATATTTTAGTAAATCATATGATAATCTCTCAATCAGTGAACAATAATTCTTTTTTTTACTATTTCTTAAAATTCATTAGATCGTGTTAATCTGCTTTTTGAATGAGTATTCTACTATCATTTCTTTGTGAAATATTTAAGAAAATTAACTGCTCTCTTATGAATATTTATGACTTTGACGAAGAGTTCCCTTGTATACATATTAAAAAAGTTCTCTTTCGGGGATTGCTAAATAATACCCCGTTAATGGAATTAGCAAGTAGCCACTCGCATGGTCTCTGTAATTATAGGCCTAAAAAGTTTCTGTTTAAACTGCCAAATACCTTAAAGGCTATCATAATAGTAACACTTTGTGCTCATAAATGACTCTTTTGTTTTAGATAAAAATGAACCTGTTACTCGGAGGCCTTTCAAGGTTGTTTTCCTCAACGATTTTTTGTTCCTAGTCAAACAGCCAAATTGAAAGTGGCGAAAAGAGGTAAAAAAAAAAGCGGTTAAGCCCTTCGAACAAGAGTGTACTAAGTATAGGATTTGTGCCCTTTTTTCAATAGGAAAAAAAGAGCAGACGTACAATAATTTCACATGGGCACGTTTTCTATTCGGAGATAGCATCTCTCTTTTTATTTCTCGCCCTTTCTTAACTTCCCTTTTCCTATTTAAAAAGCATTTTTCCTACGCCTGCAGGTGTTTGATGGTGAAAAATTCCCACCCGAAGCCAACGGTTAAAAGAGCAATTAACAAAATTAAATCGTGACCGGATCGGTATAGGCTTCCCTCTTTCAATAGTCCCAATAATATTCACATTAAACTTCCCATTGTCACGTAACCATCAAGGATTCAATTGCAAAGGGGAAGTAAGGAAGAGCCAAAAGAATGATATAAAGACAGGGCGTTTTTTAATCTTTTTTTTTCATTAAACCTAATTTAGACGTTTCTAAAACGTTTCCGGAAATGATACCAGATGAATAATGAGTAGAACAGTTTACAAAATGGCCAAATGAAGCAATAGAAAATTTCGATTCTATTCAAAAAGAAATATTTTTACTTATTATGCATAAACTTAGCAGATAATCATCCAGGCAATTGAGCCTACGAACTCCGGTAATTTTATTAAAGAATTGTGATATGAAAGTTAGCAAATATTTTGTAAATGACATTGTGAAATTGAAAGCCCTTTATTGAATTCTTTCTTAAAATTCCATGCATTTATTAAAGCTGGAGTTCGTATAAACGTATACATATTTATAAGGGGTAATTATTTCTCTTTTTATGCAAAAATATAAAAAATACATATATCTTTCTTTTTTCTTCTTTTTCAATGCCTATCAATCTGCCTTCTGTTGCTTATTTGAATGAATTAATATAAATAAGGAATTAGAAAAAATCTGTAATATTACAATATTTCAAGGCAGAGAGAGAGAGAAAAAAAAATAAAATACGATAATACTGCATTGTCGTCACGCTTCAAAGCGAATAATTGCAATATTAATGATCACTGTTCAATACGGTTAGCACGCGGCCATTGTTGGACAAACATTCCAAACAAACCGCAGCTCTTCAGAAGGATATTGTTGAAGAAGGACTTGGGTAATAGAACGTA